GGGATTGGATCCTCCCAATTGATCGATAGCCAACTCCCTGGGCACGTTCAGACAAGCCCCGAAGCGAACCAGTACATATCTAGCGTCGCCATCGACCGTCTACCGAAAGGCGAGTGGAAAGCCCACCTGGGTTTGAATCCGGCTGAACTTCTGAAGAGAGACAAGGTTCATGCAATCGAATCACCTTCCCGAAGAAAAAAACGCCGTCGCTTCGGGCGCATTGCTGAAATTTTCATTCGGGAATTGCTTCTTTCAATCAGAGTTACTCTCGGAAGGTTCAGCCAGGGAAGATCAATCATTTGACGTCTGACATTTGACGAGAGTTGTAGATTGTAACGTCGGTCGAGACGCTCGCGCAGCACGTGCCTCCACGTGTTCGGTCGCTTGTGAGGAATTGACCGCGTGCGCTCAGGACTGTCATGTAGTGGCTACCAAGGGTTGCCTAGTGAGGTGGCTATGAGCGGGTCAAGGCCGATGGACCTCATCTTTTCGTTTTTTCTATCTCTCTCGTCCTTTTGCGCACTGCACTTGGCAAATGCACCGTGGAACTGTGGATGAGGCGGATATGTGACGGAGAAGGCTTGGCTTTCCAGATGCTTATACGATTTCTCTTTGCTAAGAGAAATGGTACAAGCGTCATGGTTTGGCGAGGTACGGTCTGGGTTCTGGTGGTGGTTGCAGTGATGACGATTCGGGGACCGGTTCTCAGGTGCCCATGTCGGCATGTCCCAGTCCCATGGTGGCTGGCGATCGAAGCGAGGCACAAATAGGTAACTGTCTTCTTTGGGCAAGTGACTCGCGCTGGGACGGGACTTTGCAGGCGCTAAGCCTCGGCAGACGTGGTCGTTGATGTCTCCATACGATGTGCATCCAGAGATGTAGAGTGAATGGTGTCATGGCATGCTTGATGCATTGGACGTCGTGTTCGAAGAGTTCTTCCAAATGACAATCTCGAACATCATTGATGTATCCACACGGGGTCTATCTATGGATGCCTACGGAAGCAGGACTCTATACGAGAAAAAGATGCAAGCGTACCCGAACATTTTCATTCCGGTTGAGCTTTCCAAGATCACTGCAGCTGTCGGATCTACATTTGAGATAGCTGGAGGATGTGCGCCGTCAAAGCATGGAGGGCTGCCGACCTACCTCAGTAAGGTACGCCAGTTCCATTCAATAAGCCTAACGGACAACTTTGAGGCGTCAACCTCGCGCTTCCAATTCATGGCTGCAGCCCGCGCGTGCCGGACATCTGCTCGGAGCTAGATACTCTCGATAGTAGTCCCTGATTCATGAGATGTGATAGCCTGGAACAAATGGAATGAAATGACGTAAGGAATCTATAAGGTGCCCGTAGACCACGCTCGGAATAGCTCCAGTCTGAAACATATCTCATCCATGACTCGGAAATCTGAGATCCTGCCTGGAGAGACTTGTCCAGGGCAACTTGAAACAATTGCTTCCAACTTCAACGCTGACATCGTGTACACCGGGTTGAAACACCTCGTAGATTCCATTGGAAGAGGAACATCAGGTTCGTTTCCATTGTCAAACCTGGGTAGAATGACTATGAGGAGACATTCTGAATATCAAGACAATTGATGATCAAGCCCATGTATGTTGAAATAGTATATCTACAACCTGACTGGCTCCCGCATGCTACCTACCTAGGTACGCAGTTTGGTTTACTACAGTTTCTGTTCTGATGCCCTCAGATTGTTTCTTATGTCAGCCCAGAGGCCAAGAGATCTATTTCTACTTTCTGGATATGTACAGAACTGAACGGTATGATGGCCTTGAGATCCAGATTTACCGTATCTCATTTGAGATATGAGGTAGGATAGAGCTAGGGCACGATGATAAGCTGCGACATAAGGGTCTCTGTTCAGCATGGCGAGAACTGATTCCTCGTGCAGAGTAAAGTTCCTCCCAGCAGGATAGACAGATCGACGAGGTACACACAGCCCTGATATGTAAAAGAAACGCATACATCATGTCAAAGTTAGGCTGATATAGTCATGTCTCGGCATTGTGAGCTTAGGTTCCAATGATCTGGCTAAACAGCATGCTCTGTCCTAGCAGGGTACTGCCAGGCTGAGCCGAGAAAGAATGGAGAGACGGAAGTTGGTGGCCAAACACAACTTCTGCAGAAATCTCTCGTTCGAAGGCGATGTGGGCGTCACACTATCCGCAGAGATATCGAGCATTTGTGAGAGCAGCGACTCGCTTTGGCTTCTCAGCAAAGAAGGGGCAGTATGATTCTCTGAGTTGCTCGTGCAGCGGCCATCTTTCTCCGAGGCGCAAAGGTAGGTTACGCACGCCGCAGTGCGAAGACGGACTCTTTTTGAAGATTTCGCAAAGGCTCCGTGAGCTATGAGCATGCGGGTTTTATGGACAAGAGGGGTGTCCATGTTTCCTTCCATCCCCTCGAAGGTTGACCTGCCTGGCCGTGCGCCTAGTGATGCTCAGATACTCAGATTCTATACGTGATGGCCACTGAGCCTCGGAAAGACAGTCAAGCGAGGCGCCTATTTCAAGCTTGATGTTGTTCTCACCATAAATCAGGACTGACAAGGATGATGCAATGATCGAGACAATCCCGATTCAGAGGACGTATTGAAAGTGTCTACCACACATGCTTGTCCCGGAACTGTCCAATTTCGCCAGCACACTTGGCTGCTTCAGCTTCATCTTTTCGCCAAGGGGCTATCATGACTTGGAAAGGCAAGAAGCCATTCGGGAGAGGGATATGTCACGGGAAATGAGGCTTCGTAACTCACATTCACTGTAAAGCCGTTCGATATCGAGCCCAGCCTTCGCACCACAAGAATCTTCAGAGTGACACCGAGAAGATCCGCGACTTTTCAAGGATGACGATATTTGAGCTGTGAACGGCCTCGAGAAAACGGCAAGACCGCTGGCTTCAAGCGAGGTGTCATGAAATCGGCACCTTCACTCAGTCGATGCAAGTCTCAAAGAAGATACCATATCAAACAAAGACAGCCAGTGATGCGAGCAAAACCGGTGCCCTGTCGAGCTTGCTCGGAAAACCACGAGATTTCAACGTGACACAAGTGTTTGATATCGTCCAACATATACGGTCATTTCAAATATGCCGGTCTAGTTTCGAGTCCCTTGACAAATTGACGCTGAGACGCCAGTCTTTGGGTTCCCGCCGCTGACACAATCAGCCGTCAAGGGCGATGCAGATGCACTTCTTGAACAGGCATAACATGTCGAGGAGTGATTCAGGTTCAGGTTCTGTCTCGTCCATTATGGGCAATGCAATTCGCGAGAAGGTGTATAGTGAGATATCTCAGGCTTTCTGCCCTTCCGACCCGAAGAGCGGGAGCAACTTTGGGGCAATGCGTGCCCTGTGTGAGAAAGTCTGCAATACCGACAATCTGTTTCTGTCAGAGTAAGGCTAAGTCTCGATCAAAGATGTGCGTGATTCCTCCTGATATAAGAGTCTTCAATCTTCATCACGAGCTGTGATAGTACTCGACGGATCGCGAGTCGTCGCTGAGGAACGCACTGTCTTGATCCGAAATCCCCGGTCCTTGAATTCAACAGTCGCCGCACGCCTGACACGATAGATGAAACGTCTTCCGGTAGCGAGCATTGTCACGGGCTGTGGTATGACCCGTATATCTCTCATGATTGCGAGCTTGAAGTAACTGATCGAGTTTCGAGCCAGCTGTGCGATGCAACATCTCCGCCTAGATTGCAAGGTCTAATCGTCGCAATCGTAACGAAACGGAACAGCAACGACGATGTCGATAAAAATGTTTTCAAAGTCTGAGTTCAAGATGTTCATTGATGTCTAATTAATCGTCAGGACTGCTGCTTCGCTTCAGGTCAGCTGATCAATCGTCATTGAAGATCCGAATCCGACGCTATCACCAGACCAGCCCGACCCAGCCTGCCTGACTTTGGCCGAACAGCATCTTCGCACCCAAGCCAAAGAAAACAGATCCAAAAAAAAACAGGCTTCAGGGATGGTTACAGTAAGATCACGCTCCCAGTGGGAGTCAGTCTCTTCCTATCATATATTTCCATTATCCTCATCATCAGCCGAATAATTTTTTTATATGAGGAAAGAAAAAGAAAAGGAAGAAACGCGTCTCTGGCGGGCTAAGCAAAAAAAAAGATCGCAGCTGCCAATTGATTATGTAATACGCGAGAGCTGGACGGGAGACAGTCAAGCCCACACACCTCACTTACTACTACGCTCTCGTGTACACCTGAATTATCAGGCCTCAACACATCCATTATCCACCTTCGCTGTAGACAACCGAGAAGGAAAAAAAAATTTCAGATCGACCCCCGGCCGGAGCAAGTGATTCTCCGAAACGGGCATCCACCGAATACAATAAATACCGACCTTGGCCTGCTCGTTTTCCCTCTCTTTTTTCTTTTCTTCTTCGTGCGGCGGCGCAGCTTCAAATTAAATACCTACCCGTGTTGCCTGGACGTCCACGGCCCTCGTCAAAGGGGCCTTCAGTGATGTTACCAGGTGTCGGTTGCGCCACAGACGAACGGAATTGCACACCGGTTCTTACTTTATAGGTCTTTCTGATTTTTCAAGGATGAGACCTTTTGGTTTGGGATCGGACATTCTTTTTTTTTATATCTCCGTAGTATTGCGTTCTTTATGATCTCTCATAGATCACCATGATGCCAGTTGAAAATGGAAGAACTTATTTACCCTTGCATATCTACTACCGATATATCTTGCGTAGTTTGTGTGATTCATGTAAGACGATGCTGGTACTTGAGCTTCGACGTCACGAACATTCCACTTCAGATTCGTCGCGAGATACTACTTGAACCATACCACATATCCCAGGATTTCATTTCATTCGCAATGATTGGTGTCGAACATGCGTTCACGCTCTTGTCTATCTTATTTGGACGAATTGCTTGAAGATCGTCAAGAAAACCAATCTTGCGCCGTGCCCAACACAGACTAAACCCCTTCATCAAACATTTCCTTTGCTCTACTCGCCAGGCTCATCACCAATCTTCTCCAGCTTACCCAGGGATGTTTTCTCCCTGGCCTCGCCAATGATGCGAACGCGATCGACACGAAGTTTCTCGCTTTCGCCATCGCCGTCGACGAAGAAGATGACCAGAGAGGTGACATTCTGGAACTTGACGAAGCGTAGATCAACCGTCGCAGTCCCTGTCTTGGAGTCCCACTGTTCCGGCTGGATCTCGATCGTCTGTTCGGGGGTCGTGTCCTCCGCCTGCTCGAATCCGAGGATGTGCGATGTGTTGGTGTAGAGTTTCAGGGTGCGTGGTCGCATGGGTCGCTCATCCTCGTCCTCGTCCTCGTCAGCCTCGCCCGTGGGAGGGAGGGACGTGATGTGGAGCGAATGGATCTTTAGCTTTGACTGGAATGGAATGTAGAGCATGAGCTGCTCATCTGTGTCGCTTTCGATCCAGTCGGCACCACTGCTGCTGCTGCTGCCAGCTTCGGACTTGCTCTTTCCCTTTCCAGTAAGAGCAGAGGGTTTGAAGGTTTCAAAGAGGGCTCGTGGTCCGCCGAGCTGTGTGTCGCGATTGAGGAGGTCCAGTCCCTTCACCTCAACTTGATCCGTCACGTCCGCGTACCGCGATGCCACCTCGGCGCCCAGCCAGATAGCGCCGCTGCTCTCGCCAGCATCACCATCGGACTTGCTTGCTTCTGTCGCAAGCTTCCGGACGACCTCGGTCAGTTTCTGGGGGTCGGGGCCGGTGACCGTCTTGATGCTGCGGCCATTCTCGAAAACGATGAAAGTTGGGTACCTGCAAATGAGAAAAGTGAAAAACCGTCAGTCATGCTGCACTCATGGATCCCCTCGGCCAGAAATCACCGCCCACTCGGTATTCAGCCAGGGCCTCATTTCACACGTACGCTACGACACTGTATGCCTGGGCAATTTCCATCTGCTGGTCACCGTTGATCTTGGTGAATGTGATATGGTTCGGGCGGGACAGCTGCGAGGCCAGCTTCTCGTAGACAGGGGCGATAGCCTTGCAAGGTCCACACCAGTCGGCGTAGACTATGATTCAGAAGCAAAACAATTTCATCGAGTCAGCAAGTCTCGTCCATTTGCCTCGCACGCTCCTCTCATCTGAGCTTTCAAGGTGAAACACGTCTTCCGCAGTCAAAGGCGGGGCGGCGGAACACCTCGAATCCGAGACAACGGTGATAGATGGTGAGAGATTCCACTTACAGTCTGCGACCACAAAGCGAGATGAGCTCAGAAGGGAGTTGAACTGGCCGGCCGATGAGATATTCACTACCGCCATGATGACTGAGAGAGTGGTTGGGATCGTAGTAAAGAAGGAGGAAGCGGCGGGGATGTCGGAGAAAGATGTTTAGTCCGCTCCATGTGGTGACCCAATATGTCATCCCGCCCCTCACTCAAGCGGGTCTCGTCGACGACTAATCGATTCAGCTAACCTAGTAGTACCTTAGTAGTACTTGGACCTACTGGAAGCACTGTCTCCCTGTAGTCAATGTCAATCTGATGTGATGGTTTGGCAATCGTCGGTCAAAAGTGAGATACGCGGCCTGAGTGGGATCATTCACGCACAGTTTCAGCGGAAGCCGATGCAATAAACAGACGCCTAGAGACGGGACATTTAGCCTGTGGAGATTCAATTGCAATGCTTAAGACGGGAGAATTCCGGGATTCGAGAGCTATGCTATTGCGATTCCGAAATGCACACATAATTGATGCTCAAGAGTGCGTAGCCGTCTTTGGCTCAGGGTTGAAGCCTCGCGTCCTGTTTTATACCTACGCTGATATACTCTTCCCGATTGTTGAATCTACTCCGACCGCAAGGACATCCCCAACTGGATGATCAGCGAGCCTACAACAGCGTTTGATACATTTGCAGAGACAACATACATGGCCCGTACGTACGCATGAAAGGAGGTCTCTACTCTGCGTATATCGCAAGCCCAGGATCCTCGAGTAGCGCGTCCAAACAGAAAGCAACGATTGATATTTAGGTAGGATCAAGAACTACTCCTAGAAATGAACGTCCATGGCCGCATGTGGCCGCATGAAATTGGACGCAAGGTTATTCCGCCCAAACTGTTAACTCGGGAACGCGTAGCGAGATTCATGATCCATCAATTGCAGTCATGAGACAGCAAATTTCCGATGCAGAATGCTTGAAGTATCTCAATTGAAGCGAAAGGGGGAAGCTTGATCACATACAAGCTCTGTGAGATTTGGATCATGAATATGATCCTTTGAAAACCGAGTCCCCAAGAAATTGGACCACCGGGAGTTATGACCAGGGTAAAGCCTTTTGCCCACAAAGATGATACTATGCAGGAGCTTGATAGTTCACCAGGGCGGTTTTTATGGAAATGGACTGCATGTTGGTGGGAAAGTCATAGTCTTCAATGGGATCTGGCCCTCACTTGACGTGTGGTGAAGAGACTTTGACAAGCCCTGCCCAAATACCAAAGGTTCCGACCACCAGGCCTCGTAATAGCAAGATAACTCGGCAGATGTCCCAGAATAGGAATTGGGGGAGCGCCGAAGATGACGGCCAACAGGCCCGTTGCCAAATGCAGAAAAGACCGCGAGGAATGAAGTTCATGCGAAAGTGCACACATACACTTCTGCCTTTCAACCATCATCTTCAACCGCAAAAAGCACCTTCAACCACAAACTACACCCCCGACACCCCACAACAATCTCACCGTGATCCGCCTCCTTCTCCAACTCCTGCTCTGTGACCAAGAATCCCCTCTCATCACCACACCGACACCCACGATACCAACAAGCCCCGCGCGCATCGACACCGTCCTCATCACACGCAAGATCCTCCAAATCGACAATCTCGAGTCCCGTGTGAAAGACATCACCCGTCTTTTCTCGCTCTGCAAGCTTGGCCCGATCCAGTCGCAGGGTACGATCGTACTCTGCGCGCAGGGTGGCATCGGAAAGAGTCTTGTATGCGGTGGTGATCTCATCAATGGTGTAGATGCGCGGGTTGGGGCTCTTCTCGGGTGTTCCGGTAGGAGGAATGCTAGGGCGAGAGGTGGGTGTGCCGAGTTGTGTTGTTTCGGGCAGTGCGATGGTGCTGGCCTTATCGGGGTGATTTTTGAGAAGGGCTCTGTGGTATGCGATTTTGATTTCTTGTTTGGACAGGGTTGCGAAGGAGGTTGTGAAGGGTAGACCGAGGGTTTGGTAGTGGTCGGCTTGAGTGGAAGACATTCCTGGCATCTCGATGGCGGTTTCTCGAGTATCTTGTATGAGTTAAAGAATGCGGTAAAGCAGCTGAAGGTCTCTGGTGCTGGCAATTGGCAGTTGCGCGACGCGGCGACAACAGGTGGTTTCCGATGTCTCTGGGGTTAAGATAAGATGATCTCGAAATTTTGATGTTCGAGGGAGGCTCTCGGCCCGCTTGGCGGCGGGGCATTTCCGCGGAGGAGACTCGAGACCGCTGGAGGGTGGTATTGACCGTACCGGCTGGTACCACTTACCTCTGACTCCTGCACTGAGTACAAAAGAATAAGTTACTGTTCAAAAAGAGGATCTTAGACAAGTGTTCTCAAGCAACTTCTCGCGCCTGCTGGAAGATACTCAAAGCATTGGACTAAAGCGTGTTGGGTTCAACTTGTTGGAGGATACAGCAAACTTGGTGGAAGCGTGATGAAAACAGGCCCTGAGGAAACAATGGGCTGCGATGTGTGGGATTTCAGAAGGCGAACCGACTACATTGATTGAGAGTCAACCAGTAGGACGCGCAATTGACTTTCAAAACCCCCAAGGGATAGCCATAGATGATCAAATTGTATAAGGTACTTTCTCCACCCTATCTAAAGGTCTTTATGTGGAGACCGAGCACCAGTCGGGATATATGTAAAACAAGGGTGAAAGTGATCACAACACACAATATGCGTACAGGGGGCACACGGACATTAGACGGTCACCCTCAAAGAGGCGTACACGCTTTGTCGTTGCGGAGAGAGATATTGTTTTCTTACTCAGATGCCTTGAAGACAATTCGGTCCTCGGGCTTGCTCTCAAAGGGAACACCGAGTTCCAAGAGCTTGACGTAGACGTCAGAGAACTCCTTAAAGAAGGCATCCTGGTCCTTGGCATAGCGATCAACGTGCTTGCGGAAGACCTTGTCCTTGATGAGCGCAATGTCGGTGGGCAGCATCATCAAAGTAGAGGTGGTCTTGTCGGTGAACTGAGCAGGTCCGTTCCACTTGCGCTGGTTCCACTTCTCGTCAACGAGCAACTTGAAGTAATCGTTGGTGAAAACGGTAGGGCTGAAATCCCAGGGACCCTCGTAGCCCGAGCGGTCGGTGTGGGCACGGCCCAGAGCGTGAGCACCGGACAGAGCGACCATCTCACGGTCATCGAAGCCCATGCGGCCAAAGATGGTGCGGATGTGATCCTGGTTCTTGGAGGCGTCGGGCAGGCGACCATCGGGGGTGCAGGCAGCGACGTCCTTATCCTGACGGCCCGGTCTCCAGGGGATGACGGGGCCACCGAGTTCCTGGATGGCTGCGGCACCGGCCAGGGTCCAAAGATCGGAGTAGGTGATCCAGGGGAACTGGGCCTTGATGGGCTCAAGGAAGTCCCGGGCGTGCTTCAGACCGGCGTTAGCACCGTGGTCTGACTCGGGGGCGAAGCGCATGGTGGCACCGTTGCTACCACCAGTGCCGGTCACCTTGTCGTAGGTACCACTGGCGTGCCAGGCGAGACGAACGAGGACCTGATTGATAACACAGTCAGTGTTAGTGGTCATGACAGTCTCAGGTAAGGTCGCGCATCACTGCACCCATGGGTGCAGTGATGAATCGGATCTATCAGAGAGAACTTACGGGTCCGTAGCTGCCATCATCATAATCGGTCTCGTTGGCCAGACGGTGAGCAATGGCATCGTAGACCTTCTGGTAGTCCTCCTTGGTGGGCACAAAGGGACCGGCGGGCGTGGATTCGCCGTTTAGGTAGAAGTAAGCACCTGCACCACCGGCAACGGCGACGGCCAGAGCCCAGATGGCGCCGGAACCGCCACTCTTCTGACCGGCCTCTGAGGCGTACCCGCGACGAGCAGAGGAGCGGAAGCCCTGCGCAGGCAGAGCAAAGCGAGCAGAGCGCACGGCAGGGCGGAATGAGGAGGTCGCCGGGGTGGAGCGCAAGAAGGCGCGAGTAGCAGAGCGAGCAGCAGATGCCATGGTGACGAGCTCAAGGAGGCAGCGGAATATGGTTATAGACCAAGGAGAGTATGCACTATGCACAAGAGATAGCTGGTGGGGAAGGGAAAGATGAAAGAAAGCGAAGAGTAGCAACCGAGGAAGAAGCTAGCAGGCAGAGAAAGTATGCTTGTGCAGAGGAGAGACGGATGAACCCGGGGGAAAGCTCAAGCGGTCCATCCAACTCGCCTGGGGAGGGGCTCGCCCCCTTCCATTCTCCAGTCGACAGCACCCTCAACAGTAAGAAATTACTATTCTGAATGATCCGCACACGTTACAGCACTCCGGGCTGAAGTCAATGCATCTGACTCGTCGATTCCAGATCCATCTACGTTTCTCTGTCTTTCCGTTGTCCGGGGTTGAAGTACCACTTTGCGTAAGCTTCCCGATTCAAATCATACAGTAGCCGTTGGCCAGTCAGCGATCTATCAGCTGCGAAAAGAGAGCCAATCGAGTGGGCGCCATTCACAATGGCCTCGGCGCTGGACTCTCCGCATTTTCGCTAGTCTGCAGCCAAATCTTCGAGTTCGCATCATCCATGGCTCCTGGGGCTATCTCGCCGCTCCGATCCACGGCCAGCGTCCGACCGATTCTCAGTCTTGAGAATGGGCAAGCCCGCATCATCATGATAGGCATTGAGTTCGCTGCCGCTGTTTGATGGCTCGCGGTTGGACTTGCTGGCGACTCTTCTTATTACCTTGGACTCGGAGTAGTATGTATGAATATGACACGAAGAGCACCATCACCACGATGACCAAAGAACGAACTTTGCTTGGTTGAATATGGCTCGTCCATCTCCACTTTGTTGTTCTCGAACGGCCGTTCCGGGGTCGATGTTAATAATCATCATTTGTCCGCGGGCGGGTGCTTGAGGTCAGCTTCAAGCTGGCTGACCGTGCAAAGCGCACCCTTCAATCGTCATAAATAGATGCTCCGTCGGCTTCCATGGATCACACCCATCCAATGGGGTCTGCAAGACATTTCGAAGATACGGGAGGTCTCAATATTGCCCGTGAACTTCAGTCCAGGCTATGAAGTGATTGTTGAAGGTTTGGTGACTTGAAGAGACGATAAGAAGACCACCACGTGACATGCCCCTTGAATTGCCAGCTGGACTCTTGACAGTACGGCTACGAACCGAGACATCAACGCGGAATGTCAGATTTATCGCTTTGAGCAAAGTTGAATCACCACGGTTCAAGCTACCGTAGTGGAACTCGAAGAAAAAAAAAGATATCCATTGTTGACATACGAATGTTCGTCGTAAAAAAGTCCTGCTGCTCGACGAAAGAACGAGCACCAGGGTGGAGTAGACGCAGCCCTGCTAAAAGCTGTTTGGTTTTGTTCTCCCACGAACGAACGATAAAAATCACCCATGAGGCGTCAAGTACCATCAGGAGGCACCACGCGGGTTATGTGGGGGTTGGTAACATTCAGCATGCTCTACGACTGAATGACCAGACTCGAAGGTTTCTTTGAAGCAATTCGACAGCACGGTAGTGCGCTCGATCCTCGCATCACAGGACCGAGACACGCTTGCTCGGATTGTCTGCAGAGGAGGAAATGTGGGAGGACTGTGAGATCGAAAAATCGAAGAAAAAGGGTAACGGTGTATCACGTGATACCGACCGAGAGATCCCCTCGGCCAGGTCACGTGCCTCGGTGTATATGGGTCAAATTTTCGAGCGGCCCGTTCTACGCGTTCTCTTTCTCTCTACACTTTTTACCTCGAACGCATAATCAACCTCCAGTTCTCCCAGCCATAGAATGGCAGGTCATATTGGCGTACCAGAAGAATCCGAGTGCTTGTGACTTCTCGACGGTGCGAAGAAGCCCCTTCGTGGGCTTCTCGAGCGCGGTGGTAGATGCGAGTTGCAGGATGCTCAAACATGCCAATTTCTTTTTGTTATCTCAGCAGTTTTCAATAATAGTCTTGAATGTAGACTCATGAGACGATAAAACTTTATGTGATCTACATTCTTCGATGGCTATCCGACTTTCGCCAGGCCTTTTTTCTTCTTCTTCTTCTTCTTCTTCTTCTTCATAAGGATTCTCACATAGATCACATCTGCTTCTCCTGACTCGCGCGTATTACTGAGCCCAAGGGCGAGTATTTTGGTGAATCGGGCTTGTACGCTCTTTGGTTGTTTCCCTTTCTAGAAGCACGCTAGAATGTGCACCCTTTGCCGGCATGTTCGGCAAAGGGTACCACTGACCAGTGACCACACTGTCATCATTCAGGCCAGGATTTCCGTTGTCTGGTGTTGCTATTTGTAGAAGCCGAAACCGAGACCGAAATCAGGTGGGGAAAAGAGACGGGGGAATTTGGGCGACCAAACTACAAGGGGCTTGGACTGACTCAGTATGGAAAAAAAGAACACACGCGACCCTGGCGGCAGCAAAGCTTGTATCCCATGTTGACTGACAATTGAACGGACACCCAATCGTTCGCTCTTGTAGTGGTTCACTGGTTGGTGCCTCGGTGGTACCTCGTATGCTGTTTACTAGGGTCGGGCAAGAATAAAGTTGTTTCAGGTCTGCGTTTCGTCATGCTAGAGGCTATCTCCATTGTTGACGGCAGCCATAGCAGACACGTCGAACGATGAGAGTTGCGTCTTTTCAGGTACCGAATCGGATAGTCATGCGGATACTGTCTCGGTGCCTACTGAGTAGTCCTACGACTTGCAACGTGCATGCATCTGCCGAATCATTATAGACCTTTGTCCTTGAATTGCATGTTGAGACTACTTGCTACCCCCAACACTGCAGAATCTCGCAACTGGGGTACAACCCGAGTCTAGTTGATCTGACTGATGATCACAGACTTTGGGTCAAGCCTATCGACCTCGGACAAAATCACTAGTGTCCCACTGCGTCCTCCTCTTCCCAATCGTCGAGGAAAAGCCAGGTTCATCGGACTCGATCTCCGCGACTGGTTGGGCGTGGGCTCTGGGCCTGCATGGTACTCCGCCCATCTGGAGTCCGGCCCAAACCCTCTTTCCCCCCCCCCCCATTCTCCGACTCTGACTTCTCCCTCCCCCTATTTGGGTCGCGCTCGATGATTCTCTCATTTCACAATCGTGGTTTTGTGTCCGTTCCTTTGTTTTCTAGTTCATCATGCCGAGTATTATAAGCAAGCGTCAGCAGCTGCGCAATGAGAGGACTCTGGCGGAGCTGGTCCGGACCGTCCCCGGCAATGACCGCTGTGCCGACTGCGATGCTCTCAATACAGGTGAGTGCACTACACCTTTGCGAACGAGGGCTCTCCATCGCTCCGTTGCGTCGTCGCATGGACAACTGATCAAACTGACCCGCCGCTCTTTGATACAATCATAGGATGGGCAAGCTGGAATGTAAGTCACAGGAGCCATGGCTTCCTCTCCACCGAGTTGTTTCTGAGCTGACCCCGGAGTGCACGATTGTAGATGGGTATCTTTCTGTGTATGCGCTGCGCCGCAATCCACCGAAAGCTGGGCACACACATTTCCAAAGTCAAGTCCTTATCGATGGACACCTGGACCGATGAGCAGGTGGATGTGAGTTGTCGCCTCCTCCGGCTGAACGAAATAAGAAGCACCGAGAAGCAGTCACAACTAATTCAGAACTGCGCTAGAGCATGAAATCGCACGGCAACATGCTCATGAACAAGATCTTCAATCCCAAGAATGTCAAACCTCCTGTCCCTACCGATATCGACGAGGCGGATTCCTGTATGGAGCGCTTCATCCGTCAGAAATACCAATACCGGTCCTTGGAGAATGGAAAACCAAAGCCCCCGAGTCGCGAAGAAGCTAGCTATAGTAGAGACCAGGATCGACGGGATGACCGGCGATCACGCCAAAAGAGCTACGATGACTATGACCGCGACGATCGCTCGCCCGAGGATTCGCCGCCTCCTCTACCCCCCAAGTCCGGCAACTGGTTCGGCCTGCGAACCGCCTCGTCCACATCCAACCTCAGCCGTTTCAGCAGCAAGTCTAAGGCTTCGCTCTCGCCGAGTATGGACCAGCAGTCATGGTCACGTCCCCCTCGTCAGACGACTGGTCTCGGTGCACCGGTGGCTGACATGACGACTGCTTCGTTCGAGGCGAAGATGGCTGCTCTCCAGGACATGGGATTCACCAATGATCGGCGGAATGAGATGGTTCTACGCGGATTGAATGAGAATCTGGATAAATCAATTGAGACCTTGGTTCGCCTGGGCGAGGGTAGTAACCCAGGGTCAAGAGCCCGAACTCCTGTGCCAGCAGAGAGACCGACAGCCTCCGTGGCCGCTCCCGCGGCGCCTCGGGCACCCTCGCCAAGTCCATTCGACATGCCTACAGCGAGATCTGGGAATCCGGCATCGCAACAGCCGCAGGGCGCTTCATACAATCCGTTTGATCAGGTTACCGCGCCACAGCCAACGCAGCCGGCACCCTCTCTGGAGGCATCGTTCCAAACGCTCCAAGTCTCGCAACCGCTTTTCCCCCATTCCACGGGAGGTTTCCCAGCGCAGACTGGTCTGATGCCCCAAGCGACTTACCAACAGCCACTCACTCCACCCGCAACATCCACTTTCTCTTCCAACGGCTTTGTCTCCTCTCCGCAGGCATTGAACAGTAATCACAATCCTTTCTTCCAAACCGGAGCAACCCCACAGGGCATCTCGAGTGCGCAGTCATTCCCCCATCCCACCTCGAATGCGCAACCGAACAACCCATTCTTCAACGGCACGTCACAGCCGCAATCGCAAAATCCTTATGGACAACCACAACCACAGCCGCAATACAACGGCCAGCCAATGCCCTCTATCAATATCCCTCCACAGCCTCAACATGCAAACACCATGCCCTCGATCTCATCCACTTCGCCTTTTGGGACGTCTCCATTCAGCACATCTCCGTTCAGTCAGACCCCGGCATTCCAGACCCAGCCACAACAGCCACAATCTCAGCCGTTGAGGCAGCAAACCCTGCCTGCTGCTCAAGCAAACTACAACCCATTCCAGCAGCCAATGGGTACGCAGGGCACCTTCCAGCAAAACCAATTCCAGTCGCAGTCTCAGCCCCAGCTCCAGCAGCAGCCCCAGCAGCAGCAGATGATGCCCCAGTATACCTCGGCAATCAACAAGAATAACATCCTCTCACTATACAACGTGAACTCCACCCCCACCTCAAACCCTAATCCCATGTCCTCCGTCCCCGAACAACCTCAATTTCAATACCAGCAGGCCAATCTCGGAACAAGCCCTGTGCCCCAGCTCTCCAACTCCCTCTCCTCCACCCCACTCTCCCTGTCGGGCTCAAACATGCAAACTCCACCCACCGGTGCCACCCCAGCATCACGCAACCCATTCGGTGCCGCAAGCGTGGGATCTGGACTCGCCGCCCAAGCAGGCGTCAACGCCTTTGCTACCTCCTCTGGCCTCGGAATCGGAATGTCTTCAGCGCCTGGGAATGGCATGAAAACATCTCCTTCTCCCTTTACGAGTCCACCACCCGCGTCGAATGGGTTTCAGAGAACTCACATGAGCCAGCCCAGTGTGGATGTGAATGGTTTCCAGAGTGGACGGCACAGTCCCGATGCATTTGCTAGTTTGAGTGCGCGGTACGGTTGAGCGGTTCGGGAATCTCTTTCCTTCGTTTTTCCGCGATTTAGGGTGTTTGATGCCTCTTATATAAATATATATATATATATATATATATTTTTGCATCTTCTCATCTAATGACGATCGTTTCTTCAGGGATAAAGTGGTTTCCCTCTTCTTCTTTCTTTATCAATTTCCATGTTCCATTTTTCATGAGAATGTTGGCACAAATTGTATTATTATATCGTTAGGGGGTGGATTTACTTTCAGACTCAAAATTACAACGTCTACCTACATGGAATTTGTCTGACTAAGTTTTCATAGTTCGTGTCTTGTTTAGCGTGGACACTTACGGATGGAAAGGGTGGTATAAATTTGATTTTGATGATGCATGCCCGCCTCCATAATACCATTGACCACGAAGTATCGATGTTTAAAGCCTTGCAGCAGCAAGTATAAATTTAACCACCTGCATGCGTGCAAGAGATGGACCTGGATTAGCTGACTAGCGACAAGATATGTACAAGCGTGCTTCCGAAAGTGTACTATATACAATAAACTATAACTGTCTACGAGCAAAAAAGCTCTAGGGAAGATTATTCCCACATTTCACGGTCCGCGTGCGACTCATACGACTCTCTGTTCTTCAACCAATTTAGCAACGAGGACGGCACAAATCTCCATATACCGGGTGCAGGTGTTGGTGGTGCAGGAGACCACAGTCTTTCCCATAGAGTGAGTGATCGCCTGTTCCCAGGCCAAGGCCAATGACTTACTGGACGCGGTGCGAAAAGAGACCGTAGGTTCTCTTGCCAGGAAAGATGCGGTGAGAAATATGACTGTGCGGCGCGGCGCCATTCGGAGAACGTCGTATACCGTGGTGGGGTTGGAGAGGAGGACCATAGGGATGAGAAGGAAGATCGGGATGGAATGAGTGCTTTCCATCCTTGCTTTTGTTGCCGACGCGCGTCGTGCTGGAATCCTTTGATGATTCGGTTGAAGTGGCGATCTTGAGCGACTTGCGCGTGTCTTTGCTTTTGGGCGCGCCAGCCGTCTTGTTCCGATGGGTCGAGACACCAGACTACGACGTCGCCGCGTCGTCGCCAATCATCGTGCCAGGCGGTGTTGTACGTTCGCCAGCATTCGTCGTACGACGAGGCTCGGAGAAGACTGTGCATGGTGGGCTCTAGGTGCTGGAAGAAGATCAGGTAGTCTGGCCACTCATGCGTCCAGGTCTCTGCGGCACGAGCATCGACGGTAGAATGACCTCCGTGTTGATAACTCGGTCGTGAGGGGGTGTAGCGAAGGCCGCCTCTCATGTGCTCACGGAGGAAGAGGGAAGGATTGTCGTAGAATTGATCCGCTTCATCTCGGTATACGGCTTTTTCGGCCGGAGTCTGATCAATAGGTGGGTCGCATGTGAGTGCCCATGCATCGATCGTAGGAAAGACCATATGTGAGCGCCACGGTGTGCTGTGACAGGGCATCAAAAAGCCCGCCGTGATTCCAGGGCTGGCGCGTGGAGTTAGAGCTGATGTAACAGATGATGAGCCGTGGGCTTCATGCTGACCACGGAGGTAGGTCAACACGTTGATCACGCCAGATGCGTGGTACAGGCTCGTGTAGAAACCAATGACCAGGTTGGTGAAGACGAGAGAGATGAGAATCAGTCTCTGCGGGGTAGAAGCACTCGACGACCGCGAATATACCGCTGGGTAGAAGAATTGCACAAGTGGGGGCGCAGCGAGAATGTGCAGAGACGGCAATAAAGGGTAGATGAAGCGAACCTCCTTGTGCGAGATGAGCGACAACACAAGGGGCATGACCAGGCAAATGGTGGCTAATTGCAATCGAATTGCTGTCTGCACATGATCGGCAGCTGAAAAAGTTCGAGTGTTGAGCGTGCGGAAGAGGCCGACAATTGCAAAGGGTAGTAAAGTGGTAAGGAGCAGAGGATATCCCTGTGATAGATAGTAATGCCAGTCATTCCGACCGTAGAAGACTGCTAGCGACTGCGCGATATTGAAATATAAAAATCGCAGGGGAGGAAAGGTCCAAAATCCGTAGAACAGGCGATCCGCGACAGCTGATACGCCTAGGACCATTGATCTACCAAACATCGATTAGAGAACACCACAGGTCTTCGTATGCCGCCAAGGATCTTGACTGACCCGCATAGGAGAGTTTCCCGAACAAGCACCTTGCGCTGAGTCCAGCCGGAACGAACCCAAGCGACCGTTGCCAAGGTCGCCCAGATCAGGACATTTGTTGGGCGCAGGATGACAGCCAATGCCGCCAGGCATAAACAACGCCGGAGACTGCGTGGAACCTCATTAGCTGTTGATCAAGAACCAAGAGCGAATCGTCCTCGCTGTACCTCGACAAGAGTGCCCGAGACTCATCTATTGCGCCTTTGTGAGCTCCAGGCTTGCTTGAACGGCTGCGCACCGCCGAAGCGCCAGTTGACCACTGCCAAGGCCATTGATCCAATGCAACAATTGTCACCGTTGTTTCCACGCAATTGGACAATGTCCTGGTTGAGCAAAACCATTGCCAGGGATTGAGGATGGTTGCGAACAACTATCATCGTATTGTCAGTCAGGGTATCCGCCTCCATGCAAGTCAAAATCCCGGCTGCGCCGCGCTTCCCGGCGGATGACTCCGTCGATCGAGAGTGGCACGTACTGTCGTCCATGCGCCGCGTGAGTCAGGTCCGTAGACTCGAGTCGCGAGCTTCCATGTATAAAAGTCGCCGATCGCCGCGATCACGGCCTGTGCGGACTTTGGTCCCGCAATCAGGAGATCTGCGCGCGTGGTTGCGGAGAGACGGAGGGTGGTCGCTAGCAAATCGGTCACTTTGTAAACCGCTGCGAAGAACAGGGGATGTAGCGATGATCGGAGCTGCTGGTGCCATTCCTATCGTATACCGTGCGAAGGTCTCGCGATTAGAGATTAGTTCCCAAGACTGGCGACTGAGCTCGCCGGTGATCTTCTTGCATACCCAGGTCACCCATGCGCCCTGATCCTTGCCGAATGCAATCTGCCACGCGGGCTCCAACGACTGGAAGAATTCGTCTGGCTGGAAGAATGTGCGCACTGCGAGCGCATTGAGCAGTCGAAATGCGACCAGAAACAGAAAGACGTTCGTTGCTGGAGAGTGGAGCGGTGGTTGCGACACGAGCCGACGCGGGGAGGAGACGGCGGAGGACGGCATGGTTGTTTAGGTGTCGATTTGGGGGAGGGAAGTGGGTGTGAAGAGGTGGGAGAGACCCAATCAGCAGGGGAATCGGTGCACACGCCTGCAATGCTCGGTGAGTCGGTAAAGTTGGGTCGAGTCGGGACTCCAACGCGGAGGCTCTCGATTCGCCCTACAAACACAGATGATGCGGGGGGGGGGCGCAGGAGCATGACATCAACGCAGTCAGCACTCTCGGGGGGTGTCCAGGAGAGGCTCCGAGCAGGGGCATCCGATCCCTTCAAGACGGGGAGAGTCACGCGGCGTGGCCCAGTTCCAGTTGGGGGCAAAACAAGGGTTGCCGCAGCGAATTGCGCCGCTCGCGGTCCTCGATTCAAAGAGGTTGAGTTGCAGTTCTGCTGACCGGTCCGGTGAATGCCCAATTACCATTGGTGACGGTTGGGATTGATCTGGAGACCAAGCGGACTCGGAGAGGAGTCTCTGAAGCAAAAGGTGCACAACGCTCGTGTAATCCTGCGCATAGGGGACAGTGGATGTCAACAAGAAAGGAGGCTCGCGACGACCTGCACTTAGGAGAAGAGCACTTGCACTTAGCGGCATAGCGGCGGATCTCCCACGATGGACGCCACGTCCGCTTCCACGGGTCCAACTGGCTCCAGGTGGAAAAAAGTACTTAACCAAACCGAATGCCAGTTCTTTTCAGTCAGTTTTTTTCAAGTGATCCAAGACTGAATACTCTTCACCAGGCGGAAATCAACAGGCACGAGACGGGGAAAAACACTTGAGCTCCATTGACTTTCATCTTGAGTGTCATCTTTGATCTCGAGCATATCTACAACGCGACTCCGCTTATCAGCCTTATCTGATCTCTCTCCTCATTCCCCTCATCTTCCTCCCCCCAGAGCTGCACGCTGTGTGACCTTCCCCGCAACCTTCACCATGGCTGTCAAAGAGACCAACGGATCTGAGAGCGTCAAGGCCACGAACGGCGCCTCTGCTCATTACCATGCCACGTCAACGGACGCGGCCATTCAGGCCGAGCATGACTTTGCCGCTCACAACTACCATCCTTTGCCCGTCGTCTTTGCTCGTGCCCAAGGTACCTCTGTCTGGGACCCCGAAGGACGTCACTATCTGGACTTTCTCTCGGCCTACTCCGCGGTGAATCAGGGTCACTGCCACCCCAAGTTGGTTGCTGCGTTGGTCGATCAGGCTTCCCGGTTGACGCTGAGTTCGCGCGCCTTCTACAATGATGTCTTCCCGCGCTTCGCCGAGTTTGTGACTCGCTACTTTGGCTTCGACATGGTTCTGCCCATGAACACTGGCGCCGAGGCTGTCGAGACAGCAATTAAAATTGCCCGTAAGTGGGGTTACAAGGTCAAGGGTATTCCCGAGAATAAAGCGCTCGTTCTGAGTGCAGAGCACAACTTCCATGGCCGCACGGTACGTCAAAATACTGTTCCTTTTAAGTCACGGTTATTGGCCCAGAAGAAAGACGCCAAAGAATCCTCACTGACGGTTTATCTCCCTCCGCCCATGTAGTTCGCCGCTATCTCCTTGTCTTCTGATCCGGAATCGCGCGAGAACTACGGTCCCTATCTCCCGGGAATTGGCTGCACCGTTCCCGGCACGGAGAAGCCGATTGCCTACAACAACAAGGCTGCTCTGCGTGAGGCTTTCGAGGCAGCCGGCCCCAATTTGGCTGCCTTCTTGGTCGAGCCCATCCAGGGTGAGGCCGGCATTGTCGTTCCCGACGAGGATTACTTGCAGGAAGCTCGTGCCCTGTGCGATAAGCACAATGTGCTCTTGATCTGTGATGAGATTCAAACCGGTATTGCCCGTACTGGGAAGCTGCTGTGCCACGAGTGGAGCGGCATCAAGCCCGACATAGTCTTGTTGGGTAAGGCCATCTCGGGTGGCATGTATCCCGTTTCCTGCGTTCTCGGACGCAAGGACGTCATGCTCACGATCGAACCCGGCACCCACGGTTCGACCTACGGCGGTAACCCGCTGGGTTGCGCGGTGGCAATCCGCGCTCTCGAGGTTGTCGAGGAGGAGAACATGGTGGAGCGCGCTGAGAAGCTCGGCCACCTCTTCCGGAAGGGTCTTGAGGATCTGAAGAGCCCTCTGATCCAGACCGTCCGCGGCAAGGGATTGCTTAATGCCATTGTCATCGATGAGTCCAAGACTAATGGCCACAGCGCCTGGGACCTGTGCATGTTGATGAAGACCAAGGGACTGTTGGTACGTATCACCTGACTTGTCCGAAGAGTGGTTTTGACGCGTTTGCTGCAATTTTTCCTTTCCTCCTTGAAGCCTCGATCAGATCTTGTGCTAACATGACCCTTTTCCGCTTGACAGGCCAAGCCTACCCATCAGAACATCATCCGCCTTGCCCCACCATTGGTGATCACCGAGGAGGAGATTAAGCAGGCGCTGCAAATCATCGGTCAGGCCGTGAATGAGCTTCCTAACCTCAAGGGCAACGACGAGGACCACGTGATTCCTGCTCCGGAGAAGAACGTCAAGATTGGCATTGAGAACTAAGAGACCGCTCCGATTGGCGATGATTCCGCACCTTCGCTTCCATGCCTCACGCAGATCAGACTTTCACATAGAATGCTGGCTGATCGCTTGAGAAGTGAAGTGAATCATCCTCCATCTGGAATTGATGCGCTGTTTCTGCAGCCCGATGCCCACAATTCAGGCAGACTACAGGCAGTAGCTTGCTACCACAGATTGCAAGTCCATTTGTCTTACGACTTGACGATGACATGGATCAACAAATACCCAGACTGAGAGGGAAAAAGGGAATAGAATGGAAGACAGCGATGTTCATCATCACCCGCACACAGATTGTGTGTTTATAGCTTACATGGAAGCCCAGACAGTTCACATGTCTTTCTTACCAGAGAATTAATTAAAAAGTTCTTTTTCACCCAAGCCTTCGTCCAAGAATAGTGTCCATAATCGACTTGAAAGTCCTGCCATCGGCATATTCAACAAGACTCTCGCGCATCTCCCCGAAAAGGTAAACCCCGTCTCCGAACAGAATTGCCCCATCGGGCCTTGTCTCCGCCTCGGACAACCAACCCTGGCGTTTCTCCGCATGCTCCGAAGACATTGTTCTCCGAGATTGAAGCATGGAGACTGAAAATTTGATGTTCATGAACGCTGTAAAGGGTTCTAGACCATGCGAGACTACGAAGCCATTTGAAAGCAGGCATAGCTGTACCGTATTTATCGGATGTAGGGACTTATGGACTCTATCGCCGACTATATTAACATACAGCGCTGTACATTCCACGACGCGCAGAGTTACTAGTGAACATGACTCCTGCGTCAAGACTGCAGCCACCACTCCGAGAGCGAGATTGTGCGGGAGAGGTACGTCGAGGTGAAATAACCTGGAAGAGCGAAGGAGTTGTTTTTCATTAAAATACAATCTTGTCGTCAACCTGACTTTTACTGGGCGAAGATGATCAGGAGATCAGGGAACTGACTGTCTCAAGAATGCGGGATACCTGTAGCCCTCATCAAGTTACGAGAGAATGTTTATTGTTTACACTTTAAATGAACTTGGGCTCTCCTTCCACAAGTTCGTTCCATCTTAATCTTATCTTTTATGTCCGATCGAGTACCAAGCGACATGCCTTGGAAACGTTCATTGTCAGTACTTGAACCTAGTTGATTGCTATGACAAAATGCAAAATTTGTACTTGATCGTCGGTATTGCCCACCTTGGTAGTCTGTGACTTTGCACTCCGTACCAATCGGCTCAGAGTCTTTGGACTTCACATCAACGGTCCACCACCCCTCGGCTAAGTGGAGGAGGTTAAAGTATGGATGACTGGGGTCATGGGAACGGAGCATGAAGCTTGGATTGTTTGTAGTTTTGTATTGGTAGTACCATACTGAGTCTTCAGTCTTGAGTCTACTAGTCTAGTACCTGTAGGTTCAATTACTTACTGCACAGTGCACACTGCTCAGTACTCGGTGCTCACTAAACTACCCAGTACCTACTACCTAGTATACTACCTACTACGAATTTACTGACTACTATCCTAGACAAACAGCAAGTCTCCTTAAGGCCTGGCTGGACGCTATGCTCGACACAGAGACTCGAAACTAAGGTAGTGGACGGATGTCGGGCCTGAAAATTGCCGATTCCGATGGAGACCGCCGCAAGGCCGTTGGTAGAGCTGACCGGCACACTGCGGCGCAGGAGTACTATGGATCCGTCCATTCCATCAATAAGCATTGATTAATCAGCGTTGTTTACCTGAGGCGGGGGCTATCTGGCAGTGCCGAGCGAACACGAGAACGAGGACGTACCGTATGGTATTAAATCTTTGAACTGATCCCGATCAATGGAACAAAATAATTCATGACGGACTACATGATCACAAATGTTTCCAATCACGTTGATCTGCTTTGACTTGTACCATAAACATTTTGCATGAGGTAAGGTAGTATGTACCTGAGATCTAGTATGTACTAATGAAGCAGTTATGTACTATGTACCCTTTGACATATGTGTAGGGAAAATTGTTTGACTGCTTCGCTTGGTGCCATCAAGATCATGCGATCCAGGCACAAGCATGTCAAGTCTACCCTAACAATAATGTCGTGTAACATGCACCGCATAACCTTGAAATGGCATTGATAGACAGTCTTAGACAGCACCTGAGCATGATACTGAAGTGATCATCACAACCTCAGTATTGAATTTCGTAGTCCAGACCCTTGCTCGATTTCAGACTTCCCAGTCGACATTTCAAGACCACTCCTGACATCTCACTACCACCTTCATACAAGATGAGACTATGATGATATGATCATACATATGATGCCAGTGCTACTGTAATTAACGGCACATACATACAGTACATGTGTTTTGCTTTACAGTTACAGTATCAAGATCGGTTGCATCGTATTCGATGGGCTGGTCGGTTGGCTTCCGTAACAATTGCCATGACAGGCAAGAATACATGGGGAACACGGTTCAAGCCGACATGAAGCCTGTTCATCCACCGCCAGAAAGTCTCGTGACTCATCATGGGAACGAGCGCAAACTCCGAGTCGGAACTATCTGCAATGAGCCATGATGTCAGGCGTAATGTACCCTAATGACACAATCTCGAGGCTTCGAAGCTCCTTTGACATACTGTAATCAGCAGTCGGACTCGGACGAAAAAAGTCCGAAGTTTTGGATTTTCAATCCATGACCCCGAGTCCTTTGTATTCAAGCATTCTGATTCATCCAGCACCCACCAACCGAACAAGAATATTCCATTCCGTTTTCATCTGCTTTCGCCCGCGCTTGATCGCCCCACATCGCTGGGTCTGCCGATTGCCAGTGAACACTGAACACTAATAGGTACATGATACTAGAAGGTGGACACTAAGGTAGACAAGTGGACAACGCTGGATTGCTGAAAGTGAGGGACGAGACCCTCGGTGATCGTAGACGGGCTTAACTCCATTAAATCCACTTGATTCATAATGACTCCCTGAAGTCCAGTTTTTCCTTAGCTCCTCATGTCCCTAACTTCCTGATGTCTCCTTGACTCCTTTTTCAATTCCAAGCATCTCGGCGGATGAGTTGAGATTCCGCAACTCAGTCAGTCCACGCTATCACGACAACCGACGGCGCTCTTCCTAGTCGGCCATGTCTGCGCCGCCCGATCCACTGCCGCAGGCAGTGATCGTCAACAACGAGAAGCTCCAAGCCGACAACAGCGCCAGTTCAAGGTCAGCTTCTGCGGACGAAGCAAAAGTTCCCGGTGTGACATTGCAACCGCCCAAAACAAAGAAGAAATGGAATCAACGACTCAACCCCTTGCGTTGGCAAGCGCCTCCACCGGTGCCTGACGAGCGTACACCGTCCCGAGAGTATGGCGCGTCATTCTTGAGTAAAGTGACGTTTCAATGGATGTCTCCGTTGATGAAGGTATGTGTGGTCCTGGGTTGCCTCTGAGGTTGTGGTCAGGTCGTGCGGACTTGGGCCGCGGCGCCGAGGCATATCATAACTTGGCGGGACAGAGCGGCGGGGAACGGATGGACTAGGCGACACTGGACAATGTACTGACGATTCACTCTTTCTTTGGACAGGTTGGATATCTACGACCGCTTGACTTGCAAGATATTTGGACGGTCAACCCTGACCGAGCGGTCGATGTGTTATCAGAACGGTTGGACGCCGCGTTGCAAAATCGCATCGCGCGTGGTACTAAACGCTCGCTCGTGTGGGCCTTGTATGATACCTTCCGCTTCGAGTTTCTTCTTGGCGCCGTTTGCCAAATCATCAGTTCTCTTCTGCTGGTTTTTGCGCCGTACTTGACCCGCTACTTGATCGCCTATGCTACCGACGCTTATGTAGCTCAACAGACTGGTCGCCCGGAGCCCGCCATCGGGCGTGGTATGGGATTTGCTGTGGGAATCACCGTCATGCAGGCAACACAAAGCTTGTGCACTAATCAGTTCCTCTACCGGGGACAAATGGTCGGCGGTCAAATCCGCGCTGTGTTGATATCACAGATCTTCAATAAAGCGATGAAATTATCGGGTCGTGCCAAGGCGGGTGGACAGGCAAGCGACGCCGAGTTAAAGGCTCTACAGGCGACCAAGGAGTCATTGATGAAGCAGGACGGCAAGACAAAGCAGCCCGACACGAAGCCATCAGTAGCAGGTGCCACTGGTGGCGTTGCGGGAGACGGTCGCGGATGGAGCAACGGCCGCATTGTGGCGCTCATGAGTATTGATGTTGATCGGATCAACCTGGCTATGGGCATGTTCCATCTGATCTGGGCGGCCCCGGTCATGCTTATTGTGACCTTGGTGCTGTTGCTGGTCAACCTCGGGTACAGCTGTCTTTCTGGATACGCGCTGCTGGTCTTTGGCATGCCATTCTTGACCTATGCCGTGAGATTCCTGATCAAGAGACGCCGGAACATCAACAAGATCACCGATCAACGTGTATCTCTCACCCAGGAGATTCTGCAAGCGGTTCGATTCGTCAAGTTCTTTGGTTGGGAGAGCAGCTTCCTCGGACGATTGAAGGATCTTCGCAGAAGAGAGATTAGTTCGATTCAAACCCTTCTCGCAGTGCGGAATGCGATTCTGAGTGTGTCCATGTCAATCCCAGTCTTCGCCTCGATGCTTGCCTTTATCACCTATGCCTTGACGAACCACGATCTTAACCCAGCACGAGTCTTTTCTTCACTGGCCTTGTTCAATTCGCTTCGTCTGCCGCTGAACATGATGCCCCTCGTGCTCGGCCAGGTCACGGACGCATGGACCGCTCTGAACCGAATCCAGGAATTTTTGGACGCCGAAGATCAAAAGGAAGACATCGAGAAAGTCGAGACCATGTCGAATGCGATTGAGATTGAGGATGCATCCTTTACTTGGGAGCGTCTGCCCACCGACGAGAAAGAAGGCGAGGCATCACAAAAGAAAGGCGCCAAGCATTCAGAAGTGAAAGCTCTGACTTCTCCGGACGAGAAGCAGGATGCGGAGACCGCTGTGTTGGAGCCATTCCGACTCAAGAACATTAATTTAGAAGTTGGTCGCAATGAACTCCTTGCGGTCATTGGAACTGTCGGCTGCGGCAAGAGCTCTCTTCTTTCTGCGTTGGCTGGCGATATGCGTGTGACCGAGGGCAAAATTCGCATGAGCACGACGCGGTCTTTCTGCCCGCAGTATGCCTGGATTCAGAATGCCACGGTGCGCAACAATATTTTGTTTGGCAAGGACTATGATGAGTCCTGGTACGAGCAAGTCATTGACGCCTGCGCTCTCACCCCGGATCTGGAGATTCTCCCGAATGGTGACTCCACAGAGATCGGAGAACGTGGTATCACGGTATCTGGAGGCCAGAAGCAGCGTCTCAACATTGCTCGTGCCATATATTTCAACGCAGAGCTGGTGCTTATGGATGATCCTCTCTCTGCCGTCGATGCTCACGTTGGGCGCCATATCATGGACAAGGCTATCTGTGGTCTCCTCAAGGACAGATGTCGCATTTTGGCAACTCATCAACTCCATGTTCTCAACCGCTGTGACCGAATCGTTGTGATGGACGAGGGACGGATTCATGCTGTGGACACTTTTGATAATTTGATGCGGGACAATGAACTTTTCCAAAGACTCATGTTGTCATCCAAGCAGGACGACTCGAAGGAAGAGAAGGATGAGGCTGAAATTGCCGAGGACGTTATCGGCGAGCCGGAGGGAAAGACTCTGCCCAAAAAGACATCTCCCGCAAGGCTGGCGGGTCCTGCCCTGATGCAGCAAGAAGAACGAGCCACTGCTTCTGTAGGATGGAGCGTGTGGAAGGCTTATGTCCGTGCTTCAGGCAGCTACTTCAATGCCGTTGCGATTGTCATCCTTCTTTGCCTTGCCAATGTTGCCAACATATGGACCAGTCTGTGGTTGTCTTATTGGACTTCGAACAAGTACCCGAACTTGTCCATGGGCCAATATATTGGTGTCTATGCAGGACTTGGCGCCGTTGGTGTCCTACTCATGTTCTCGTTTTCAACCTACATGACGACTTGTGGAACCAACGCCAGTCGCACGATGCTGCAACGCGCCATGACGCGTGTTCTTCGAGCCCCCATGTCCCCTTTTTTGATACCACGCCCCTCGGCCGAATCACCAATCGCTTCTCCAAGGATATCCAAGTGATGGACAACGAGCTTTCAGATGTGATGCGTATCTATGCTCTGACTATGACCATGATCATCTCAGTCATGATCTTGATCATTGTGTTCTTCTACTACGTGAGTCATGCTATGGGGTCTCCAACTCGAATTTGTCTGGAATTGGCGCTAACCTTTCACATCACAGTTTGTGATCGCATTGGCTCCTCTATTTGTTTTATTCCTCCTGGCGTCCAACTACTACCGGGCCTCTGCGCGGGAGATGAAGCGACATGAGTCTGTCCTGCGATCGAACGTCTACGCCAAATTTGGCGAGGCCATTAGTGGCGTGGCTTGCATTCGCGCTTACGGCGTGGAAAACCAGTTCCGGAAAAGCATCAGAAGCTCGATTGACATAATGAACGGCGCTTACTTCCTCACTTTTTCGAATCAGCGATGGCTCAGCATCCGCCTCGATGCTGTCTCCAGTGCACTAGTCTTTGTCACTGGTGTTCTGGTTGTCACATCGCGATTCAATGTGTCACCTAGTATCTCCGGCCTAGTCCTGTCTTATATCCTGTCGATTGCTCAAATGTTGCAGTTCACTGTGCGACAGCTTGCCGAGGTCGAGAACAACATGAATGCCACTGAGCGTGTTCATTACTACGGAACCGAATTGGAGGAGGAAGCACCACTGCACCGTGTTGAGGTGCCTGCCAGCTGGCCCGAAAAGGGCCATATCGTGTTTGACGACGCGCAAATGCGGTATCGCGATGGCTTGCCTTTGGTTCTCAAGGGTCTCAGTATGGACGTCCGTGGTGGTGAGCGGATTGGTATCGTGGGACGAACCGGTGCAGGCAAATCTAGTATCATGTCAGCTTTGTTCCGTTTGACAGAGCTGTCAGGCGGCTCTATTCACATTGACGGCGTTGACATTTCCACCATTGGTCTGCATGATCTTCGTTCACGACTCGCTATCATCCCACAAGATCCTGCCCTCTTCAAAGGCACCATTCGTTCCAACCTCGATCCTTTTAATGAGCACACTGACTTGGAATTATGGTCCGCCCTGCGCAAGGCATATCTCATAGGAGACGAGACCATTGGTCCGGATTCTGAGATTGTCGATACCAGTTCAGGCTCGGGAGGCACGACGCCGGTGATTGGCAGCGACGCGAAAGCGCGATCGGCAAACCGTCTCAACCTCGAGTCTGCCGTGGACGAGGAAGGACTCAACTTCTCCCTCGGTCAGCGGCAACTGATGGCCCTTGCGCGTGCCCTGGTGCGCGATGCTCGCATCATTGTCTGCGATGAAGCCACTTCCTCCGTTGACTTTGAGACCGACCAAAAGATTCAGTATACCATGGCGCAGGGCTTTGAGGGCAAGACCCTCCTGTGTATTGCGCACCGACTGCGGACCATCATCCACTACGACCGCATCTGCGTTATGGATCAGGGACGAATTGCCGAAATGGATACTCCCGTGGCGCTCTGGGATCGTCCAGATGGCATCTTCCGGGCCATGTGTGATCGCAGTGGAATATCTCGAGATGATATCCTATCATCCACGTGAGAGCATGATTTCTCTCCAGCAATATAGGAAACGGTTCTACGGAGGGAGAACATATATTTGCGAGATGAATGGGATCCCTTGCTTCTCAACAAAAGAGCATCTACTACGGAACCATAACATATGGATGGCGTACTTTACTTATTCTAATTTTGAACATCTATACCTATGTACGGCGGTTGTATCAATGCCATGATGTCTCCAATTAACTTGAACACTTCACAATGAACCCATCACAGGTAAATAGACTCGCAGAGAATTCGTTGGGATACACATTGGAAGGTCCTGTGATTCAGCACAGGACTCGTCCTGCTACAACAACCTACTCTTTATCCAGCTCGCAAACCAACTCCATCCCCAAATTCCTCATCATCCCATCCAAACCAGCCAACCTCCACCCCTCCACATCCCTACCATCCAAATCCACCCTCTCCTCCTCCTCCGACAACCCTCCCACCGGCAAGCCCGTATACTTAATCACCAACGCCGGCGCCGTCCCCACCACCCTCATCCTCAACCCCGTCAACACCGCCCTCAAATGATCCGTCGCTTTCCCACCCCCCCTCGACCCATACGAGACCATCCCCGCCGGTTTCCCGGCCCACTCGTGGAACAAGTAATCCAGCGCGTTCTTGAGACTCGCCGGGATGCTCCAGTTATACTGGGGCGTCACGAAGATGAAGGCGTCGTAGGCGCGGACGGTGGCTGACCATGCGCGGGTGTGGGGGCGTGTGTAGTGAGGGGTGGGATCTGAGGCGGGCAGACTGGCGGGGATGACGGATTCGTCGTAGAGGGGGAGGGATTGCGCGGCGAGATCGAGGATGGTGAAGGTGATGTGTCGGGAGTTGGGATCAGGGTCGATGTCGATCTCGGTGTCGGTGTCGGTGGTGGTCTCGTTCGGGGAGGACGCTTTGTTTTGTGAGGAGGAGGGCTGCTGGGTTGGTAGGGCCGGGTCGTGGGTTAGAAGGTCGTGGACGTAGCGGGTGATGGTTGGGTTGAGGCGCGGAGATCGAGTGCTGCAGGTGACGATGGCGATCTTTTTGGGGGGCATATTGGAGGGGTTTATTCGGGTGAGGGTGTGATATTTGGGGGGGGTGGGTAGGTTTCATATACACTCGGATTGTACAAGAAGGATTGTAGACCTGGTGATGCTGGTCGGTGTTGCAGTGACGAATGGATGATTAACTTGTCAGAGGGAGTGGGCCAGTGTATTTGGCAATTTGAGATTCCACTTCAAAGTTGCAATTGGTGACTAGTTATGGCGAAAGTCATAAGAAACAGGGATCTTCCAAGACTTCACTTGGAGTTGTTTACGAGTGAAAGCTCTCCCAGCGACGAGTTCGCTCGGAACACTCGGGTATCAAGGGACCAAGTGGATGATGACGAGAGATGGTAAGTCTGCGGAAACATCCGTTATAATCGGGATGCATATAAAATCAACTGATGAGATTCTTGTTGGCACGGTTCACTCCACGCCAGAATCACGGGTCTCTTTTCCAAAGAGAATGGATTCTGCAATTCAACCGAGTACCGACTGACTTTCATCAAAGCCGGGCAGGTGAGCCGACAGTCCACGTGATCCAAAGAGAGAGCTATCGAATTGACAAAACACTACTACAACTCAAAGAACCCTCGTCCCTCACAGCATTGTCGAGACTCGAGAGAGCTTCGACGAGGTTGCATCACAAGTGGATCAGATGAATGTACCCGAGCGAGCTGACTTTCTGCAACGACATCAATCTGACCGTCCGACTCCACCACAAGCATCGAAAAGTGGATTGCATGTGCAGGACATCGCGGACACACCGTTCGTTCGAGAGGACTGATGTCTTCGTGAAGCCAACTCTCTCGACTAGCTGCAGTCAGTGTCGGAGGAATTGCAGCTTTCGGGTGAGATGCTTCCAGGGGCCAAGAAGATTAGATTATCTTGGCTGAGCCATGCATCGGCCTGATTCTTCACACGTGGAGGATGCGTCCATACAACTTCCTCACCTTGATCAATGTGTTGAATGTTTAGTCTGGCACTACAGAATGAAGGCCCCGTACACGATCAAGAGCAATAACCTCGCTTAGAGCCAGAACTTGAAGATAGCTCTGAATGGGGATCTGCAACGATCCAACCACACATTGCTTCATGGAGCACGTTCAGCGGGATGCATATCTTGGCATGACAAGGATGGCTGACAGGACCTCCCGCCAATCCTTCAGACTAACCACTTTAGCTTGATCTGAATACCTTGCAGGGAAATGATCCCTGACAACAATGACCCCTCCCATCACGCAAACGTTGAAGTGCTCTCGGAATCGCTGTCGGCTACCCGTTTATCCATGACTGTGAGTTATGTCGGCAAAATCTATAAAAAGGGCGGCCGACAGCCAGAAGTCGAGAAACAACCAAGGGGACAAGATCGACATAGTTCATCACTATGAAATCCACTCTCGCTCTTGCGGCGATGTTCACGGCATCTGCCCATGCGGCAGCCACCAGCGGGAAATTCACCGCGCTGAGCTTCAACGTGGCTGGCCTCCCTGAGCTCCTCCAAGGCAATGAAGTGAACGGATCCAAGACCGAGAATTCAGGATTGATTGGGACCTACTTTGCCAAGTATGGTTACGATCTCATCCATCTGCAAGAGGTGAGTCCTGCCGCTGGGGAAGGGGTGTGGTTTGTAGTGGATCAGGATGCTAATCGAGGCGTTTTGGACAAGGACTTCAACTACCATGCATACATCTATGCGACCGACAACCACCAATACAGAACTCCAACCTCTGGAGGTGCCGCAATTGGCAGTGGGTTGAACTCACTATCCAATTACAGCTGGTTGAACTTTCTCCGAACCAAGTGGAACAAATGCTCCAGTGCGTCAGGCAGTGACTGCCTTACTCCCAAGGGATTCACGTTTATGCGATGGAACCCGTCCGAGGGCGTCTATATCGATGTGTACAATTTCCATGCCGATGCTGGGTAAGTTGAGAAGCTTTTTGAAACTCCGGCTCACGGTGTTTGGCAAAGTCGAACTGAGATTGACTGACTGACTGACTCGCCGATGCTCCCCATCCAGCACCGAGCCCGATGATGAACAGGCCCGAAACAGCAACTTGCAACAGGTCGCAGATTACATCGACACCTGGTCCGTCGGCAACGCGGTGCTGGTCATGGGCGACACCAACAGCCGATACACGCGCCAAGATGACACCGGCATCCGTGTGTTCAAGTCCCAAAACAACCTCCAGGACGCCTGGATCGTAAACGCAAAGGGCGGCGTCTACCCCACCGCGGGAGCCGACGCTCTCCTGTGCGTCAACCCTTCCACGACCGAGACCTGCGAGACCGTCGACAAGGTGCTCTACCGCGGATCGAGCCTCGTGTCTCTATCCTCCACCAGCTTCCTGTACGCCGGCGAGCAGTTCCCCAACACCAACCCCGAGTACCTCGGTCAAATCATTTCGGACCACAACCCGGTCCTCGTGGACTTTTCCTGGACCACGTCGAGCGATTTTCGACAGAGCCCCTTCTCAGGTGGTCCCCATGGTAACTGGTTCAACGATCTCCCAAAACTCCCTGCCTCGCCCGTTGCATCGGTCCTGAAGTTCAGCGGCGCCGATCGTCTGGATTCCGTCTCCATCCAACTGGCGGACGGGACTACCTTCAGCCACGGCGGAACCGGCGGCACTGCCAAGAGCCTTACGCTGGGTAAGGGGGAGCGCTGGATTAGTACCAAGCTTTGCACCGGTCAGAAGGATGGCCGGACTCGTAACTTTTATATCAAGGCGACGACTAGTGATGGCCGGACTCTCGAGGTAGGTACTGCGACGGATAGTTGCACCAGTTTTGTGGCGGACTCGGGATATGGGGTGGTTGGCTTTATGGGTCAGGATGGGGATGAGATTGATCAGTTGGCGCTCATTTATGCTCGCTACGCATGATTTATCCGCTTGCAAAGAGTTGAAGGGACGGGACGGGACGTGACGTGGGTTCCAAAGATCGGTGTCGTGTTGTCATATTGTGCTTCTTTGCTACATTCGTTGGTGAAATTCATATCATATTCTTCTTTCAACGCGAGTGCGCAAATAACCTCCCGCTTGGTACGGTACTACGATTGACTACTAGTTTATCCCTGAATACGACAGGTAGAACTTCAGATCTCCGCCTACCGAGCCCATAGATGCCATCTGCATGGAGAACTGACACCACCAATGCTGGTCAAATCGACCTCAAAATCTTGCATAACCCAGTTCATCAAGTCTCATACATAGTTCTCATTAATCCATGCCAATCATATCGTAAGATCATTAACCAAGAAAACCTCCCCCCCCTCCTTTGCACGAAAAGGAAACCTAGCGCAAACTTCTCTTCAAGCAGTACCAGTCTTCGCTTTCCACTTCCCCGTCCTCTCACTCCACTTCCTCTTGAGGTGTACAGGACTCTCTTGCGCAACCAAAAGAAAATAAATGAACAATCCCACCAACTCAAGTCCTCCCTCGGCCCTAAACCACATAATGAGGTTTTCGGCTCGAGCTGCGATGACGATGCGACGAGGAATGACCACGTCGACTACTATGGCTCCGACGACGGACAGTCGTCTCCTTGACGACCACCGGCTCCCTGGCCCGTTTGTGAATAAAGAGGGCCAGCAACGCCGTCCAGAAGAAGAAAATGGTCTCCATGATTCCCAGCGCAAAGGATGCCTTGAGCATGGCGCAGGTTTTATTCACGTCCAGCGAGGGGGAGTCGACCTGGGCGCCGTATGCGCCAAAGGGGCCCAGGGAGACCCAGACGGAGCCGCCGTTCCAGTGGGAGCAGTTGGCGCTGGCGATGAAGCGAAGCTCGTAGACCCCGGCGATAAAGGCGCCGACGAAGCACAGGTCGACGAAGGCGACGAAGTAGGCGGAGCGCTTGGTGGTGGAGAAGCGGACGAGGGTGTCGAGCACCCAGAAGGCGGCGATGACGCTGACGATAAACAGGACCAGGACATAGGTCGGGGTGAGCATGTTGGCATTGAGGTAGCCATGAACGAAGTAGGCCTGATCCGGACGGGAGTGGGGAGAGTATGAGTTAGCATGGGTAGATACCGAGGGTGAGATCTTGCGGATCTTCCAGTTCTTGGTCTTGCTGATGCCTTTATCTGTGGGGGGGGAGTTACGAAGACTCGGTGAACGTACCAGCATGCCGATGATCGGAATGAGAAAGACAAACTCCACCAGCCGGTTAAAGATGAAAAAGATATCGCCGATCATCTTGACGGTGGTTAAATGGAGATATACTGCTCCAAACCCTCGCGTGTCTTCCGTTGGTTTGATATTCGAGACGTGGTCGACTTCAGCACGTTGCGGGCTGGATGGGTTGGCGCAAGATGCACGAGGCGTCCAGAATGTAATGCACGTTATAGGGGACGATGATTTGCAGATGCAAGGGAGTGGGCACGATGAGTTTTAGGTAGACCGCCTGGTGCACCTTGAGGCAGTCTCAACTTCTCAAGTACCTTGGAGACACAAAAGTCCCACGAAGAGACAGTTGAGAAGTGAGGGTGAGCGCAAAGACGATGGTCTGGACGAGGAACAGGACCTCGACGAGAGAAGGGCGCCAGAGAGGGAGAGAAAGGTGGGAGAGATGTAGAGCAGAGAGGAGAGGAGGAGGATAAAAAAAAGGAAGGAAAGATGCACGAGGAATCAGGCACACGAGGTACAGATGTAAAGACTTTCTGTGGAACCCAAAGAGACTCCGTTCAAAGTCAACAACTCTCACGCAGGTGCCGTCATCTTGCGCCAGGCGAAAAGGTGGGGAGACAAGGAGGCTGGACGAGTCAGAAACGCCCTGATGAGGTGGCTGGGATGAACGCCCACTCTCGTCCCTCTCTCATGCGTGGGCGAAGGAACTCGACACCACGAGGCTGAATCTCCAAGTGGGAGTTGTCCCGTGCTGGAAAGGCCCAGATGTTCATTGCTTGCACGGCCACGAGGTTCCGCCCTGGCCGTCTCTCCGTATCTCGCAATCCTGCATGGAGACGTTGTCACGGAGATTGTTGATTTGGTGATGATCGACTGGCGAGTGGAGAGTTGGGCGAATGGTTGGAGGGCCAACTCGGCCCGCGGCCAAAGTGGAACAGCCTTCGACTCGCGGCCAATCGATGGCGAGAATTGAAGATTAAAGAATCAGGGCGGATCTTCGGGAGTCGCAGCGAGTTCAATGGAAGTTAGGGAACGGATCTTTGTACGGTACACACTACACAGTACAGAGTACAGACTATAGAGGACCGAGCATACAGTATGCAATTGACGGTTTATACACACGCTCACTAAACAATGGGCATGTTGACTCGGCCTTGTGTCTCTCGAAAGAATAGTCAGAAGCTCGAGGCAGTTGCGACGGACAATACAGCATGATCAGAGAGAACTATCTGTGAGGGTCATAACACCCAAATGATAGGGTCCGACTCCAATCTCAGCAGGGCTCGTCACCCCGTCCATTCAATGCATGGTAAAACCTTGAATTTTCAACATGTGGACAATCAAGTGCTACAAAGGATATGACAATGCTCATTTTCAACACATAACGGTCATCACAAAAGGAGAGAGAGCGGATGCAACAGAATGCCGTCCTCTCGTCCAGCGAGTTCCCTGTTTACCGGACAGACGGAGAGAAGGTGTTTTCACAGATCACGCATAGGCGCATCGGTCAAGTGTCGCCCGCGGTTGGGCGGATTGCCAGCTCCCTGATACGCCGTGGGTACACCCATCCCGGCCGCGGCCGTCTGAGATGAATATGCTGTGGGCGCGCCCGCGGCAGACGAATACCCCCCGGGCATCCCCGGATTCTGGGCCATCGCATAGTCATGCTGCATCTCATACCCATTACCCACATCGTCTTCACTCGAGGACCAGTTCCCGTCGGGATCCTGGTCATGGCGACGACGGGGATAGGCCTGAGGGTTGAACGGGTTGCTCGCTGCGGAATAGCCCGGGGCTGCCGGGGGCACGGGGCGACCCAACGGGGAGGTAGAGCGCTCCCGTCCCCCGGCGTGGGTCAAGCGATCTTGTTCGGGGTTGCGAAGAGCTGATGTGCTATTGTTGGTGAATTCTCCCAACCCTGGATCGGCAGGATAGGCGGGCTCCGTGCCCCAGGTGCGGATGGGATACGCTCGACCCTTGCGCCAGGCTTCACTGAGGGGAGGGAAGTACTGGCTGTAGGACACAATGGCACAGGCAATACCCAGCAAGGAGCCCGTGATCACATCAAAGGGATGGTGACGGGCATCCATGATACGAGACACGGCAATCAAGGTGGCCGCGAGAATCGGCACCATGACCAGGAAGCTTTTCCAGGCTTCACCGCGGTTGTCCATGATGTGAAGCTTGCCGCCCAGCCAAAGTGAGGTGTAAAAGAGTCCGGCAAAGGAGGCTAGTAGAAAGATCTCGGATTAGTGTCCTCGACATTCAATTCACATGTTCGGAAGGAGAATGACTGGACATCCCATGACGGGAAGTTCCTTTGCCGGCAAGCACTTACAGCTGCTATGCCCTGTCAACCAATCCGCTGTTAGCACATTCACCAGACGCCCGACGAAAAACGCTAGTCAAATCCCGTACCTGAAGGCCACGAGCGAAAGCCATCCTTGATGAGCTTGGGATCTCCCGTGCAGATGGTCGAGTTTGACAACCCGTACACGAGTAGATCATGACTCCCTGGGCGAGGCTGGCAGCGATCAATCAAATCGGGACGCGGCTTGCCGCATGCATTCTTGAGCACTTGAGTGATGACAAAGGCCAGAGATTGCGACAAGAGAAGACCGAGGATGCCACAGTTCAGCTCCCACAATCGATCCTTCCAGCGCCAGGGACCCCGCATCTTCCGCTTGCCGAAAGCCGGGTCTTGTTTATGGTGAGAGAAGAGGCCATCGATAAAGAGCGTGTACACGATGATCAGGACGATGGGAAAGCCGGCGGAGATGCAGACGGCGAGGTAGATTGGGATCCGTTCGTGCACGGCAAAGGGATATTGAAGAGAGATGTTCTGCAGGGAGAAATGTTGATGGAACGGTTCAATCTTGTCGAGGATCCAGAAGCCGACCACGCAGATGCTAGTCAAACGGAGGGGCGGCGAGTCAGTCACGTTGCTTGTTTCCCAAACCGGGGGCGCAACCCCGAGGAGACGGAGTGGTCGCTCCGAGGACACTTGTTAAAGGATGACCTACACGATGAGCACATAGTCGAAGATGTACCTGTGGAAAGATCAACAGAGGTCAGCCGCAGCGCCCATGGACCGCCAGCGCAGATTGACTGGTGGGCCCCACAACAAGGCATCGTGGTTGCACATACGAGAAGATCACTCGCGGTCGGAGCTTGCGTTTAGAAAAGGGCAATTTGGTTGGGATCTCCATGAAACCAGCGGTCCACCAGTCCAGACGGAGCGATGAACGACTGAGAAGAGAGGTTGGGTAAAAGCGTACGAGGAGACGAAGTGTCGGAGTCGGAGGAGGAAGAGGTCGGTTCTTTATGCGAAGGGGAACATCGGCGAAGAACCGGTCTCAAGTCCAATAATTAGGCAGCCTTGAATCTGGAATCCTCAGGGGAATGATTGAAAGCCGCGTGAGAGAGTTGTACAAAGCCCCAGGGTCCACGGTGCCACACTCATCTCACGGTCGCGTGCCTTAGGCTCTCTTAAATTTCCGGGGCAAGCAGCCAGGCAGGTAGAAAATGTGGGAACTGGTGGATCCTCAAACACGGCGTTGCGCCAGTCTGATCAGCGAGAAGGACGAAGACCCTTCAGGGGTGGTGATGGATCCGATCCAGGCTGTGGCCTGGGCGCTAGGAACCACTTCTTTCGTGCTTGCAGTGCTCACTCCCAGTTCCCTGCTCGAGGAGATTCTGGAGGGACTAGTCCCGGCGCCGAGCGGAGAGAGCTTGGCGCTGTTAGCGCCATGAGTGAAGCGCCAGACGTGAAAAGACTCTACCTGAGAGTTGTACCACTATCTTAGTACCTACTGTACCTACTACCTACTACATTGGTCGGGGATCGTCGAACTTTGTCCTGTGGCTTTGCCGGCTTTATGATGATTCCTTCTGACATTTCATGACGACTGTTATTGTGATTCAGTACTCATGTCCAATGGTCAACCTGACCATTGATAATTGCCAGTATTTACTGGCTTCATTGGAGGATAATTGTCAATCAACATGACAATCAATTTAATATAGGTACATACGAGTGTACTTTATATGAACCGATTATACATCATTCTCGAGTATTTTAGGAGAGGGTAATCTTGAATCTACTGGTTAGTAGTAGTACCTACTTGGTAGGTACAGGTACTAACAAGACGTTGTCAGTTCAAGATCCTCTGCCGGACCCTCTCCTCGACCTTCCTTTGCTTCTTGAAAAAATCTTTATCGCACCTCTGGACCACGCTTAGATTATATGATCGAAATCCAAATTTGAAGGCACACGAGGAAATTGAAATCACGGGAAAATCTGATGTCTACGATCATTCGACCCCTGAAGGAGTAAACACTAAACACCCAGCTCACATGATCTATGGCGGACACAAAAAGCCCTACTTGGGGGACTCTCTCTGAATCGGGCAAGAGATGGGGTGTCGGATGGAACCGACAAATTCAAGACAGTCCAGGCACTACACTAGTACTCTCTAGTAGTCACTCTACACAGTACAGTCTACAGTAGTACACTACTCGGACAAGATGACTAGTGCTATCCTATGTGTTGCCTTCATCCTCTTGGATGAGCCACGCCAACACGTGGGGGGACCGGTTCCACATTGTCCTCGGGGTCAGGTAGTATAGCTATACCATATCTCTATCTATGTGGATCCCACTGTCTTCGTCTAAAAGAAATGAAGGGGCAAGTCGTTAGTCGCGACTTGAGACAGCGGTCATGGAAGTTGGATCCTCGTCATTCGCAGTCCTCTTGGTGAAAGCTTAGCAGCCTTTGGGTAGTGGGAAGTTGGGAACTACTAGCAGCAGGTGCCAACGGCGGTATGTACCTAAGCAGAGGGTAACCAAGGCGATCTAACTTCTACACCTTACAGCCGTAGCCATATCAGCTGTGGGAGGCAGTATAAGATCTGGTGGTTCAACAATCAATTTGATTCTACCCTGTGGTGAGTCCCGGAAATGGCAATGCAGCATCTAATTTGGACTTCTCTTCAATCATTTGCTCTTTGGATGGAGTCTAGATTGCTTCGATCTTGAGCCTTGTTGACTCCGTCGACGGCAATGAGGAAGTGCAGGAAATGTCATGCCAAATGAAAAATAAAGACAGAAGAGCAAGTCACTAGGACAAGTCGGCTTCCACCATTTTTCAAGTCTGCAATCTATCAATCTCCAGCTCTCATCTAGTGAGCGCGCTTCCGCTTGACACGACGATAAGTCGGACGGTGGCCGGCGCTGCTACTTGTGATTGTTGTCCTAGAAGTGGTCGGCACAGAGCTCGTGGTGGACGAAGTCGTAGCACTCGATGAAGTGGTCTTGCACGTTGGACAGACGCTACTTGATGTCACAGTCACCGTAGAGATCATGAAGCGGCTGGAGCTTGTACAGGTTGGACAGACGGTTGAGGTGTGAGTGACACTCGCTGTGCTTTGCGTTTCACTGCACGTGGAACAAGCAGTCGAAATTTGACTACTAGAAGGCTTGCTCGTCTCACTGCAAGTGAAACAGATCGACGAAGTCGTACTGCCGCTGGGCTCTGATATCGTCGCGGTGCAAGTCGGACAGTGGCTCGAGGTCTGCGTAACAGTCGTTCTACCAGTGGTCTCGCTGCAGGTCGGACAGACCGTGGAAGTGTGGGTGCTGCTAGGACCGGTCGTGATCTCGGTGCAAGTTGGGCAAGGGATCACAGTCTGCGTAGTCACTGGCGCAGCTGTGGTCTCGCTGCACGTGTGACAGACAGTTGTCTCTTGAGCGGTCGTGGGGGCACCGGTAGCCCCGCTGCACGTCGAGCAGAGAGTTGACGCATGAGCTGTCGTAGTCGCCCCGGTGGCTTCACTGCACGTTGAACACACGGTGGTTTCGTGAACAGTCGTCGGTGCACCAGTAGTCTGGCTGCACGTCGAGCAAATAGACGTTTCCGCAGCAGTAGTGGACACGCCAGTGGTTTGTTTGCACGTTGAACATGTGCTAGTTTCAGGAACAGTCGTGGGTACACCATGTGTCTCACTGCATGTTGAGCAGACAGTCGTTTCATGAGCCGTTGTCGGCGCGACAGTCGTCTCACTACACTTCGAGCAGACGGTTGTTTCCCGGGCCGTGGTAGACACGCCAGTAGTCTCCTTGCACGTCGAACATGCAGTCGTCTCAGATACGGTCGTGGAAGCACCATGCGTTCCGCTGCATGTCGAGCAGGTACTTGATGCTTGAGTAGCGCTAGAACCACTCGATTTGGCGCAAGTTGCACATGGCTCGGAACTTGGGCCCGTAGGAACTCCACTGGGCTGAACACTCTCACTGGTCGAATGAATGCCCGATGTCACTGGTTGACTACTGTGAGGAGACTGGGAAGAACCTCCAGTGGGAGCAGACGAATGCACTGGCACGAGAGCAGTTGAGGTCGTCGCCGGAACGCTTTCACCGGGGGTTGTCCTGGTAGACCCACCGGAACTGGCAGGGCCACCAGGGCCAGCTGGAGCGCCAGATGTGTGAGGGACTCCTGGACTGCTGTGGCCAGCAGAGCCGCCAGGGGTACCAGGTATACCTGGGCCGTGAGAGACACCAGAGCTATGAGGGCCGCTGGGACCACCAGGACCACTAGGAACGCCAGAGCTATGAGGGCCGCCAGGAACACCAGGGACGCCAGAGCTATGAGGACCGCTGGGACCGCCAGGACCACTAGGAACGCCAGAGATATGAGGGCCGCCAGGAACACCAGGGACGCCAGAGCTATGAGGACCGCTGGGACCGCCAGGACCACTAGGAACGCCAGAGCTATGAGGGCCGCCAGGAACACCAGGGACGCCAGAGCTATGAGGACCGCTGGGACCGCCAGGACCACTAGGAACGCCAGAGCTATGAGGGCCGCCAGGAACACCAGGGACGCCAGAGCTATGAGGACCGCTGGGACCGCCAGGGCCACCAGGAACGCCAGAGCTATGAGGGCCGCCAGGAACACCAGGGACGCCAGAGCTATGAGGACCGCTGGGACCGCCAGAGACACCAGAGCTATGAGGACCGCTGGGACCAGCAGGACCAGCAGAGCCACCGGGAGCACTGGGAGCCACAGGTGTGCCGTGGGAGCTAGGCGCACCCGGGCCACTTGGACCACCTGTGGCGCCAGGAGTAGCGTGAGTGCTTGAAACCCCCGATGGTCCAGTAGCGCTGGGGGTGGCATGAGAGCTAGGTCCACCGGGGGCGGCTGGGGAGCCAGAAGCACCAGGAGTAGCGTGAGAACTAGGTAGGGCACTAGGAGCTCCATGGGAGCTAGAAGCACCAGGAGCACCAGGAGCACCAGGAACGCTTGGAGCCCCTGGAACACTAGGCACACCCGGGCCACTGGGGCCACTCGGACCGGGGCCGCCAGGAGCCCCTGGAATACTAGGAGCCCCAGGGCCGCTGGGGGCGCCGGGAGCACCAGGAATGCCTGGAATCACAGTCGTCGTAAATACACAGTTGGTCTCTGTCACTGTAGACACAACAGTGACGGTTTCACAGATCGAGGTGGTTTGCCCGGACATGGTAGTAATATTCAAATTGCTCCCAGTGTTCAAGCAATTGTCCGCGTTCAGGGTAACCTGCTGGCATTTTGTGACAGCTGGACTGATGGTCGTATAAATGTTCTTTCCGCCATTTTGACCGGTTTCACACGCAACGAAATTCGTGCTTCCGCGAAATTCAAGCTGACCGGAAGACGAGATCGAGAATCCAGGAGTCCCAGGTCTACCTTGATCACATTGAAATTGACTTGTTTCGGCTGAAAAGGAGTCAGCTTCGTCATTGCCCCTGCTCTTGTTGATTAGGGAAAGATGTACGTACGGGTGATGATGCAGCCTTTGCCAGTGCTGTCGACCAACACTCCCGCCGAGTCGATGCACAGTTGAGATTGAGGCAAGCTATTGTCGCCCACACGGGCCTGTCCTTCACTCAGCTGCCCCAGGGGTCCAGAAACTCCACCAGCGACATTGACATGGAAGCAACACACTGGCTCAGCGCGTTTCACCAGAGCCCTCGCACTAGCTGTGAAGACAGCTACAAGAATGTAAAGTTTCATAATCACCATAAGCAATCACACAAAAGATTGTAAGAAGGAGAGAAACGATCTGCAATAATCGGCAGAGCTCAGCGATCAGAAAAGCAAATGGATAGCAATTGAGAAAGCAGTCCTCAGCTGTTCAACGAGTGGCCGAAACCTTTTACCACACGATATGCATGCTGGCGACCAGCTATGATCTTTATATCCTGGATGCGACGACGTCTATGAACCGCATGGCGCGTCATGATTCGCGTCCAGAGGAGCGTGTATGAGAATCATCTCAAGGGGAAAATCAAACGAGTCTCTCTCCTCACCGGAACCAATGTCCGAGGTGGTTCTGGGCGCCGCGGATATGTGACCCCGTCTTGACCCCCGATGAGATTCGCTCACTTTGGTATGAACAATTCGTACCGAGCTGTAGAGCGCTCGCTGCAAGAGAGTCGACCAAACAGAAAAGACCCGCGCTCCTCGGACTGTAAATCCGAAGCAAATAATAGAGTAAAGACGGCAATTGAGGCTCGAACCGGAGAATCAAAGCCAAGGATCTGTGTAGCAGTCCTGAGCCATCATAGTCGTTGAGTGCTCTCGAGAACGACCCAGGCATGGTGCCATGTCCTCTGCAGTTCCTGATTCCAGTCACCGGCTGCGTTGTGAATTCGCGATTCTCACAGTTACCTCACGTGGCTGGCCTAGTCATTATCAAAGGTGGCAATCGGGAGATGAAATGCTCGACTGCCAGGCCTAGCTGATCCACGCGTAGAGAGCTAAATCGTACAGAATTTCAGAACTTTGAGTGAGTCATCGCATGAATTTGACAACGCATCGGATCCGACCCAAATACATGTAGGTGGATTTCCTTTTCCCCCCTCAAGGTACCCGTCGCCTCTGGACAGGTACGGATGCCTTCAAAGATTGGGTGCTCTGTCAATTGGCCGAGTGAGCACAAAACCCAGTTGCTTCATTGACAAATATTCACTGCTGTTGCATCGAAAATAAATCAACCGTGGGTGTCGGTTGCTGAAATGAGTGGTCTGCTGTCATGATTTGTCAACAACAGTCGAATATCTCATCTTTTAATCGAGGGAACCTCGGGCACTACCATGTGGTGACGCCTCGAAGGATCGTCGATTTTCTCAGGAACTGGAGTCCGTTTTCTTTTCGAGTCCCCATGCCACACAAACACACGTTTCGCCGGAGTTCTGACTTCGTCTTCAGATGCAAAGCTTTGGCGGATCGTGCGATAAGCCTATGAGTGACTGAAGTGTGACGTTCTACCGTGGATCAATCTGATGTCTCCCCAAATGTGTTAGTAGTAGCGAGTTATCCTCCGCACGCGAAAAAGATACTGGCAGCTTTCAATTTCAATTAATCAGTGCCCATGGCGCCTGTCCAGGAACGAGCGAGGAGGCGAGATCGCCTTGACCCGACATCAAGGCTTTCGTCAGGATTCCTCTTCCCAACTCGATGCATTTGGTGGAGTCTGCACCTTGCCCACTATTCGAGCCCGCTGTAGCAAGCAAAAGAACATCTAACGCGAGTGCAAACATGTCAAAAGCATTCCTCGCAAGCAAACGCCATCGAAGACAGCAAAAGAATCGTTGACCGAAAAGATTTCATTGTGGGTGGGTTGACAAACGATTCTCGGAGTCTCTCGTAAAAGACATTGAAAAAAATGGTAGGTATAAAACAAAGTGAAGTTATTTTAGTATGCAAAGGCTCGAAAGTATTATACAAATATCCCTGTCAAGGAACTAAAGTCACAGCTTGCCACCAGTAATCTGCTCACCCAGCTTCTTGACGCGATCCTGGATAACGTCCCAGCGAGCGGTCTCGCTTTTGCGGGTTTCGTTGACAATAGATTGAACAGTTGGTGGCGTGCCCAAGTTCCAAATGTTCTCCCCGTGCTGGTGGTCGTTTCGCCAAGCCTCGTTCTCCCCCTCAGGGAAGACTCGATCAATCTCGGCAGCAAGCTGCTGTTCGTTGATGATGAAAGTGCGAGCATTCATGTAGAGAGATTGCAAGTGATCACGACGAATGGCATCCTTCTCTGCCTGCTTGGCTTCCAACCGCGCCCGAGAAAGAGCCAATTGCTCGTCCCGATTAGGGTCCGCCAGAACCTTGTGTGGCTGAGCTTGCATGGCCGATACAATCGATGAACGAGTAAGGCGCTCGTCTTCCGGCTCTGGCTGCTGCAGGACACGCTCACGTCGCATCTGCTTGTCGAGGCTCCGGTTGAACATAGTCTGCTCCGCGATCTGCTTCCGCTTGTATAGTGTTTGCAGACCTTCCCGCAGGTTTTTGCGTCGCACATCGGCCATCTTCAGACGGAATGCCTGCTTCTCAGGATCACTGCTTTTCGGGTTGACTGTACGCTCCGTTGAAGGCAATGGCGTGACAGCATCGAGGTATGCCTTGTGAGGTTTGTCTGTGCGACGAGCAGGGAATAACTCGCGAGGAACTGGCAGAGTACCTCTGACACGAGGTTTGGTGGGAGGGCCAGCCTGGACGACACGGGGAACATCGACAAAATGAGGCGACTCTGGCCCAGCTCGGAGGCTTGGTGAAGTCGCGAACCCCCGAATCTGCACAGTGGCAGCTCGGCCGCTGCGGAGAATAGGCATGCTGCACCAATACCGCGTTCGGTGACAACGGTTTCGGAGATTGAGGCCACGTGAGATTGTTAGGAGATGGATTTCTCAGCAACTCTCAATGAGTTACCCGCCAAGAATAAAGATGAGCCTGGCTCATTAAACGCGGTCTCAAAGTGTTTGACGCAGGAGGTCGGCGTCTGAAGAAACAGAAGCGATTTTGCCGTGGTCCGTGCCCCGTTGTCTCTTGGCGCCCGAGAAAAAAAGTCTCTCCGCCTTTGGAAGTTTTTTTCCCTTTTATTTGCTTTCCTTTGCGCTCAGACACTTCTTCTTTGATTCTGATCTACGCCTTCGAAATTTTCGCAAGGTCGAGCCATACTCCTTTAACATTGAAGAAAGTGAAAAGTCCCCATCATGGGTACAGGCAAGAAGGAGGCCTCACGTAAAGTGAGGCAGGGCAAGGTGAATGATGGCATGGGGAACGTCAAGCTGAAGGGTGAAAATTTCTATCGGTATGTTACCTTTTTTTCAGCATCTGTTTTTGCATGCTGTGAAGCGGCCAACTCACATTTTGACCTTGCAGCGATGCGAAGAAAATAAAAACCCTGAACATGTTCAAAGATGGAAAGGCCCGACGCAATGCAGCCGGAGACATCACTGTCGCTGCCTCTTACCAGTCCAGAGATGCTCCCGTCGCTCGCATTGAGCCCAACAGGAAATGGTTCGGAAATACTCGTGTCATCTCGCAGGAAGCTCTGACTTCCTTCCGCGAAGCTGTCGCTGAGCGAGCCTCTGATCCCTACCAGGTGCTGCTGAAGACCAACAAGCTCCCAATGAGTCTCATTCGGGATAACACCAATGGTGTGAACGGTCTCAAGCAGCACCAGGCTAAGATGGAGATCGAGAACAATCCCTTCAACGACACTTTCGGCCCCAAGGCCCAGCGGAAGCGTGTCAAGCTGGGAGTGACTTCTCTGGAGGACCTTGCCGGTGAGACTGCCAAAGTGCACGACTCCTACCTGGAGAAGAACGACCAGGGAACCCACGAGGACGGAACACCCATCGTTGCCAGTGATGTTGGTGCAGTGGAAGACACTGTCTTCACTACTGCTCGCGAGGCTGTTTTCTCAAAAGGGCAAAGCAAGCGTATCTGGAACGAGCTTTACAAGGTCATTGACTCCTCTGATGTTGTCATTCATGTTCTGGACGCCCGTGATCCGATCGGTACCCGCTGCCGCAGTGTTGAAAAATACATTCGTGAAGAAGCACCTCACAAGCACCTCATCTTTGTGCTGAACAAAACTGACCTCGTCCCGACGGGTGTTGCTGTAAGTGACCTCCCCTTCATATCCGTCTGCATCTCTTTTCACAAGCTGCCTTTCCCCGTAAACACCTTTTTCTGTTTTCCATCATTTTTCTTCATTTCATCCGGCTCTCGGGCCGTTCCATCGCTAAGTCAAGGCTTCTTCCTGCGGCATTTTGCCGTTCATTTCTTTCAATGGAGGTCCGTCTGTTACAGCTTTGGTAGATTGACAATGTCCCGCACCAACCCTCTTTCTGAGGCGAGGTTGACCGGTTTTCGTTTTGAAGGCTAGTCGTAAGGGACATATGTGTTTTGTTTAAGAGTTGAGTTCTACTTCTGCCTATTCTTTGGTGGCTTGATAGTTGAACTCTTAGTAACATCCCACACATCCTTGCTTTCTCTCCATCTCATTTTTCTTGGTCATTTCAGCAACACATACTGATATGGAAGTTCATCAGGCTGCCTGGGTTCGTCACCTTTCCAAGGACTATCCGACTCTGGCTTTCCACGCCTCTATCAACAACTCCTTCGGCAAGGGATCTCTGATTCAGCTTCTCCGTCAGTTCTCTGCACTTCACTCAGATCGCAAGCAGATTTCTGTCGGCTTGATCGGTTATCCCAACACAGGTAAATCGTCTATCATAAACACACTTCGCAAGAAGAAGGTCTGCACTGTTGCCCCTATTCCTGGTGAGACCAAGGTGTGGCAGTACGTTACTCTCATGAAACGTATTTACCTCATTGACTGCCCCGGTGTTGTGCCCCCAAACCAAAACGACACGGAGGAAGATATCTTGCTGCGTGGTGTCTGCCGTGTTGAGAACGTTGAGAATCCTGAACAATACATTCCGGCCATCTTGCGTCGTGTACAGCCTCGTCACCTTGAGCGCACCTATGGCATCAAGGACTGCAAGGATGCCATTGACTTCCTCAGTCGACTGGCTCGCAAGGGTGGTCGTCTGTTAAGAGGAGGCGAGCCTGATCTGGATGGTGTTGCCAAGATGGTCATCAACGATTTCCTGCGAGGCAAGGTCCCTTGGTATACCCCTCCTCCTAAGGGCACCAGTGACGGTACCGAGAAGATTGAGGGCCGTGAAGGCCGTCTGGGTGAGATGGGCCGCAAGCGCAAGCTTGACGAGGCAGCGTCGGAGCCGTCTGTGGAGAAGGCCGAATCATCCGAGTCCCAGCCCGATGGCGAGTTCGGAGGGTTCGATGATAACGATGACGATGATGACGACTCGATTGCAAACCTCGAGGTTAGTGATGTCGAAAGTGGCGAGGAGGACTGAAGTATTACCCTTGATCCCGGTGCCTCTTAACTGAGAATCGACGGCACGTCGATTCAGATCACCAGATCTTGGCGCAGCTTCATTTGTATGAAGCTTCAGTCATCGATTTGCACATGCGGCATATCCAAGCCGATCCGTGTCGCGGTTGTCCCTCGATCTTACCGTCCCATCTGTGGACCAGACAGGCAGGCTCTCCGCTAGCATCACCTGCCGGGCAGCAACACAGAGATACTCTATTCTAAACATTCTCTCACACGTCTCCGCCCGTGCAACGCTTGCAAACCCCCAACTGTGAGCCTCTGGGTTTCAGACCTACGCCATTCCATGTGATACCCCGATTTTAAAATCAATGATGAATTTCTTTCCTGGCAACCTTGAATGCAATCTAAATGCAATATCTATCTTTCATGTAGTTTCAACCCCGTAGTCCATCTATCCGATATCACGTACATTTATTTCATCATCATCGGCCATAGTTTCTAGCAGGCTTTCAATTTAGACTTCGTTCTCACCGCCCGCACTGTGGGGCCTACTGGGGACATCTCGTCATTTCCACCAACACGCATCCGTCAGAACAATAGGTCACGTACGCGGAAGAAGCGATTTGGTCGTCTTCCCACCCTTAGAAATGGTGATCAAGCATGCCGGAAGACATGTCTATGATCCCGTACAATGGTGGAAATCTAGACGTGGTGCTGTATGTATCTCTGTCGCAGCTGTTGGGCAACCCGTGAAGCTAACGACGAGCACAGTCGGCACAACGACTCCGTGGTGGTCTTTGACCATGATTCCCAACAACTCGCGCTCAGACGGACGGGAGATGACGAGGAAGACGATATGGAGCTAGCGAATTGTCCGCTCTGCCATCGTCCAATGCGTGAAGCCAATCGAGGAAGGCACCGAGGCAGTCCGCAGCCAGAGGCGGAATTCATCAATCCAAACTACTTTCGCATGCTCGACAATAGCTTGCCCAGCTCTGAGAGCCCGTCGAGGCCATCATCACCACGCCGTCGCCTTGTTCGTTCCGCACTTCCTGCCGGTCCCACGAGCGAACCAACAACTACACCGTCGCCCGTCACAGGTCAAGGAATCTCTTCGTCGGCATTTAGTCAAGACTACTTTAAGCGCTTTTTCGTGGAAGAGAAAGTACTCGGAAAAGGTGGCAAAGGCGTGGTTTTGCTGGTGAGACACGTTCTGGATGGTGTGTCCCTTGGACATTTTGCTTGCAAGCGTGTGCCGGTCGGAGACGACCATGAGTGGTTAGAGAAAGTCCTGGGAGAAGTACAGTTGTTGCAAAACCTCTCCCATCAAAATCTGGTTTCCTACCGACACGTCTGGCTTGAAAATGCCAGAATCAGTACCTTTGGCCCCAGTGTTCCATGCGCTTTTATCATCCAGCAATATTGTAATGCGGGCGATCTCCACCATTACCTCTGTGGGAGTATGCAAACGACGACGACGGCTCAACAACTCAAGGACCGACTACGGAGGAGATCCAAAGGAGAACCAGAATTGAAGCCCGAGACCCAGGGACCCAGAGTGCTTCCGCTAGATCAGATCTATTCTTTCTTCAGAGATATCACCGCTGGCCTTCGACACCTGCACATGAACGGCTACATTCACCGCGACCTGAAGCCTAACAACTGTCTTCTTCACGAGACGAGCGATGGTCTACGTGTATTGGTCAGCGATTTTGGCGAAGTTCAATCACAGAATGCTATGCGCAAATCCACCGGTGCCACTGGAACAGTGTCCTACTGTGCTCCCGAGGTCCTACGTCAAGAATACCCTGGAGGACCCTTTGGGAATTTTTCTTTCAAATCCGACATCTTCTCACTGGGAATGATCCTCTACTTCTTATGTTTCGGCGATCTCCCTTATCAGAGTGCCGATATCTTGAACGAAGACAATGAAGATTTGGACGAGCTCCGCGAAGAGATCACGCACTGGGCTGGATTCGATAACGTTCGGCGCCGGCGACCTGATCTACCAGCTAAGCTGTACTCGTTTTTGGACCACTTGCTCTCAGTAAACCCAGATCAGCGTCCCACAGCAGACGAAGTATTGAGCGGCATTCAAGCTGCCAACAATGCGGGCGAGAACTTCAGGTTGAAGCGCAACAACTCAACAGGGCCAGACTTGACTGGACCTGGGAGAGTTCATGCAGTCGAGTCCGTGTCGCCTCGACCATCGCTTGATCGAGCGTTGTCACCGGTGACGAAGAGAACCGACAGGAGCCCCATCTCTGTACCACGTGAATCTCCTTTTGATGCAGGCACTGGATCCCGCGGCCCTCCAGCATCTGACACAGTCTTCGATTCCCGACGTTCCTCATTGAAACCGGACACTGATATGTTCATGCGGCAAAGGTTCCCCAATCCTCCGCCGGCCTTTACCGGTCGGACGCTGCCTTCGCACGAAGACATGCTCAATTCACAGACCCAGCCCGTCCCACCTGCCCAGCAACTTCAACTTCCCCCGCCTCCGTCCAACTTTTCTTCATTTCGCCGTATGAGCACATCGATCATTCCGCCCATCCTGCAAGTATCGTTGTTTTTGATCAAGGTGGTCACGGTGCTGCATCCTTGCTCACCCATGGTCGTCAGGCCCTGGCTTTTGTATCCCCTCCTGTTGTTGGCGGCCATTACACTCAGGACGCACGATCCTCGCGTACAAGTACTTTCCACCTTGGGTCATGTCCTGATTGTGGGACTCGGTATGAAGCTTGGAATGCTCTGTAAATGGACGCATAACTACGTGGTGTGAATTTGACATTTTTGTCTGCAGAGCCTACAGCAAGGTACGATTAATGATGATGTTAACATGATCCTCAAATATCAATCGCATGCATGTCGGGGGAGAAAAAATAACGACAACTCCATTATCTTGGACTCCGTAAGAACAAGCCAACCCATGAGATATTTCCGTAAGTACCGTCCAGATAGACGAGCACAGTACAGAGTATCCCATCAGGTCAGACAGCGTTCGTACAAGGTTCAAAGGTGATGCAGCCAGAGATTTCCCCGTTCTATATTTGATCTCGGAACGATAACATTGGACACGACGTGGATTCCCTTGCGGGGAGATGTGCCCAAAATGATGCGGAAAAAGCCGCAAACAGGGTATCAGTTCCTGGTGCGAGACACGGCACTCATAATGGTGACTTACATTTGAAGTGACGGGACTCCGATACATCTGATACGCATAGTAGAAGTGAGTCAGAAGTAAGAGATAACTCTATTACTTTCAGGATTCATGACCTCGTCGATTTTTTACATAAAAGGCTGTGTTCCGGTAATGGCTGAACAGATTCAGGGCTTGATACGCGCAGCCTTGAATCGGCTGACCTTCTGGGTAGGTTCCTCAATAGGGACGAACTCAGGCTCTTCGTCATCAACGAAGCCACCCTGTGCCTGGATCTTGCTGTTTCGCATCCTGTAGAATTCGGAAGCGATCTGCCGCCGATGGATCTGTTCGTCCAGCTCATCTGGAGCCGGAGCGGTAATTGATCCGGGAGCGATGTCCCGCTCGACTAGCTTGTCGGCCGAAGTTTGGCCAACTGGTGGCTTGGGAGCTGATGGCCTAGCGAGATTATCAGCGATGGGCGTAGAGAAAGGCTTTGGCCCCTGGGGAGTAGCAGGGAAAAGGTTGGCTGGCGGCTTCATGTCGATAAGGTCACTTTGCCTTCCAAACTTCATCGGCTGGGATAGCACTTGGGCGGGAGTAGGTTTGGCAGGAAGATCCGCAGTAGAGCCTTCAGAGTCAAGAGCTCGAGTGCTCCTGAAACGGGATCCTTTCTTTGGGGCCTTGACCGTTGCTGGCCTAGGCTCATGTGGCTTGGCCGTGCGCTCAACAATGGCGTCCGACAGAACTTGGACGCTAGCTTGTGGCTTCGGTAACGGGTCCTTCTTCTCGGCCGCAGTAGATTTGGCGGAGGGCGCAATATCAAGTTCCTCGGCAAAGGCAACCTTCTTTTTCGGCTTCTTCTCCTTCGCAACATCTTCGACATTGCCAGCCTCTTCCATGGGCTCATCATCAGGAGTCTGGATCTCTTGCCGGATCTCTTCCGGGAAGGTTTTGGTGTCTTTGCCTAGATTCGTCATGCCTCTTGCGTTGAGCTTGGCTTCCAGCTCCCGCATTTGCTGATGATACTCCTCCGACAAGAAAGTGTGGGACCGGCCGTATTCGTCCTCGTCCTCCTCATCCTCTGTGCCATACGCGTACTCTTCGTCCGAGACGGAGAATTCGCTGGCATTATCATCCAGCTCCAATTCGGCAACAATGGCACCGACTTCATGAATGCCGTACTCGAGCATCTCTCGGCGAAGAGTAGCCTCATCGGCAGGTTCGTCGATGTCGGTGATGGGAGACTGGGCGCGATCCTCCGGCGTGACGAGCGACACTGGCTTGGACAAATCAAGATCATCCTCTTGCTTTTCTTGTTTGTCCGTTGTTACAGACGTCTCGTCAACTTCACGTTCTTCGGCCTGGGCGGGAGTTTCGTTCCCTGCTTCACTCGCAGAAGCCTCTGAGGTTTTCGCATTTTCAGCTGGTTGACTATCCGTGGACGCCGCGGCGTTCTCAGTGGAGCTGGAATCTTGCGGGATGTTCTCGACACCGGCCTTTTTGAGAGCTTCCAGAAGATCCGACGCATGGTCTCCAGGCTTATTGACAGAACTAGAAATGACGTTTCCTTCCTCATCTAGCTCCTCCACAATTTCGCTCAAAGGAAATGCCTGACCTCTGGAGACATCCGATGGGGGCTGGTCATTTGAATCCAATGTGTATAATTCATCCTCCGCGGCCCGTAGCCTTTTCTCCATGGTCGCCACATTTTGCTTCACATAGTCGATGCGTCGGCCGAGGAGATCAACGACCTGTGTGCGCGATCGGTCGACACCGGCTTGTGTTCGGAGGATCGCTTGGATTTCCGCGTCGTTGACGAGCGAACCTTCATACTGACGCGCGATGGATCGCATCTCTTCCGCAGTGGAGTCATCTTCCAGTACTCGAATCTCTTCGCGCAGACCATCGTACTCGGCCTCCCATGTTCTCCAGTGGTAGAGAGATTTTTGTAATTCGGAGATGTTTCTTTCAAGGGCAAGTCGCCGCTGTTCGAGCGTGTCAAGATCGTGGTCTGGAATACCCATGATGACTTAAAAAAAAAGTGAAAATCATCAGCCTCGCTGTTAAGAGATCATGCGTACGTGAGAGTAACAGAACAAGAGCAAGTTTGTGAGGAGAGGGGAGGGGCAAAGAAAAAAAATGACAGAAGAACGCCGAAGACTGAAGACTTGGTCTGTGCACGTGGTGGAGCCCGCCTTTATCTCCATCTCTTGCGGATCTCCGCTCTGAGTCTCTCTCCCAACTTCTACCTGGTTGATCAAAGGACCACCATGGCGTCCAAGAATGGGATCGACCGCCAGGATGAGGACGGTAAGCTTGCCCACAGCTGAATCTGGTTACGAAGTATCAAAAGTCTAACACAATATGTCAAAGAGGTCTGCCCCGTCTGCAAGTCCTCGCGGTATCTCAACCCGAACATGCGGTTCCTCATCAACCCCGAATGTTACCATAAGATGTGCGAATCTTGCGTCGATCGAATTTTCTCCTCGGGTCCCGCCAGCTGTCCTGTCGCCGGATGTCGTAAAACGCTTCGAAAGAACCGTTTCCGCCAGCAGACTTTTGAGGATATTGGAGTTGAGCGAGAAGTGGATATACGGCGCCGGGTGATGCACATGTAAGACTGGTCCTGCCCTTTACCTCGCAATATTAGACGCTCGCTGACGAGGCGAATCAGTCTCAATCGACGCGAAGAAGAATTCGATTCGAAGCGTGCCTATGACGATTTCCTCGAGCAACGCGAAGAGATCATAGCCAACCTAGTATGCCGGACAGACGTGGCGAAAACGGAGGCACAATTACAAGCATACGCTCAAGAAAACATGCAATCCATCAAGGCGAACCAGCTGCTCGAAGAACAAGAAGCAACCTCCTTCCAGAAGAAGATCCTGATGGAACAAGAAGAGGCCCGGCTACGACAACAGATGGCCCGAGAGGAATACGAGAACGAGCGGCGCGAGCAGCAGGCCACCCGCGAGGACTTCCTCACACGGTTGGCGTCTGGCTCTGCTGTAGATGCGGCTGCACTCGCTCGCGAAGGAAACAAGGTGCACTTGAAGAAATCCTCCGCTAGACGCAGTGAGGAAGAGCGCATTCGGCAGAAGCAGGCTGCTTTGCGCGGCTCGGAAGGCAAGCGCACTGGCACGCCTCTGACGACAGCCGACACGGCCGGCGCAGTCGCTGGTGCAGGATTCATCAAGGGTTTGCGGAAGATCAAAACCCCGGAGCCAGAGAAGCCCTACGATCCCTTCATGGGTCTTGTACCGGGCAAGCGCGATTACTACACCCAGCTCGAGTCTTACCCGTACGCGTTCTTGGACAAGCTCCGTGCGGATACTACTGTGCAAGCAGGTGGGTACGCTTTGCAAGAGTACTATTCGCGAACGCTACTAGAGGCGTTTGCCGGGTTGGGTTGTTTCGTGCAGGAAGAAGTAGCGGAGCGTGATGCTACATCTGCTTTGGGTCTTTCCAAGCCGGCGTCTACTGCGGGTGCGGCCATGGCTGCTGTTGGTGAAAAAGCTGCATAGTTCGATGATTACTTGAGATTTTCGGCATAGCGATGGCGTTTGAACTTGGGACGCAATGATTCTCATAGCATTTACTTCTGTTTGTTGATCTGTTCTGCCTTGACTCCTTAAACATAACATGCGGTATCTATGTACCTGCCCACAAATTCTGGAGAAGTCAATAATAAGGATGACTTTACATCACCAAAAGACTCGATGCGTAATGAAAACACTCGGATAGACCGCATGCGAAGAATCCCCTATCGATCAAAAGAACATTGTCGCCAAAAACTTGGAATAAGAGAATAAAACAGGTTAATTTCACGCGCGCCCAGTCAGCTCGGCGGTGCTTTCGATGCCCTCCCAGGGCAAATCGTCTTCCTCCTCATCCTCGACATTGACTCCACCTGTACGGGACTTCGACGTGTTCGCCGTCACGTCAATGCCAATTGACTCCAAAGTCATGTCAAGATCACGCTTGGACAGGTCGCCCTTACATGTTTCCAGCACATCGTAGAGAGAGTAGATTTGGTCGGACTTCATATCGATGTCTTTCATGACATTCTCGATCTTCTGCATGATCGACTTGCGCTGACGCTTCCCAAGGGACACATCAAGTTTGTTATAGGCAGCTTGATAGGAAGCGAGCTGCATCTTCAGATGGGCAAGTTCGTCCTCGAGTGTCTTGAGTACGGTGGCAAGGGCTACAGCAGGATGTTGAGACGGACGCATGGTGGGGTCTTCAGTAGCTGGCATGCGTTCCGACACTGGAATTGGCTGCGGAATCTTGACAGCCTCCTGTGAGCAAGAGCCATCGTCAGGGTGAGTGCTCTTGCAAATCATGCAGTTGTCTCCATCATGCTGGGCGATCTTGTTCAACGCTCGCTGCGTGGACTCTGGTAATTGAGACGAACTTCTGCCGGCTAGGTCTGCACGGCTCAGGGTGATATCGGGGAGGATGAAGGCGGAGGTCATGTCCTCAACATTCCTGCGCTTTCTACGTTGTGGCGTAGGTGCAGCTGACTGGTCAGAGTGGCGTCGTGCTCGATCCGAGGTTGGCACGACAAGGCTTGTGTCGGCATCCATAGTTGCGGAAGACCTTGTTGTGATATCGCCGGCAGCTGAGGCAGGACGAGAAATAGACAGTCTCGGCTCCCGCAGCGCGGACTTGCGTGGCTGAGGTGCTTTGAGAATACTCTGACGACTGGCGTTCACAGTATCAGTGGCAGCCGCATCCTTTGTAGCACTGGAGCGGCGCTGTTTGCGAGATAGCCGTTCTTCTTCTAGCGTTCTGCGAAGCTTGGCGATCTCGTTTTCCTGATGATGGAAGCTGTCAGCGTTATTTGGTCAAAAAGAAAACACGAGGCTTATGAACTCACATCAATCACACTCAGAAGCGTAAGGTCATCTGCCTCCGCAGATTCCTTGGTTTGTTCGGTGGAATCCAAGGCGCTGCTGACGTCCTCCAAAATGACGCGCTTGACTCGCTGCTTGGACGTATTTGACTGTTTTCGGTGACTCCGGGACTCGGAGGGGCCAGATTTGGAAGACTTCGAGGCAGATGCTCGCTTCGAAGTAGGCTTCTCGATCGAGAACAAAGCTTCCTCCGCGCGCTCTTTCTCCAGACGGGAAATCTCCTTATCCACCTGTGTAGAGACCTTGGAACGAGACTCTTCCTGTCGTTTGGACTTGGACTGCGCGCGGGCACTCTTGGAAGTCACATCTTTGGTGTTGCGACTCACGTCGGCACTATAAGTGTTGCTATCTTCAGGGTCCGAAGCAGAGACACTCGATTCCGTATCCTGAATCTCGTCTCGGTGATGCTTGGATACAATTCGGTTCAGCTGCGACTTGAGAGTCGAATTCTCCTCTCGTAATTGGTCATTTTCCATCTTGAGCTCCCTGGTCTCGAGGTAGGCTACACCAAGCTGGGAAATGGCAGACTCTCGCTCATGGTTGAGTCGCTTGACCGCGGCCTCCTGGACCTGGGACTTGCGGTCAGCAATGTCCAGCTGATTTTGCAGAGCTATGTTCTCAGCCTCGAGTTCTGTTGTAATTCATTAGCAAGCATCAACAACAAAGATTCGTTGGCTCACTTACTTTCGATCTCCAAGTTCAGCCGTTTCGTTTGTTTCTTGTTGTCAACTTCGTCTGCCCCGCGATTATCTGAATGACGAGCGCGCCCAGATTTGAGCAAAGCGTTCTCCTCTCGGTAAATCTCAATTCGTCTCTCGGCGTCTGACTTGAACATCTCCAACTCGGCAACCTTGTCTTGAAGCAGCCGAAGAGAAACGAATAGTGCTTTCTCATCCTCGGGAATTGGAATCGCATCGAGTGGTCGATGGCCACGCACAGTGGACATGTCGGTCGCCTCGTGAGGGGGAGACACGAAGCGAGTGGAGCGCATCTTGTGCTGACGGGGGAATACGGGTGTGCCATCTTCATAGACGCCTGAAACGAGCTCGGAGATGTTGGGCAGGTCGGGAAGAAGGAAAGATTGGCGCGTCATGGTGTCGCCCATCGTGTTGTTGTGGTTATTGCTCGGCTTGCGCGGGGTGTCTCCGTTGGCAGCCTTGCGCATCTCTTTCGCATAGGCCTCTCTGGAAGCACGCTCAACAGCGTCAGCAATCTCTTGCGAGTCATTCAAGTTTCCGAATCGCGTCGATCGGTTATTCGTCGCGACAGGAGCGGGGCGCTCATCGCCAATGAACGAGCCGTCGTAATTATCGCGCACTTTCGCGTGCATATCAGAAAATGTGCGTCGTTGGTTATCGCGTTGTGATTTGCTCAATACTGGAGGGTTTGCGATCTCCTTTTGGGCCTGCGTGGCACGTCGCAGTTGTGCGTCCTTTCGAAGGTTCTCACCCGTGGCGCGTCGAGCTGTCGGGCGCGCAGGTGACTGTTTTTGGGGCGTTGGATACTCAACACGAACAGCTGGAGAGGATGATCGGACGCTGTTTTGAAACGACATGATTGAATCGCGCGAATCGTCGATGCGTCGAGCCGGGTTTTTCGAGTTGCCGCGGCCGAACTCCATTGACAGCTCACTGATATCGGACATGGTATCCCGGTCGCGGTTATTAGGCTGTTGAGCTTGATTGTCTTCTTCTTCAGAGGTCGGAAGCTGCGAAAATTCCGGAAACGCGCGTTCCAGAGTAGATGTGTTGATGACAAAATCCGGTTCGTCCTTCTCGATATCTTCGTCGTAGGTCTGTCTCATGTTGGGAAGTCGCGGGCTACCGAATTCGCGAGTGGAGGCCAAAGCTTCGTGTTCGGGGTCGAAGTCGGACACGGTGAAGTCCAAGTCTGAAAGCGGCATGCTCAGTAGTCCCGACTGGAAAGCAATCAGTCTGCGAGGTGTGATGGGTAAAGAGCTTGGCTGCCAAACATGGAGTGTGAAACGCAAATGTGCAGAACTGCAGATGGAGTCTAATGACTGCGGAACACCATTTGGGGGTGGGTTTTGTTTTGGAGGCTGGGAATGTTTTGATCGCGCGTCTTGGCCAATTATGCACCCTCACGGCTACCCGACCCACTCTGGCCGAGGACACTGCGACCAAACACCAGCACCGTGGAGGTGTTCTGAAGGTTCAATTGAGCAAGCTATGTACTACAGGGCTCCATGATTCCATGCGAAATCACCTGTACAGAAATCAGAGTTCTTGCCTTGTATGGATCAATGGTTGGACCTTGCGACGTCAAGCGCTAGCCATGAAGGCATATCGTAACCCTGATTGGAATGCAGCCTACGGTAACTCCGCCATGGATCTCGACAGACAAATGCCCAGTGATAAGAAAGATGTAAGATAGGTCGTTGACCTGCCCCGTTTGCGTAGGAAAATATTGTATGTATGCCCGAGAGAAAACGAGACGCATGCTAGCAGGGAATAGTCGAATCGATCGAACAGCGTTTCCTACCATGTATTGCCTTGAACTACGTGAGTGAGATTCCGGGAGCAGGTGCAGCAACCTTGATGTATATGCGTTGGTTCCAATTCCACACTATACAGTATATAGACCATATACAGTACACACAACCAACGAGATTCACGGACCGACATGGATATTCTGAGGCGGATTGTGGTTCTGCTTAAAAAGGCACATGTTTATTGGAATTTGAACGTCGCTCCTACTGGAAGGTATGTACTCTGGCACTTACCTCTTCCATTCTAAAGGGATGCCCAGGTAGTAAATTTGTTGTTCAACGCAAGCTGGAGACTTTCGACTGGCGCAGGCTACTTCACGCGTACTCAACCGACTAGGTGTCATTGACGGACCAACTTTGACCCATACACTGTATTGGAAGGTATGTAGCATTTTCGGAAACGAAGTCAGATCTATCTCAGCTTTATTGAGTCAACACATGCATGAACGAGCGCAGCTACACGTGGGGCTGCCAGCGGTCAATCGTAGCGAGATCAATGGAAGGTAGGTTTGTGTACGCCATCTTAGATAATCATTGTTCTTGATGAATGAGTGGAAGTGTGGGGGAGAAATGACCTTTTCTCTAAAGGTGGATGACTACACTACTCACTCCGGAGTGAAGCCGCAGCCGCTGAATTTGATCTCACGCTACATAGTCCCAAATCCCAACCGAACGCCTCGCTATTCGTGCCAAAAAAGCTGCAAGATCATGACGCCAAGGTGAAACTTACATCCACCGGGCAGTGAAAAGAAAAAGAGGAAAGAAGAGCTATGCTCTAAACGGACCCACGGCCGTGGGACGAACTCGTCTGCAGCGAGGGATTCCCGGCCATTACTATGCTCCAACACGTCGGAGACTACCCTTACAGCGCCATCTGCACCACTAAGCAGGTGGTCCTGCCGATGGTCTGTCGCTCGACTCGGCTGTGACATCCCGGGACGCAGCGGTTTCTGGTGAGACTTCCGCCTCTACCGCAGTGTTTCCCGAGGCCAAGTTAGGCTGCTGAGACACCACGTCCTCAACTGGCGTGGGAGTCGCAGGAGAATTCGAGATCGGACTCGCGAGGTTGATGTGGATCGATGGCAACCGAGTAATCTCCGGCAATCGAATCTCCCTGGCTGACTGGTTGATGGGACCCTCATAGGCGGGGGCCTCCCCCCAGTCGAGTTGATCGTACCCCGGGGGTGGCAGTTCGAACGTACCTAGGTCTCCTTCTTCAACCACGGCCGCGACGGGTCGAACGGACGATGCGTGGGTGGAAACCGGACGCAAGGCCAGCGAATCCGCATCAACAGAGACCGTGGACGCAAAAGATTGCACCTGAGAGCGAGTCGTAGGTACGGTGGTCAATGAAGGCGAAGACTCCTGCATATCTGCGTTTTGGAGAAGAGGGCGTTGGTCGGAGTCGGAATTGTGAGAATCAGCCCGCAGGCGGGTGCCATCATGTCGAACATGACCGAGGTCAGCGTAGCTCACGCTCGCGATTCGGCGCTCTCTTTCACGGGCTCGGTATTCCGCAATGATAGACGAGGCCGCAGAGGAAGAGTTAATACCACGATCGCGCAAATCCTGGCGCAGTTCATCGAGACGGATCGACTCTCCACGGGCCCGAGCCTCCCGACGCTCCCGACGACGAGCCTCACGGACGGCCAACTGATACCGTCGTTGTACCCGAAGTTGATAGAGAGCTTCCATTTGATCTTCTCGACGAGACTCTTCTTCCTCTGCCGTCTCGGGGAATTCCACAACCATGTCCATTCCAGCACGTTCTCCCTCGCGCGCAATGACCTGTTCTGTCGGCTTGGGACTTGCGGAGTACGCCGGCAGCGTCATCACGGAGCGGATTGAGGTCTCTCGCTGCGGACCATTATTGCTGTCATTGTGATTGTTGTTGCGGGCGTTGCCGGAAGATCGAGAAGTCATCTCTGGGCCAGACTGTCCAGCACCCCGATAAGAGGTGTCGTGACCATTAGCTTGACCATGGGTCGGCACCTGTCCATACGATGAATTACCCGGGCGCCATTGTCTCCATTGTCGTTTCAAGATGTGACCGGGAAGGTACTTGGGCTCGGAATAGCGCACTCGCAGCCATCGAGCGACCGAATAACTGCAAACGCTGAGGATAATCAGGGATATCAAGACCGAGACACACTGAGAGACGAACTCAGTCAGCTCTCGCACTACCTTCTGTCATTTTCACATCGAACAGCTGCGGCTAAATGACAAGATGTGCAGCGTGTCATGTCTGCACGGTCCCGAACGAGCACTTACAATGATGAAGACGCTGTTTTTACGGCTGAGCTCTCGTTTTCGCGGGAGATACATCGTGGCGGAGTACGGGCGGTGGGCCCTACTGATCTTGCCCACACATGGAAGGGCCGCCGCGCAACTCAGTGAGGATCAAGGGATGGCGGAATGTGGGATGAAAAGCAGATGAAACGTGGGGAGAGAGGTCTGCGATGTGAGTGAGAGGTGAACGAATTCCAGCCTCCGCGCACTGTTGAGGGAACTTGGAAATCAGCAATCTTGAGAATGGGGCACCGTTTCTAGGCACAAGTGGAGTCGACCACACGGGTGCGTGGTCTAAGACAGTGGCTCAGTGCCTGATGCCTATTATTATCCTGCGGACCCAGTGTTTTTCATCTCAATCAGCGTGAGGAGCGGATCGACGCAACAGATGGCGGCAATGTCCCAGCCACAGGGGCGTTGCCCACTCGGGAGATTCGCTCCGAGTCTGTTCAATTTGGGCAGACGGCGGAACCAGGAAGACTGCAATGTCAAGGCTGAGTTTTGCTTGGTACCTTAGTTGACGAGCCCTGTCGCATCTGAAGCAAGTTGAACCTTTCGCGACCGAAGGATGCAGCAGCCTCCGACTGAATGACGACGGCGGTCTTGTCTTGGCGGGTTGCTGGTACTGTACATAGTACATACTACATACTACGTGGATTCCGATCCATGTGTCTTGGATCCCTAGCGATAAGTGATGTCAACGAGATGTGCGCTCATTGTCCTCGGCGAACACGATCTGAGCGACTACTCTGATCCTCTTCCACGATGACCGTTCTGTATGTTTCTTTTTGTCATGAAGCTCGAAGGCACCCCTACCGTGTATTGGTGGAGGCCGAGTATTTCAATTAGGCCGCCCAAAGCTCAAGGGTCTGAGCTTTGACCGAGAAGCTGCGGTGTTCCGTGGTCTATGACTATCTGAGACAGTCAATGCACGCCGAATATCTGATAAGAGTGACAAGCAAGAGATTCCATTCATCTCGGCGTTTCGGTGACCCAATGCCGCGAGTGTAGCGATTAAATTGGAATATTTAGAGCTGAGTCACAACGGTGTGAATGGATTGAAGGATAGAGTATAGACTGTGTTGATGTGTTCTGTCCATCTCCGGTCGGTCGTACAAAGCCAAGTTCATACCTCTCTATCATTACATTAAGTCTTGTTGTACCAGTCTAGAGAATTGAGCATGTTTTGTTTCATTATCTCCACCACTTAGTAGGGCAGACTTATCATGCCCGGCGTGAGAGACAGTTGAATGCTTAATTGGAGCACGGCGCCCTCGAACCGATCTCAGTTATCCACTGCAGTAGAGACAGGATCGTAAACATCCAGCTTCTGCACAGTACTGGTAACTTGATGATCACGTATATCCTACACTCACCTATATTGTCTTTGATAGTACACTCCAAAGTCACATTCTACTCTATTATACACAAACAGGCTAAAATTGAGTAGGCTACTGTAGACCCATCGTGTAATTGCAACCCTTCCGCTCGCGTCAATATCGCAACTGATTTACCTCACAACTGAGCTGAAGCGAACACTCTGGCTTGGTGATCGACCCTGCCCTGATGAATACCGCTCACAGCCAGCTGATCCCGGCTTCTGAATATTATTACTCATACCCTGATGATCGGAACAGACCCGATCACAATTAGTTTCCTTGAGGAGTGTGGTGGGGCCCTCTTCGATACCTTTCATCAACACTGCATCTCTCCCGATCGTCTGTTACCAGGAACAGTCACCCACACGGGTTTTGACACAGGATTGCAACACACATCCATGGAAACGAGACCTCCGAGCCCAGGTGCTGGTGCTTCTTTGGTCTACATTACCGCCTAGAAGCTTGACACAGCTCAATACTGGACAAGTGGACATACCTAAGAGACTCCATCACATCTTGGATGGAATCAAAGAGAATGCTTAGCTCAGCTTACGGCAAGAACTGGAGATCATACAGTGGTGGTGTCAGTCCATCAAGATGTTTAGATGTCCTCGAGATTGATCGGCCATGAATCCTAGGGTGACAAGATCCCTGCCTAGTCAAGTGATACTTGATGCCCTTCCTTGACTTCTTCGAACTTGAAGATTCAGAAATGAGCGTGATCCAAGTCTGCAGCATCCAACCTTGACTGTGACCACCTGGATTATTCTCTTGATCAACAAACTTTCTTGGATCAACCGTCCGACGACGGGCATGTGAGTCAACGCAGCGTTCCTGGTTTGCGATCCAGCGAACTTGTTACGTGAAAGCTGTGGATCGGGGTTACACGGAAGGATGTTAGGTTGCCGAAAGAAAACTATACTGATCCCAGATCGTTCCAGTGCAGTGTTTATTCGACTTATGATTCTATTTTCTCCAAAGCCGACCGTCTTGCACAACGAATCAAAGGATCTCGAAAACAAAAGATGATCTTTGTCACCTCAGACCCTTACAGGTAGCATATTGGACTACTCTTTCAGAACAGAGTTCAGCACTCATTAACTTACTCCATCGGTTATGGAGAGGCTCAGTTGATCATTACTTCATTGTGCGAATGACGCATCAGCATGTCAAAAGAGGTTACATTGTGGAACTTTGTTTACTCGAGGGAGTGAAGAGAAAAGCTACCAGCATCCATTGTGAGCCTCAACGCCCCGGCTTAGAAGGAAGGATAAAATGGAGTTGTTTGTACTGACACACCGCACATGAGCAGGAGCCTGAGGAGGCGCCAGTGCTCCCTTGCCTTGACCGGCCCTTGCCTGCCGGGCCTGTTCATGCCGTTCATGTCGACGATCTCTCCAAACTCGGTACTTCCATCATGCATGACAGCGTGGACAGGCTTTCCCCGTGGAGAAGGCTGCCCCGCAAAGTCAAAGACCGTTTCCATGGGTCGCCACGCGGCAATAAGATCATCTGCACACCCGGCATGATCGCCGGCCTGCACCCTCTTGCGGTCGGACTCGACATAGACTTCAAGATGTGCCGAGAGTGGCAGCTCATCGTCCGTGAAGGATTGATTGCCATGGTCTTTGGAACAAGGCATGAGCCAATTACTATGGTTACCGTGGACAAAGAGTTTGGAAGATGGACGTGCCAAGTCGTCGCAAGGACGGATCACCGGACCGAGTCAGCTTTGCTTGACTGAGCATCCGATGGTGGGTGTAAAAGTCGTAGTCCCTGCCTTTTCTGGGACCTATATAACCCGACGCTGGGTGAAGACGTTCCAGCTCGAGTCTGGACCTCCTGGGCATCCTACCACTTGGTACCTGAGATTTGAAATCCTGCTGTGCTGCCCGAGTTGGTGGCTTCTCATGATCTCATCCCGTCCTTGAGTGGACCCATACACTGCTTCCTATCCAAATTCTATTTGCCCGGCTTAGCCTTCAGGTGTTATACACGCCTATATTATCGCCCGTCTCCGGCCAAGCCAAGTGTGTGGCGCCCTGACAAGAGCTTGGAGATCTGTCTTTGGTTGGGCTTTCCCCTCTCTCATCTGTCTTGATCTCTTATCAACTTCCGAGCCACCGCCGAGATGGCAACTCTGGACTTTGCGTTGAAGAACGAGACTGGCTCCGACACGGTCTATGCGTACATTACCGGATACGCAATTGATCGAAACAACGCTCTCGTTTTGATTCAAGCAGATGGTAAAACGCCGTACTACCCGGCGTCTCCCTCCAGCACCCTCAGTGCGCTGGATCAAGACTGTGCAATCCCACTGGGCCCTGCTGGCAGTACCAAAACAGTCTCGATTCCACACATCGCGGGAGGTCGACTGTGGTTTGTCCGCGATGGCAAGCTCACCTTCTATGTGAACCCTGGACCTGCACTCGTTGAACCCTCTTCGTCCAACCCGTCTGATCCCAATTACAACCTGTACTGGGACTTTTGTGAATTCACGTGGAACTCCTTCCAACTATATGCGAATATCACAATGGTCGACTTTGTGTCCCTGCCCATTGCGCTGACCCTGACCAACACGTCGGGCGCTTCTCACTCTGTTTTGGGATTGCCATCAGATGGATTGGGAAGGATCTGCTCGGCACTGCAACAGCAGAATGCCAAAGACCAGGCCGGATGGGACAAGTTGATTGTCAGCAACAATGGAAGACAGCTCCGCGCTGCTTCCCCCAATACGGGCATTGTTCTGGATAATTCCTTGTTCAAGAATTACTACGATTCGTACGTGAATCAAGTCTGGGACAAGTACTCCAACAACGACCTGACAGTCAACACACAAGGCGGGGCTGGCAATCTTCAAGCGAATGTAGCTCAGGGCAAGCTCGACTTTACCTCCCAGAACTTTTCCTACGATAAGCCCTCGACTGCCGACATCTTCAGCAACAGTTCTGGTGCCTTTGCAGTCTCCGGCAATGGCATCAAAGATGCCGTGACTGCCAGACTCGCGGCCGCATTCAATCGATCGACCTTGCTGAGCAACTCACAGCAACCGAATGGGGCGACAGTGGCCGACTATTACCAGAACCCTGTGACAAACCACTACTCACGGATCTGTCATGAGATCTCTCTCGACCATCGAGGTTATGCATTCCCCTACGATGACGTCGCTCCCAGCAATGGGGAGGATCAGTCTGGAAGCGTGTTTGACTCGAATCCAAAGCTATTGACTGTGACTGTGGGTGGCGGTGGAGGCACCTCCAGTGTTCAAGCTCTTGCAGACAACCCTGTTCGTCAGGAAAACGCGCACAACTCGCAGGAGGTCTCATCAGGCCCGGCACCAGAAGACAAGAAAAAAAAGGTGTTTTCCGGCTTGAAGCAGGCTATGCGGAGACTTTCTCACAAGTAGGAAACTCCCTCTATCTCGAGAGTTCGTATGCTCCCTTATTGACATACTGAGGAAGAGGAAACCCTGCAGCCTGTAACGCGAGTTCTGTCAGGAAATGGGATGGAATTGGGTTCTTGTTTGGGTTTGCTTGCCCTAGTCTACATTCTTTCTGTGATACTTATTTGTGAAAGTCATTCCGGAATAGCGGAAACCATGAAGCTTCTGATCTAACGTATCAAGCCCCTCCCGAATATCTAGCCGAATATATACATGTAATTGCAGAATCCATTACTGGAGAGTTTCCCCGGCTTGTCTCCGTAGATAAGCTACCACATCATCAGGGACTGCCAGCCAAGGCGAGTCGCTCGAATTGATCTTCTCCGTTTCCATGACGGCCCCCCTTCGCTGAGCACGATCAGCCATTAACTGCTGGACCACAAGAGGCAAGGCAAAGTCGTTGACACAGAGCAGATATGAGCAAGGAATCTTCAAGTAAGCCGCACTTGTAGCGGGTGATGCCATTGTGGACCATGCGTGAGGGCGGAGCGATTGGGCCCATTCTCGACCATTGGGAACGTCATGGAAGAATAACGCGAATGGATCGCTGGCTGTCACAGTGCCAGTGGTTTCCTAACCAAACTCATTAGCGCCACATGAATTGTGAACCATCCTCTCTTCCCAGGGACCACGGCCGCATTATAGTAGAGGCATCCGCCGAGGTAAGACTTCAAAGTTGCTTGGTGATCATGTCACTTACATCACGAACATGCCACGGCGGCAAATGTCCCCCAAAAGCGCTGATCATACTCTCGCCCACCTGGGGGATGAACGCAGCGACAAACACCAACTTGGTCACCCCGCCACTCTTGCCTTGATTTGCACGTTCTGATCGCCCCAGACCGTCTAGGGAACTGCTGACGGGGAGACCAGACCAGCCATGCGAAACGACTATTACTTCTCGGCCGCCGTCGACTTCGGGCTGGACGAGTCTGCGCACGGCGTCAATATCTGGCTGGAGGTCTCTGACTGAGCTCGCTTGCTCGACGGATGGGAATGAGACAACATAACATGTATAGCCATGTTCATTTAATTTCTGGGAGAGGCCATCGAAGATCTTCGGGGGGCAAAAGGCACCCGGCGCGAAGATGATGGTTGGTTTGGCCATGATCCCAGTTAAAGAAGAGAAAGGGTTTGTGTTTGGATTTTATAGAGTGAATTTGCTTTTCAAATAGTGTCGCCTTGGAGAAAGCAACTGAGTATATAAGATTTTGTCTGAGAATATGCAGATTTCCCAATGTTCGTGAGTCGTTGAGTGGACGCGCTCCGCACAAATTAACGCCCGCGCCAGTCGAGAGGGACGAGCCCCGCAGGACATTGGCAAGACACAGTCTTGGCATCACAGAGCCTCATGAAGAAAAGGACCACTTGCTCAAAGCTTAAATACAGCCCTGCAGAGGAGGCTAGTCATTGACAAGTCATGAGTCAAGTGTGTAAGTCTCGTTGAACGAATGCCCACCTCTTCAAGAAGATGTCGCAGTCTAAATCAAATACTACATATCATTGATGTAAGTTAATCCGCAATCCGAAACAAGGTGAACAAACTCCCCGGAACATCTGCAACAATTGAGAAAAACATATGGAAGACAACACGGCCACTACGTGTTCTCGGGACTATTTATCAAGTTGTACAATCTTCCACCCTTTCTCCTCGAAAGATCTCGGTATGTGCCATCTTCGACAACAGATCCTTCATCCAAAACCACAACATGATCAGCAATCTCGATCATCTCTTTTGCGTGAGTGATGATGATCACAGTGAGATCATCGCGCGATGCGACCAGGTCTTGCACAGTCCGACGGACGATTTCAGCCCCAGCAGGATCAAGACTCGAAGTAGCTTCATCCAAGATCAAGATTTGCGGTTTTCGAAGCAACGCACGAGCAATGACTACACGTTGTCTTTGGCCGCCAGACAGACCAATACCCCCATCTCCAATCACAGTGAAGTATCCGTTGGGAAGTGACTGAATAAAGTCATCAACCCCCGCCGCCTCTGCAGCCATACGTACACTCTGAATAGATGCCCTGTCACCGAGCCCATAGCTGATGTTATCGTAAATAGTTCCTGGAAAGATGATGGGCTGTTGCGAAACCATGGAGATGTGAGACCGCAAAGTTGGTACATGCAGGTGTGAAATGTCATGGCCGCCAAGTTTTACAGTCGGCCGACCGTCTTTGGACCCCGGTGCCTCGTAAAGCGCCATCAGCAATGATGCAATTGTCGATTTGCCCGAGCCAGACCGGCCAACGATGGCGGTACATGAATGTCGGGCGATGCAAAAAGACACGCTCTTAAGGGCCTTAGTCTCAGGCCGGGATGGATATCTGAAGTCCAGGCCCATGAATTGGATGGGAGTGAGATTCGAAGATCTGAACTGTCCTTTATGCTCATGTGAATTGTTGTTGGGCAGGCTCGCCAGGCGCAAGAGCTGCGTGGCAATTTCGCGAGAGGTGTTGATTTGAGGGACTAGAGCAGAACTCAGCGACGAGTCATTCACAACCTGATTCATTTGCGCAACTTACTCCATGACAAGATTTGGGCTGCATATCCGATGCTGAAGAGAATGAGAGAGAACACCATCATCACGTCATTCACGGTAAATTCTGCACCCACAAGAATGGCACCATAATAGAATATCAAAGCTACATGTGCGTCAGTAATACGGAGCGAGAGTCGAGGGCAAGATCTTTGCTTACCACTTGCAAACATGACCGTGGACTCCAGCAGACCAAATAATAGGCCTGTATAGCAAGCCCGTTTTAACCCAACTACAAGGCTTTTTGATAACGCCTTGTTGTGTTTATCATGGAAATAGCCTTCCAATGTTAGAGTCCGGACAGTGCGAATTTCTGAAAAAGTCTCCGTGAAAATTTCCGCGATCAGTGTATTCGACTCGGTGCATCGATGTTCCCATAAAGCGTTCACGCCTTCAAACCCGCGGGTGATCGCGTAGATGAGAGGCCCGCACGCGAGAGCAACTAACGTTAATTTCCAACAGACTATCAAACTCCAGATGATGGCCATCACTGTGATTGAAACTGCCACCACTACAAATCCAGCAAAGCGACCCAGCAGATTTCGCATGTCTTCACCATTCTGATCGAGGAGAGCCGTGAGTCTGGCTGAGCTGTTGCATTGCAACTCAAACCAGGCTCGAGGTTGATCAAGTATACGCTCGAAGGCTCTTTTGCGTAGGGAGTTCATCCAGGCCTCGCCGCAATACTCCAGAAAGTAATGCATGAAGAATGAAGCCAGTCCGTCCCCAATCGATACACCTAGCACGGCCAAGGACCACATAACTGTGAGTCTATCGCTATTGGTGCCAGCATAGAAGGTGCTGAACAATTGTGAAAGGCAATAGGAGAAAATTGGAGTTGCGCTCGCGTGGGCCAGTGCTGAAAGTGTTCCTAGTAACAATATCACTATTTGATTTGATGTCAAAGCTGGCGTGACACTTCGCATGATGTTGTACATAGAGCCTGTAGGCTTTTCTTTATGCCGTTTGGACCTGGTTGTTGGTTCGACGTCATGGATAGCCTCGCGTTGGGCGGCAAAAATAGCAGATTCAGGACTCGGCTGACTGCCCTTGCTGTCACTGCGCTGTAATGAAGTCATCTCCAATTCCACCATAGGCCTTGAATAGCATGAGCTTGGGCGAATAGGCGAAAGATCTCTTCTTGGAATGCCTATAATTGACCCACGTTTGCTGACATTATAGGTAATACCCAGCATTGTACTGTCGATTGAGCGCACTTCTTCCCTTGATAGTATTTGCTCATACGTATCAGACCACGATGTTGCCCGGTGGTGAGCTTGCCCGCCGAAGTTCTGAGACCCGCGATGTGCAGATCGAGTCAACGCAGACTGGGGTAACAAAATCTGGCGAGTTAGACCTTCCCAGGAGAGAGCAGAGTCCCGTACCGTCAGTGCAGGATTCAGTCCACCTTCAGCACTCGAATCATCCTGAGTGTCCTTCCGAAAATATTTCTCGGCCTCAGGTTGTTTTTCGATCGCATCTCGATACCCGCTGTGCACGATACGCCCACTTTCGAGGATGTATATGAAATCTCGCTCATTGATATGAGCCATTTCGTGGGTAATAATGATGGTGGTCTTCCCTCTTCGCCACTCCCTAATTGCATTCATCACAGCCAATCTATTCACAGGATCCAAAGCACTAGTGGGCTCATCCATGATCAAGATCGGAGTGTCACGAAGCTTGGCTCGAGCTATCGCGACTCTTTGTCTTTGTCCCCCACTCAGATGATTTCCACCGGGCCCAACGCAGGTATCAAGGCCTTTAGGCAGCGCATCTAGCACATTTTGTAGCATTGCAACCTTAATGGAACCCTGAACGTCCTCAGCAGAAACTGATTCATGCTTATGCCGTCCGAATGCAATGTTCTTTAAAACAGAGTCATTGAAAAGGACACTGCGTTGCTCCACCAGAGTGATATTGTTCCGGACCCAATTGATATCAAGCTTCTCAATCGAATTGCCATCGATCAGTATCTCGCCGGACCGGCAGGGGTAAAAGCGCATCAAAAGTTGACCGAGTGTAGTTTTCCCAGAACCACTCTTGCCGATGACAAAGGTGGTCTCTCCAGCAGGAAAGAAGAACGTCGACGGTTCGAGCACGATTCGACCAGGCTGGCTCGGGTATGCGAAAGATACCTACATCCAATGTGAGCTCGTAGTTCCACCACAAGTTCGCCATATTGTCGCTTGATAGACTACCCACATTGTTCACTTCAATATCGCCCTCGCAGTGCTTCGGATAAAGCATACCTCTGGCTTCGACTGCGGAAAAGTGAGGCGATTGCCGATGTAGTATTGACGTGAGGACAGAGCTTGCGACCTTTCCTTTTTCAAGCACTAGCATCTGGGGCAACACCTGCTCAATGGACTGGGCTGCAGTCAAACAGGCCCAAAATGTTCTCAACACCTCGCCCGGGGTCAGCTCACCCGCTCGAGCAAGCGAACTGCCGTACCAGAATCCTTGGACAAACATCCCGAACACCATCCATCGTACAAATGAGATTTGCAAGGAGTTAAGTCGCGCCTGGCGACGATAATGGGTCGCGGATGCCTCAATATGGGCAGAATAATTGGTCAATTCAATATTTTGCCCGTTCAAGCATTTGATAGCATCGATCGAGCTGGCGGCATTGCTGGAGACTTTTGAGGCTTGTGAGAGTTCTGCCTGTTGCGCTTCGATGCTAAATTTCATCCTTTTTGAGATAAAGCCAATGATGAACGAGAACAGTGGGATAGCCGCGAGAGTGACCAAAGATAGTTTCCAAGATGTGTAGAGTCCAAGACCCAAGGACGCCAGAGATCGACAAAAATATTGCAAAAGCAGGCCAAGAGGTTGAGATACCGCTAGTTGGAGGTCGTGAATGTGGCTGTCAAACCCGTTAGAGAACTGTTCCAGTGTGAACGAGAGGACCACATACGCTTGAATACCAGAAAACAAAGCCCCCGAGCCTTCTGATTGAGCCTCATACCAGCCAACATCTCGCTTGATTAGTTCTGCAAACAGCCTCTTCCGAATATTCGAGGCTTGGAGTTCACCGAATGCGATAAAAACCGCAAAGTAGGTGCTACTCAGCACCCATCCAGCAGCACCGAGACCCAGCATCCCAAAGCAGCTAGCGACAATTTTGCTGTGAAGATCCTCGAACGTGATCTGTCCGGCTCCGTAAGATGTAAAGACGTCGAAGACATTTCCCAGGAAAATAGCAAGCGCAGGTGTTACCAAACCGGCAAGCAACGCAAGGACAGCTCCAGTGAGCAGAGGCAGCATGTGTCTTCGGTCGGTGAAACAGAGCAAGGATTTCCAACTAGGTGAAGGCTTAGTAGTTGGCAATGTTTCCTGAGGTACCGCATCGTTGGTTTGCATTTCTGGGGATATGCACAAGTCACCAGTGACACGAATGGATTTAGTGTAGTAAGACAAGGTCGAGTCCTGGAGTCGAAGAGTCGAGTTGTTGGAAAAGAAATCGAAACTTTTTGACTACGCCTGAGTCGTGTTCGAGATAACTGACGGTCTTTCTTTGTCTCAAAAGTGATTCCTTGTCACAGTGGAACTTAGACAGTCATGTGGGGTTGCTCCAGACAACAATGCGACGGCAAATCATTGTTCTCAGCTCCGCGTCAGCATGTAGGCTGATAGACAAGGAAAGACACTGAAATATTTGCCTGGGCTATGACAAGCCTTCAATGAGAGTGTCAATTCTGGCGCAAAGTAAGGTCCGCTTGTGGACGCTGTTCGCGAGGAAATCTCTAGTCCCCCATATCATTCTATAGGTGCATGCTCCAGACTTGGCGAGCGAGGATAGACTAAGTTATAGAACATGAAGACGAAAGCACGGTTGTCCAAATTGAGAAACATTCATTCCGGGTATAATGTGAGACCTGTGTGAAAAGACTTTCGAGTCTAGCGGCCACAGCCATCCAAAAAAAATATAGACATTCTATCGCATTCATCATCACTGTCATTCTTATGTAATGCCCCAAGGAGGCCATGAATCCAGCCAGCGGAGCGCTTCCTTCTGGGCCTTTGATGTCATTAGCCTCCTGGGCTGAGCAGGTGTCCTCTTAGGTGCTGTGTTATGCAATATCGTCGAGGAGGGAGGATTCGGGAGGAAAAGAGGCAGATCGAACTCAAGAGCTGGCCTTCTGAGCACGCTCATAGATCCAGTCATTCAGTCCAGCACGGTTACTAGTACGGCTTAGCTTCAAGTATAGTATTGACCAAGGCGACAAATCTTACCGAGCAACTTCAATGGCATAGAATTGCATGCGCACACCTAGAGTTGCGATTAGCGAATGTGAATAGGCGCAAATACCGTGAGGGCATTTTTGAAGACTCACCGAACACAGTGGTGTCCTGATCGTATTCAGCATCCGCACGAGTGCGAATGATAGTACCGAAGTTGAAGTCCTCAATCTTCTTGTCGAACTTGTTGATCCAATTGCGCCATTTCTCCTTCCCGGCCTTGCTCTTCATTTCATCCTCGTCGACGGTGGCAGCGGGATCGAAGTCGGGGAATTCGGCCATGAAAGATTCGTGGATTTCATCATCCATCTTAGTGAGGCGCAACTGCGAGCCCTTGACCTTCTCAAGAATCGCCCAGTATGTCATGAGGTGTTCAACAGCTGTTTCGAGATATAACGGTCAGCGGATGTTCGTGCGATCATACCATTCTGACAAGACAGGCATTGGCATGTATGCGACGCGACTAAAATAACATGCGACTGACCCTTCACAGCAAACTGCTTCTCCATCTGTGAACCTGATTAGTTTCCTGGTGACCCCGCAAATTGGTGCAGACGTAAATGACATACATCCTCCAGGTTCTCAGCCTGCTCGGGATCAAATGGCTTCGACATCTTGACGGGAATTTCGACGATTTCAGTGCGTCAGAAAGTGTAGTTGTAACGAAAAAATGATCGTAGGAAAAATCGTGTGACTTTAAGTAAAGACAACTTTGCCCCGCGTACAATTTTTCGGCAGGCGGAGAGAAATACTGCCGTTCATGAGTCGTCTCGATCCACGGTACGTCATGCCGCCGCCCGCACGGGAACCTCCGAGTGGCACCTCTGTGGTTCCCAGCGCTTCGAATGCATTCCTTTGAAGTCGAGAGGCGCTGACCGAAGCTATTCAAATGGAATGATAGACTGGCTCAGCTCGGGCTCAAGACTCGACTCCGGCGACAGCGAATTTGGCAAATTTGGTAAATTTGGGCGTCTGCAATTGTACTCAGCGGGTCGAAGGTCATAAAGATGTATGAACTTTTACTACAGTATCAGCGGTGCTGCTGCGGCACTGCGTGAAAATGCAGCCTGTAATCCACTTCTCCGTTCGCAGTCTATGCTTTTCTTAAAGGTGTGACAACGGTAAAATGGATTCTCTTATGCATTGTTTATTCAAATAGAGTCATATCGCAGCCCTCGCTCAATGGCAATGTGTTTAGTCACTATCAGCGTCGTCAGGGAGTTCCTCGAATCTGCCTTCCCGAACTGCCTGAGCCACAGGATTTTCAACGCTAATGAGACCATTTGCCCTCGCTCTGTAGTATGTCAGGGTCAGTATATGGCAAGTAGTTCCCCAAGATCTTGGATCAGAACCTACCTCTCGAACAAGACAAAGAGTCTTTCAGCTTCCCTCTCTTTCTCCTCATCAGTCATTGGTGGGCCTGTATCCTTGGGCTCAGCTGCCAATCGCTGCCCTGTGACTGGATTCACCTCTTCATCAAGGCCACCGTCCTCGTTTGTGGCAAAAGCTTCACCGGCAGTTTGGGGTATCTCCATTCCACGGGAGGCCAGGAAGCCGGCAGCAAAGCCGTATCCGATTCTGCGCGTGAGATTTTCAGCATCCTTGCCCGATAGAACAAACATAAGCTCGGAGATTCCTGTCTTCAGGCTCGGGTATGGACTGGTGGAAAGCTGCAACAGCTTCGAGGATAGCGTGTCAGAGTGCCCAATTGGCAGACTGCGATCATTGTCTTCGGGCAACAGAAGCCATTGCATGTACTTGCGAGGGCCGTCTGGAGCAACTTCATGCACGACAATGAGCGAGTGTAGAAGTGGGACAGCTTTTTCTTCAAGCTCCTCGGGGCGGTAGATCGATACTGCCCGGTCAAGAATGTTGATCAACTTGTCAACATTGCAGTTCTGATTGAACTTGGGGAACAAGGGGTTGCTCTCAAAATGCTTTTCTTTTTTCCCCTCAAGATCCAATACAGAAAGTGAGTTGATCAAATAGCTGATCAGTCCATCGAGTGGCCTGGCTGGAATGTCGATTCTGCTGATGATCTTCAGTATGGACTGAATAGACGGGGAAAAAGTGCTGGCGAGATCAGGATACAACTTCGAAACATTAAAGACCAGTTTCAATGTATCGATAAGAGCCAACTCGTCCATCTGCGTAAGCGGCTTCCGTCCACTCTTGGGGAACTGCTTCGCGTGCCGGGCCAATTGCTAGACTGCCGTTAGTATGTAGAGTGACTTGTAAATTTTGGGTTCCTCGTACAAAGTTGACATTGTCGCCCAATGAATGATCTTTGAAAAGGACCTCAAAGTCCAAGTTGCTGTCATAAGTTGAAAGGAACAAGATTCGACTTGTGACCATCTCGTCCTCTGAGTTATCGGTCTAATGAGCGCAAATGAATTTCGTTAGAATTATCGAAATGCAGCGCATGATGGTTACTCGATACCTTCAGCCTTTCAGCGAGTCTGCCCCCAAGTCCAGTGTCTGCAAAGACCTGGCGCATGCTTGCATCGAGGAGAAGGGCGTTGGCAACGCAACGCAGTGCAGCACGTCGAACATCGACTGTCTCTCCTTCAAGACCATATCGTGCTAGTAACTCAATTCCCTACGAGGGCGTCAGAGTGTCACATATTCGGGAGCTAATGATCAGGTGGATGAGCAAGATACATCACTGCAATAAATCGGCCCCGCGTCGACGGGATTTGTGCCATGCTGGCGCAGCTCCAGAAGTAACTCGCTTTTCTCTAGCCCTCGCATTAGTACCCGCAATCGAAATTCGCGAACAGCGACTTGCAAAGCGACACTCACGTGCTGGTGTCAGACGGCTCTCCCGTAAGTTGTCCTTTAAGGAGGCGAGCAACTGGGTTACTCGCTGCAGCTTGGCTGTGAAGGCTGATCAGTTATTTGATATTGAGTTTGCGAGAGTATTGTGAGGATCGGCATAGATAGTGACCAAGAGCTCCTCCGTACCTGCTCCTTGCAGCTGGTTTAGGCTCATGCTGGGGCCCGTCGGAACAGAAAAGTTTACTCCCTTTCCGACCTGGCCTTGTCAAAAAGGCAAATAGCGAGGTTGACAGGGCTCGCACTGCTTCGGAAGACAGTGCCCGTTCTCCTTCACTTTCGGTCCGTCGGAGATTCGCAGGTGAAGCAGCGCTTGCTCGCAATTTTGTTCTTGAGAAAGGGATGGATGGTCGACGGGCGACGCGGGGAAACCATTGCAGCAATGGCCGTCTTGGAGAAACCAGATGGTACACCCCACCCGCGCTTCGGGATCGATCCATTGTTGGCTATTGTTACAGAGTCGATAGACGGTCGGCCCTTGGATGATGCTCTACTTCCGGTATAGTTATTTCTTTTTTCTACACATACCAGTAGCTTTCTGCTTCACGGCTTACTGAACCTCAATCCGTGCAGGCAGACTCATCCGGGTGCCTTGTCAATGACTGTGAGGAAGTTGACCGCTGAGTACCTAAAAGGGCATCGTTCGTAGCAAATAGAGATTCTGAGTGAATACTGAATAGTAGTTGCGCCGCGGGGCCTTTGAATAATCAATTTAGACTGGACGTTTTAGGATTCAGACCCTCCCTAATCTATGGCGAACAAGGAGTCAGATAATGGGAGTATCAAGGTATTCGGTACCTTCATTTGTACATTGTGCGTGCCACAACGCGTGGTATCTGACACATGAGCTGGCGGGCCCCCGCGTGCCCGTCGTCGGTGCCTTTTTGCCTGACTGATGAGGCTGCAAGCGGCCACGGCCACTTTACGCGATTCGCGATTCGCGACATGCACGCGAGGCAGTTTTCACGGCCATGCATGAGGTCGGATGCTCTTCAAGGTTTTCCTTGCCAGCTCGTCCCCAACGCAAACCTGCCGACACTCGTTTCAAGGACCATAATCGCGCCCTCTTGAGATCTAGCAATGGTCTTCAACTTCCTCACTCCGGCTGTCTCATAATCTCATTTCTTCCTGAACCATGGTCGAGATCCCCGGCCCTCTCCCTGCTCGCCCTCCGACTCCTCCTAGGCCGGGCTCCCGAACCGACGACGACGAGCAGCAACCTGCAAGGCTTCTGCTAACTCCAGAAGCCTCGGCGCACACTCCCAATACGACAAGGATTCCTCCATCGAGTCACGGTTCCAAAAGAGTCAACTTCTCACCATGGCTGCACACCGTCATCGGATCGCCCAAGCCAAACTCGGACAGCAGACACCCGGAAAAGACGAAGTCAGGCCCAGCGCATCCTCGGAGCAGTACGGAACTCGAAGGGAGGCCTTTCAAATCGATCCTCAAGGAAACAAGCTCTCCAATACCTGCATGGTCACCGAATGTCAATAAATTCACCACCCAATCCATCGACATGCTGCTGGAATCAGTAGTCCAGCAATTGACGGGAGAGAGTATTTCCTCCCGCCTAGATGCATACATGAACTTGTTCAATGCTTTGCGAACATACGACACTCTACCTGGGGGTAAAGAAATTGGGGACAAGTTGGGCTTGATAACGGAGTTCATTCAGCGCGATGTGACTCGCGATCTCATACACGGCACTCCGATGGACACAACAATCGCGAATCAAGCCTTGAAGCTCGCGGCTGCTTTTATATGGCAACCGGACATTTCTACGCAAGTATCCGAGGACTTCAAGATCTTCCTAGTGGAGCACGCGATCACCTCGCTTCAGGAGAGTAAAGCTGCCAAATCCGTCCTCACCCATTACTTGTCCATTCTCTCTACGCAAAACTTCAGTCCAAAAATCATGACGGCCTCGCGGGTGACGCGTCTTCTCACTGCGCTCAAAGATTTAAGCAATCACGTTTCTGGCAAAGCCATCTCGTTCCATCGGTTAAGCATTTACCAACGGCTTCTCACCCAATTTAAGTCTTTGTTCATTCAACATTCCGCATTATGGATCGAACATCTCGTCTCTGGCCTGCTCCATTCAAATAAAGACACTCGAGTCAAAGCCATTGCGCTGGGCTTTCAAATTTCCGCGGTTGCCGGCCCTACAACTTTGCTCTCCGACACCGTTAAGCAACTCTTCGATCGGCCCCTGGAAGGGAAACGCAAATTAGTGACTGAGATCAAGGAAAGGATGTCACGCATGGTCGCTGCTCTCGAAACCGGCATCCATGTCCCGCAAATTTGGAGTATCATAGTTCTGCTATTGCGAAGTAAAAAGCGGACTCTCGATCAGTGGGTCCATTTCAAGGAGTGGGTTCTTGTTCTTCAAAAGTGCTTTAATTGCAGTGAATCAGCCATCAAAGCTCAAGCCATCGTGGGTTGGAACCGCTTTATCTACGCTGTGAGTCCCAATGAGAATACGAGCCGTTCGTTGCTGAAGATGTTGGGTAAGCCTGTCTTCTCGCAATTCGAACGCAAGAAGTCCGATAGAGCAGAGCTGTTCCCCTCTCAACTGGCGCTAAGCAGCTACTATCATTTGCTTTATTATGCTTTCCGACCCTCGCTGCCCTATCACCATGTCGATGTCATCTGGGAGGAATACGTGGCTGCTCCATCTGCAAACGTTCTTTGTGCCTATCCAGCCGTAAGTGATATCACGGCGCTTGTTGTGGCGAACTTGCTCTGGAGCTCACAAGCAAAGGTATGGACTGAGACTCGGATTACCGACAATGCAAGGATGGGGGTGGAAGAGCTTCCGTCTCTGGAGTCTCGGTGGGTACGCGCGAGAGTAAGCCTTGTTCTTGCTGTGTTTGAGTCCCTTCTCAGGAATTCTGCTTGGGATCGCGAATCAATCGATAAATCGAACATTGCCATCGCCTGGAGAGCACTGGCAAGCGCGCTCTCGTTTGCTTCAAGCAAGGAGATCACTCCTTCCGGCGAGTCCATGCAGGCCGTTGCTAGTGTTCTCGGCTTGCTCCATCGGATTTGGGCTGCAGGACCAGGAGCACTAAACGCTGAGGGCGAAGATGCATGGGACGCATTCATGGAGATCTTTCTTTTTTTGTCAACGACGATGATCTCATCTCTGGGTGGAGTGCCTTTCACCGAGAAAGTCATGCTACAGACCGAGGACGGCGCCTTCCAGACCTCCAGTACTCCGACGCACCGTCCATCTTCCTTGACGAACAATCTGAATACTCCCATCATCCACTTGCTGCGCATGATCAGCAGTGAATCTGCTACAGTGCCATCGATCCCATCGTACGCTCGACTTGTGGGCAGATTGATCGAGACGTCTTGCGACGCAAGGATCTCTCGAGGGTCACGTCTCGAGCTTCTTGGTCAATGTGCTGAAATGAGCGTGAAGAGCTTAGCAGCCTCGACTAGTGCGCCACATTTAGCGGAGAAAATCTGGTCTGGAACAGCACAAGCAGTATCACGAGCTTTGAGATCTCTCCCAGTCGACTCTGCGCGCGAGCGCGATGCTGTCACAGCTCGCGACTATGAGATCATACTCAACATACTCTTGGCTGGTATGACCTATTTTCCAAATTCATGTTCCGACTGGTCATGTCTGTTGGGAGAGCTTGTAAATTTGGTCAAGACAGAGAAAGGCGACGGCGCTTGCGCGAATTTGGTTGTGGAACCAATTGCGCGCCGTTTGTCTGCACTGCCCATTCTTGACACTTACGTGCCCATCAGTTCTCTACTCTCGCATTGCCTCGCCATTCCTATTGCTACCCCCGCTGAAGTGGGAGTCGAGAAATCTGATACGGATCTAACCAAGGAAGCACGGTTTCCTCACGATCTTCTGACGGCTATGACGCGTAGTTTAGATCTAGGCTACCATAAGCTGTCCCACTCAAAAGAGCCTCACGTTGCTACCTTCATTGAATCTGTGGCTTCATTCTTGGTCTCTGGGTCTCAAGCGTGTCGTATTCAGGCGGCTAAGGTGCTCCAGTCACCACTAGCACTTTGGATTGCAGATGCAGAGAGCAAGCTGTTTGCTTCACGCGGGGTGAACAGTCAGCTTGTTTTGGCAGTAAGTCCACGTCGCTTCCTCTTTGGTCAACGTCTCCTCACACGTTCAAATAGTGCCACGCGCTCTCAACTTCTCTCCTCAACACCCTTCGCCCCATGACCATTGACGGCTACTCCTCTTTACAACACTTCGAACCCGTTATCTGCGCCGGCTTAAATTCTATACATTCCATAATATCCCAGCAATTTGTCGACTTCATCGGTTCAGCAGAAACAATTACAGAGTCACTCATCGAGCATACACCAATGGGTCAAGCTCTGTCGGTTGCAACCGCGAGGCTGGCAAATCGTGCCTCGTCGCCAGATCTTGAAAGCCAGGTATTAGCATTCCACATTACACATTGCACTAGAATACTTTCTGATCCTTTGAAAACATGTACTAGTCCTCGAACTCCGTCGTCGACTCTCATGACCAACTTCATGAGTCAGCGACTGATGACTGCAGCCAGGAGAGCGTCGAACAAACCACAAACCTTGAACTTTCATCTAACATTGATCTGAATGATCATGTTATGCCACCCCCCACGGAGCTGAACGAGCCTCAACTACCCGCCTATCCTGGCTCAGAAGGAGGAGGCTCGGAGGCACCGTTGGCCACTCGAAAGAGTAGACGACAGAGTCAACGGGAAATGTTCCGCATGATTGAATCCATTCGATCTTCTTCGCCGGCGAATGATCCTGGTAAGTCAGGGTTTGATACACCAAAGCACCTTCATAGACTACATCTGCGGTCTGGGGTTCCATTAACTCCAACCTTGGCTCCAGCGGAGAACGAGGAAGGTTTCATCGGATCATCCCCCACACCAGCCACGCGTGATCAGACACCGACAGCGAGACCAGAGCTATTGGGAAGAAAGCGTCTTGCCAGCATGAACAACAACGCGTCAGATGTGCCATCCTCCCCACCCGAGGTCAGATCCAAGAGTCCGAGCCCCAAAAAGCCTTCCAGCTCATCTCGGCGAGCGAAGCGGAGAAAGCTCCTGCATTCGAGTCTTGCTGCAAACGCCAAGAGCAAAGAGCCCGCAAACTCGATTGATGCTAGACCCCCTAGCCGTCGTACTCGGTCATCGCAAGCTTCAATTACTGCTGCTGTCGATCAGTCGGAAGCTGTTTTGGCTCCAAGTGCGACGTCCGCCAGCCCGGCTGGATTGGAGGACCAAGGCGGAGCTCCAAAAAGCGAGCAGTCCAAGTCCTCATCCAACAAGCGAAAGAGAAACGGGAGTATGAAGTCAGCTGAGCAAGAGCAGGTGCAGCCTGTGCAAGTGGCCTCGACACCAGTGGTGCCAGACGAGCATGCCGACTCTTCTAGCGAGGACTTGGAATCCCAGGTCGCTTCCCAGATCGAGCAAGATATGGAGCTTGTCGTTGACATGCTCATGAGCGTCTCTCCTTCTGAATCTGAGGTTGGGAAGTCTGCAACAAAGAAGAGAAAGCGTGAAGACGAACATGCCAAGGCCACTGTTCCCGACAGGCGACGCTCAACCCGTCTATCGACCGCGAACGAGGCCACAGGTATGGAAACCGAGGAGGCTGGGCCTAGCCGTTTGCCTACGGCGACAAGCTCCCAGCCTTCGGACAATCGGTCTGCATCAAGTCTGTCGCCGACCATGACGCGTCGCGTGACCCGCAGCTCCCAAAAGCGGGAGAATGAACTCCTCGCCATTGACTCGAAGCTGGAGACTGAAGATTTGGGCACTAAGCAGGAGCTGACTGAAGACAGCATTTCTTCACAGCCGATTGCAAAGGAGTCTCGCAGATCAGTCCACTTCAAAGATGAGGCTGCACGTCCTGTGAGGGCAGTGGACGCTCCGCGGAGCAAAGCGTCACGCAGCTCCCGTTCTCACAAATCGCGTTCTTCCCACACTGAGCTGAGATCCCCTCCCGTCTCATCTCATAGTGAGCGTGGTTTCTCTCAAAATCAACTCGACGATGAACCAGCGTCAGTTGCAGCTGCGTCAATGGACGCTTTAGCCAGTGGGGGCACTGATGCCTCGGTGAACAGTTCTCTTCAAAAGTCTGAGCAAGGGGCACTGTCGCCTGTCTTCATGTCCACCGAGGAGGCATCAAAGGTGCCAGCCACTGGACTGGACTCTGTCCACTCAGCGAGGTCTCAGGGCATTGACTTCCGAGGATCAATGGAAGTCAACACAATGCCTGAGTCCATTACAGCGGAGGAAGTTAGTCTAACTCTCGACTTTGCCACCGTTGCGGTTCAAACAGAACCAGTGCTCCCTACCCGTCACTCAGACAATAGTGAGGCGGGTATTACCCAATCTCTGAGAGATCTCCTCTCCGAAATCAAGACCGCAAGCTTGGGACCCAATGCTTTGCGTGAGATTGACGATCTTCTCTTTCACATCCGCGTCGAAGCTCACGAAGCCTCTCGGCGCCACAATTCTTCTGCATAGCGTCGGCGTTTGATGAACAGTCCTCTCACCGTGTGGGACTCTCCGTTTGCTTTTATCTCATCTTACGCTTTCTTCTTTTCTACGTCGTTATCCCCCCCCCCCCCCCCCCCCCAAATGTGCATAGTTCCGCATGTTACAAGGCGCCTTATTCAGCGATCTGAGTAAGCCTTGCCACGGCAGCAGGCTCGGCCTACTTCCAGCTTTAATGATAACTTTGTTGCCGTGATCTTCCAAATCACAAATCTCTGATCCATTGATTGTTTTCGCTCTGTCAAGGGTCGTTGCGTACTGCATGCAAAATTCATCGGACTAATTGGATCATGACTTTCCTTTTTTGGGACTGATTTTACATGAAGTTGACATGGGTAGAACTGTAGGACCCCCGCCACACGTCTAGGGTATCGACTTGGTGGAAGTGGCGTCAAAAGGAGCGCGCTTCGAGCCACCACCACAGCAATGACAGAGGCGGTGGTTTGACAATATTTTATTCTGTCTTGATTGGAACTGCCGATAGGGATCTGTTCAGGTCCAGTCTTCCATTTGCATTCCCATGGGATTCTTGGACCACGAAAGGCGCTGAATGCAAGCATGGTGGTATTTGGCCCATGGTGTGTTCCAATTGCCACCACTTCATACTCATGCCACTACCTATCCATGAAATAGGTGTGGGCTGGACCTGGGTAGGTATGTCTACGTATTTGCTCACCTATTTCACCTTCAAGTGCGCGGAAGATATATAAGAAGCCAGCATATTCCACCCAACTGCCCAAATCTACGAGCGTGCGAATGTGGGTAGCCAAAAGTTCGGAATCTCTTCAGCTGGCAATTTCTTCAAAGAACAATCATTCGTCATGGGAACTCAATATATGATGCAGGCTGGGCTTGCCTCTGGCATGTCAGCTACGGAGGGAGTGCACCCGGCCCGTCTACGATCTGTAGATCCAAACCTGGGCGATCCTGCTCACTTGCTTCCCGGAGACATCGTGCCTAATTCTCAAAGCCGCCTGAACGTGCGCGTGTTCAATGGCAAGGACATCCAGATTCCATATTTAGGCATTGGTACCTGGTCGTGGGGAGACAAGGCGACATTTGACTACGACGCGACAACCGATCTACCCCGAATTCACGAGGCATGGGCAAAACTCAAGTCAGTCGGACTCACCTTTGTCGACACTTCGCAGGCATATGGAAACGGCGAGAGCGAGAGGATCTGCGGAACACTCTTCCGAGGTCTGCCTCGAGACTCGTTCGTCGTACAAACGAAGTGGTTCTCGGGTGGCTTGTCGAACACTTTGATGCAGTCGCGTGGGCCCAGTGCTCGGCTTAAAGAATCTCTAGGTCGACTGGGTCTCGACTATGTGGATATATACTTGGTCGATGGACCGATTCACGGCAGTTCAATCGCTACCGTGGCCGCAGGTTTGGCCGAATGCGTGCATCAAGGTATGACTCGTGCCGTTGGGGTTGCCAACTACAGCACGCAGGAGATGATCCATATGGCCGAGGAGCTAGCCAAAAGCGATATCCCTTTATCTGTGTCGCAATGCGAGTACTCTGTGCTCCGCCGGATACCTGAAGTGAGCGGAATGATCCGTGAATGTCGCAAGCGTGGAATCTGTTTCCAAGGCTTTGCTTCGCTCGCGGAAGGCCGATTGACCGGCAAGTATTCGCGTTTCAACGAGCCCAAGGCCAATCGGCGATTCAGCAGTTATCCGATGCGTATGCTGGAGCCGACCATCGATGTGCTCAAGAGTATTGCCGCTGATCATCGAGTGCCTGTTTCGGCCGTGGCCTTGAATTATTCCATCAATAAAGGAGTTGTACCCTTGGTCGGCGTACGTGATGCTGACCAAGCACAGGATGACATGCAGGCGCTGGGTTGGCGGTTGACTGAAGACGAGGTCCACCGCATTGAAGAAGTCAGTCTGGAAGGTCATACGTCAACACTCTTACAACATGGGTAGAAGAATGATGGTGGGCGAAGCAAGAGTTGTTTGTTGAGCTTTTCCAAGACCTGCCGTAGGGGAAGGTGAGAGAAATTAATAACTCAAGCACCTAGAAAATCGATCATGTCTAGCTACCTATTGGGCCCAATCTACGTCATAGTCGAGCACACAGTACTAGTAGGTTTGGATGCCCGCTTGCTAGCACCCGTAGAGCATACTGCGTAGCAGCCTTTCGTTGTCAGTGTGAGACAACCTGAAACATCAATTATGATCTATTCCCGATTCTAGTGGCAGGATCTGCTGCGGATGGAAGAGTTGAATTGTTTTGGCTTTTTCCTTGGGAGCTTCCAAAGCGGATCGCAGCGGGGCTCAGCTCCGAACGGGCCCCTCCGATTTCCCCGCCATGACCTCAAGTCCTCAACTTTGTTGAACCTCAGGACACTCACCTCAGTTGTCTCACTGGCAAGGCTCTTTAAACCATATTCACTTCTCCTACGTCCCACATACTCATCCTGAGTTTCCTCTCAAATCTCACAATGGACCGCTCCAAGAAGCCTGCGGCCATCGGTGTGGGTGCATCGCTCCCACAGCCCTCCGTCTCCGTTCAGGATGGCCTGATCGAGGCCAGCTTGCCCTCTGGTGAATCTGTTACTGTCTATCTCTATGGTGCTACGGTCACCTCCTGGAAGACCAATGGTCAAGAGAAGCTCTTCGTTAGTAAGAAGGCGCATATGGATGGTTCCAAGCCCATTCGAGGTGGAATTCCCCTTGTCTTCCCGGTACGTCGAAGATCTTCGCCCACTGATCAATGCACGTCTTGTGAAAGAACCATACTGATGCACAGCTCTGCCTGTCTTGCTTTTCCTCTATAGGTGTTTGGTCCTCCCCCACAAAATCACGCTACCTCATCTCTTCCCCAACATGGCTTCGCCCGCAATTCGAACTGGGAGTTTCTCGGCAAGTCCTCTTCAGAGGCGAGCAAGGGCGACTTTGCCGTGAAGCTGGACTTTGGATTGTCGCACACAATGCTGAGTGAGGAGTTTCGCAAGGCCTGGCCCTACGAATTCGGCTTGGTCTACAGCGTTACATTGTCCAAGGACGCGCTCAAGACCTCCCTGCAGGTCACGAATGAGGGCAAGGAGAACTTTGAGTTCCAGGTTTTGATGCACACCTATTTGAGCGTCGAGGTAAGTGGTCCACAACGCGCTGCTGGTCCTAACAAGACGGAGAGCTAAGCCATGCAGGATGTTTCCAACATTCGCATCAAGAACCTCGAATCCAAGACCTATGTCGACAAGACCCGCAATGCCAGCACACATACTGAGTCCCTCCCCGCTCTGGCCATTACAGAAGAGACCGATCGTGTCTATCGGGATCTGGATCCCGCCCAGCCCATCATTGTCTCGTCTGCTTCCGATGACCAACCCCTCTTCAGTGTTACTCGGGAGGCACTCACCGACATCGTTGTTTGGAATCCTTGGATTGAGAAGGCCAAGGGAATGTCCGACTTTGGACCTGATGAGGCGTACAAGAACATGATCTGTGTGGAAGCTGGCTCTGTCTCGACCTGGCAGACCCTGGAAGCTGGTGACTCGTGGGAGGGTGTGCAGAGCATCAAGTCTCGTCTGTGAACTTGGAAGGCCGATCTTGTTGGGAAAATGATTACTTGAACCAAGCCGAGAACTACTTCAACTATTATCATGCACGAATGGAATGAATGAACGGCTTTTCAAAATTCTCTTCGTCCAAAGTGGCAGGACGTCAAGATCCAAGGTCCCTCTGTCCAAGCCGGGCTATTGGTAAGTTATCCGACGTTTATTGAAATGAAGAGCATGACATTTCCCTAGAGCACAGAGGGATTGAACGGACGCATGGTTCTCACAAAAAGAAAAGCAAAGTCAAAACACAATAAAAATCGTAAACACAAGAAAACAGAACATAACGACAGAAGAGAAAGGCAAAGAAGAAGGTATCAACCAAGACCCGAGGTAATGAACATAACAAGAAAGCCTAATTACACAGAAGCAGCCAGAAAACCCCATCCTTTTGGAACATCGTTATCATAGGGGTACTTTCATGAATACGTACCAACATCACCTCATCTGGTATTCGCCTTCACCGTACGGCCTTGGACCCGGATTCGCAACGTCGATGAATGATCGTCGGCCTTCCTTGCCCGTCTGATATGCAGTCAACCGCTCTGCGGCTTCAAAACTATACTGGGGACCCTGATATCTGCGCCTTGCTCGGAATATCCACCAGATCGCACATAATGCCATCAAGCCCGCGATGATGACGCTCGTGTAGTTCATGTTCTGCGTGGTCACGGGCAAAACGAGAGGGAAGCAGAAAAAGACCACCGTCACCAGGATATATCCCAGGGCAGTGATATTGACAGCCATACCGAGTCGCTGTCCCATGTAGAAAGGACCGGGGACCATGTTCCTTCGCCCAGAGAGAACATGAGGAAGTATAGCGCCAAAGTAAGAGAGGGAACTGAGCACGATAAAGGAGGATATCAATGCTTGAAAGGCGGTCGTGCTACCGACGTAGATGCACCCGATGCAAGTGACCATTGCACTCAGAGCGACGGTGGCGCGCACGGGACAGTTCAGTTTGGGATGAACTTGAGCAAAGTACTTCGCACAGGGCGTTGCGTTATCCCGAGCGAGACTCCACCACATTCGGCCGCCAGTCACGAAGGTGCCGATTAGGGGTGGGAAATGTCGCAAGAAAGAGAACGGCAATCAAGCCCACGGCACCTGTCTCTGAGCCTGTGGCCTGTCGGTATATCTCTGCTGTTGGGAAAGAGCTAATGCTGCTGTCCAGGACAGCGTCCAAGTCTTGAATCGAGTAGAAGAGAGCGATCAGGTAGATGAAAGAGGTGATGAACGCAGTGAGCATTTGAAGCATGATACCCTGGGGCACTCTTCTTTCCGGTTTTGGCACTATTGAAGAGGCAATGAGTCAGAGTGAGTTCGAGAATGTTTTGCGGAAAGATGCTCTTCGTCTAGGCTGTCTCACCTTCCTCTGACAGATGGCTGATACAATCCGGCGTCCCTACTGCAAAGGCAGCATTCAACAATCCAGTCATGAAACAGATGCCGTCCGACCAACCTCCCGTTCTGTTGTGGTATTCTGTCCAAACTTGCCTGTTGCTCGCGTGCGTCTTGGGCATCACGGCCAGGACAATCACAGTCACAATTAATCCAACCATGGAGAGAGTCAGAGCAATTCGATTCAGAATTGGAATGAATCGGTTGCCAAAACAGACAATCGCGCAACACGACCAGTTCATCAGTTGAAAGACGATGAAAACATGCCAGGAGCGCCATTCAATGTTCTCATGTTTCAGCAGAAACATTGCGACAGCTTCATTCCCTAGGATTGAGCTCATTGACGACGCCGACAACAGCCAGGCAAATGCGTTGAAGTAACCAGTGACGAATCCCGCCCCACGTCCCCGACTTCGACTGAGCACCGATGACCAGTAATAGACCCCACCGGCAGAGGGCATTGAAGAGGCTAGCTCTGCAAGAGATGCGGATATAGCAGTATAGAAAATGCTCACGAGAATCAAGCCGTAGATTACTGCCATCGGGCCCCCATTTTGCAATGCTGCGACAATTGTCCCGCCCGTTGAGGCCCACGAGCTGGTAAAGTGGGCAGTTTAGTCTCAGGCATGGTCATCGAGTATTGACCTCACTGATGAAGTGCAAAGATCGTTGATTCACTCACTTGGCTATGACGATGCCCAAGCTTGTTAGACTCCAGAGCCCAAAATTTCGTTTCAATTCTTGCCTATGCCCAAGCGCGGCTTCCAGACGGACTTCGTCAATCTCCCCTTTGGTCTTCAAGGGTGTGACTTCATATGGTGACGGAGTGTGAGGTGAAGACTCGGCCATTTTCATGTCTTCGATGTGGCCTGCACAAGAGATAGAGAGAGCCAAGAGAGAACGCGAACCAGAAGGAATCTCGCGAAGGGAACGAGTAGAAACAGTCGAGGATGCAAAGCGACCTCACACAAAGTCAAATGAAGGAGGTCATCCCATGCAACTGACCTGACAAGTCCCCTCTTTGGTGGTCTTCCCACTTTTCAGTATACACAGCCAATCCGCTTGGATTCCGAACTCTCCTAGAATGCTTTGAAGCGAGGGTATTTTGTCCATATGGCGGCCACGTGTGGAGCAGAAATAACACACTGACTGGGGCAGGGCCGCGTGTGCATCAGAAATATTTCCGCACGACTTGGTGACCAAGGCAAGGACATGCAAATCGCTATGAAAAGGGCTTTACTACAGTAGTTCAGACAGACTCACGGTGGCTAAAGTGGACTAGACTACGACCGAAAAGGGAGTACCTGTTGGCTCCATTCGATCTCCAAATTGACAAATGGCATGGATTAGGATCGCATGTAGTTATCTCTCTATACCAGCGAATGATCTGTTCCACACCTTGAACCCTTTCCCCTTCCCAAATTTCCGCTAATTACTTTTTAGGAAGGTCGGCTGCGAACACAATGTTTGCTCGTTGATGCATCGCAAGCCATGCAAGGGGCAGTATCCATGGAAGAATCCATGTCTACAGCCGAAATACTGGGAGTAGGGCTTCGCCGGGCTGTCGATCCGTCGATCCGATAGGATCTTTGCAGCCGCTCAGATCAGAATTGACCATGGAGCTCAACTCCACTCCGATCATTAAACTTACTAGTCCACCGCGACTGGGAAAGCAATTGTCGCCTTCAAAAGAACAAGCAAAGTTTGTCCAGGGCTGTTCCACCATAAGAGGCATGTGTCAAGCCTACCGCGCACGGCCCAGTCTTGATTCAAGAACTTGTTATATATCAGATCCCGGTCACATTCCTGTGAGCCACCTGCACAACATCCGATTGGCATCGCACGGACCCGAGTACCCGATTCGAGGGTGCGTCGCATGGGTCCGCAGGTTAGAGATCGTCCTCAAGTTGGAGGATACGTCAACATTGATGTTCAGACATGCGAGTTCGACGTTGTGCTCTGAATGTACGACACAGCCAGCGATCGAGATTCATGCAACTTGCCAGCGATACCCTTTGTCTTATATGCCAAAGAGTATATAGGCTTATTGAAGTCAAAGCATCGATCCATGACAGGTATCCAACGAAATCAATGTCAGTGTCAGGTCACCCGACAAGAGCAACCTTGACGTGGGCTCCATGAATATGGAACACTTACTTGCTTTCAGCACAGCCTGGGCTCAAGGGATTAGATTTAGCACTGGTACCCTTCAAAGACCCGAATTCAACGCCCGACCGTTGATGTTAATGCTCTCCTTGGTCCTCAGCTGCTGTCAGGCTCAAACACTTTCCCCAAAGGTTTGAAAACCAGAAACAAGACTTGGGGCCGATGCAGTTGATCACAGATTTCCACCGGACTCTTGCTCACGCTTAGAGTTTGAGCGCCAAGGTAGGAAGACGCTTTTGAATGATCAGTGACTCAAAGGACAAGAATGTCAGGTGGTATAAGCTCTGGGGAAAGGACCCTCGTATTTCATCCAGCTTATAGTTCTATCTTCTGTCTCTTTCAAAACATTCAGGTCCCTGCTCCGTGCTCTTTCTTATCTTGTACATGAGACCGAGAAGTCGCATTGACCATAGTAATGTCTCACTCCAATCGACCTAGATTGACAATTGAATACCTGGGAAAGTTCGAAAATATTGACGGAGCACCTCAAACGGAGCAAGAGCGCAGTAAGAGCTATCGTCAAAGCTACTCGACGGAACGCGACTCGAGCTCGCGTGTAAAACTTCACTGAAGGAAAAGAAGTGTGTATCAGGTCGAAAAGCAAAGATGAGGGACAACATTGTGCTATTAAGAACAATCGCCCGGTGATTTGACCCGGGGGTTTCCAGTACGCACAAGTAAAACTTCAAGATATGGAAACTTGTACGGTCTCGCTTGTATAGGTTGTGACCTTTATTCATTTGGTGGGAGGGATCTGCAAGTTCCTTCAAATGAACCTACTTTCGACGCTGCCAGGTGCATCGCATGAGATCGCAGATTGTTGGCTACACCATATGATACACATGTCCCATGCTCATTCAAGTCCTGACACGGAAAATCCAGCGTTTGAGAACCTTGAATAGCTACTACCTACTACTGTTGGAATCTTCCCTCCAGGAGGTTTCCTTCCTTTCAGGAAGCTTCCTCTTCTAGCTTTGTGTAGCGCCCATATGTTTCCCCTTCTCAGTAGGAAATCAAGGCTTTTTCTTGCTTCAGCTTTTCCCGTCTCTCTGGCTTGCCAACAACTATTATTCATTGTTTTCTTAGCCAAGCGAATGTATTTAGAGGCGTCTAATCATTGAAGTATCGATGGTTGGGTATTTTCCTGGATTCAGCTGCTGGGCGAAAGGTCTGATTGATTGGCCCTGTGACGGTCGGGTGGGATTATCAGTCTCAACTTTAATCTCAAGTCAATGCAATATCTTGCTCAGTGCTCAGTGCTGACTTCTTGATATCTACCTGGCCTGTCATCACTACCCTGACCTACCCGACAGCCAGCCTCTGCAGACCGAACTAGGGCTCTCCCTCCATGGTGATCTTATCTCACCATCCTATGCCGCTTTCTCTGGGACTATGCTACGTCAAACAATTCTTTCACTCAACAAGTACTATACAGCAATAGCTTGTTGATCACGCGCAACTTCTCGAATGGGACGACGTTATTATGTGACAGCATTACATCAAACGCAAAAATACCGAGTGTGGACGAATCTAGTCCAGCAGTCTGGCAGTGATTGTTTCTCGGTCGCTTCGATTGGAAACCTTCATAACGTCTATCCGTCAATTCCGAACTGACTTTTGACTGAATCACTTGTTGCGTTTTCTCTCGGTACAGCTACCCGCTAATTCTACTACTTCAAGACCAGCATCGAGCATACATCCTTCTTTAATGATCTACGAGGCTTCATCGCTGGCAACATGCCATATGATGGCAGGAGAAATGATAGTCTTTCAGTTGAGGACGCACATTCTACGTCAACATCCCCAAAACAAAGGCTACCCGATACTGCTTCCAGGACACATTGGTATTCAGGGAATGGCGTTATGGCATTGCGAATTATGTGACCTCCGGAGTTTGCTCAGTCGCTTCGGGCCCGAATCACCAGTACGGCCACCCGCATTGTCCGCTTGACCCCCAGAGCGTGGAATCTGACATGTCATGTCAATACCGCAACATCCGCTGCTCATGACAGTTCTTGCAGATCATGCAGCCTTGTCTTCTGTCATCGTGCATTCGAAGAGAACTGGCTTTAACGGCCAGTGAACAAAGAGCCGGCCGTTCGGGGTGAAGCTTCTTCCAATAACAAGGCCGTGTCGAGGCTTTGAATGACTGAGTATCGCGAATGGCCCTGGACCAAGGCAGAGAGCGACTTCGTCTCAACTAGGCAGGCTGATAGATTTTCAAAAAATCATGTCCTCAAGCGAAGATGCTTCGCTCAGGGAGTGGGAATCCTAGATTCAGCACTGCATAAGAAGGGGGATTTGACGCCCTGCTTAGAAGCTGGCCGGTGTCTCTTGCCAGGATCTGCATTCCAAAGGCAGCCGCTATTGATTTGAGTCAGTAAGCCAGCTCTCCCTTGCTCCATTCCCTTGCTTGAGGGTTGATCCTCCCATTCTACAGTGAGCTGGAAAAGCTCAATGTCGAATATGCATAATGCCGCAGCCATCGGTCAGCCATGAATCTACTGCCTTAACAATTATTGACGCTCACCGACCGCTATCGCACGAGCTTATATTGAATTGAACAAGCACGATACATTAGCTGGCACGCGAAGTGAAGGCACTGACTTTTCTCGATGACCTTCGTCTATCTCCACGATGAGTTTGACAAAGAAGCTAGCCGCCTTCACACCCTAATTGCGCTTCCACAGGAACCTACACATCTATGACAGAGCTCAGCTGCTTGATGACGAGGATTTACTTGAGCAGACCAATACATTGAAGTTCCCCAAGTTGACACTATGGGGGACACCTCACCCACTCCGCAGCAGCTCCTTGTTGAGGCTATTGTGTTCTGGGCGATAGGTGTTGTGCTATATATTGGTCGAATGTAAGTCGGATTCAGCTGAGAACTTGATGCAGATTGCCCATCATTGACCAAGGATCAAATAGGGTATCACGAGCAATCGCAGGGGGATCCATCAAACGATTATTCTGTACGGGGTCACAACCGACCACTTTTAAGTGGTACAGTTTGCTGACCTGGTCTTGAACTTGATAGGGGACGACTATGTTATGACAGCAACATTTGTATGTTAAAGTCCGAGAGCAACCGTACGCAAACATACTAACATAAGCCAAACAGATGATCTACACGACCTTGCTCGTCCTCATTCAAATTTCCGCACGCTATGCAACCAATCTCATGGATCCGAAAGACTATGACACGGTTCTATCCGATCCCCAGCAAGTCAGCGACCGTATATTTGGAAGCAAGATTGTCATTGGCCTCGAACAATGCATGTTGATATCGACATGGGGCGTCAAAGCATGTATGTTGATTCTCTATTGGAGAATTACACAAAACCTACGGTCCAACTTTTACATCAAGTTGCTATGCATCTACGTCGCCACTGGATTTATTGTCATCATGGTCACTTACTACGCTGTGTACTGCCGACCATTCTCACAATACTGGGCGATGCCAGTAGACAACATGCAGTGTGCGACCTACCAGTACTATTCCATCACACAAGCGGTTTTCAATATCTCCTCAGATGCCATGATGTTCGCTGTCCCTATTCCTCTTCTTGTGAAAGCACAACTCAAGCGCCGCCGAAAGGTTGTCTTATTGGGGGTCATGAGCTTGGGCCTTTTCACCATCATTGCCGCCATTCTCAACAAATACTTCAATTTTGCCTCACCGCTTACTACCACGTACCAGATATGGTATATCCGAGAGTCCAGTACAGCCATCTACGTCGCCAATCTCATGTGTTGGTGGCCACTCTTGCGCAAGCTTTTCGGACTCAAGGCTTTCGCATACAACAGCAACCGCGGCAACAAAGGTCCAAATCACCGGCAGTTGAACAAAGGAGGTCGTGGTTACTCTGACGGCTCAGAATCAAGACCCTCAGTATCTTATTCCCGTCCCCTGCGATTTATGCAATCGCCTTTTCGCAAAGGATATCGAACTGGCCACGCACAACGCCATGGTGACACTCGTCGATCAAGTCAAGAAGCCATCACGCGGGCCTCGATCAATTTCACGGATGATCTGCATCGGACTGATACGATAGCCATGGATGACTGGGACTGCGAACGCAAGCAGAGTGTTAATTTTGTGGACCTGAAAGGCTCAAGGCACGATTCGATCACGGACCTGGAGGCAGGTTATATGAAGCCCTTGTCACGCCCAATGTGACCAAGGAGGGGGAGAACATCCACTCAGAAGTCGCAGCAACAGATCGCTGTCAAATCGATATTGTATATTTTATATTGAAGGCTTTTGGTACTAACAGCACCATTTCAAATCCTTGTAGTCGTAGAGCATAGGAATACCGAGGACGGATTGAGCTTCCAGCTTTCCCTCCATCCATGAATTGACGTTATACGCACGTACCGGTGTAACTTATCCCTAGACTTTAAGGGAGCTAGCTCTTCACGGAGCTTTAGGCGCTGAAGTATGAAACGGTAACCTAAAGCTTCACCACGAGTACACACTTACGGAGCCATCAAGTGGAAACCGTCGACGGGCGGGAGCATGAACGCAAGCTTCGAAATCGCACCTGTGCAGCCATGGCTCTGGGAAATTCCTAGCAATCAGGTTCGAAACGAGGCCGTATCGTGCATGTGATGGCTTCGAAAGGAGCAAAAACGAGAGACATAGTTTGACATGAAATTCCAGGAGCAATAGAAACAAACTTCTCTGATGGCCGAAAGAGACAGCAAAAAGTGAAAAACTAAATGCGCCGACCGGGGTTCGAACCCGGGTCTCTCCCTGTCGGTATAAATGGGAAGGGAAAATCCTAAACCACTGGACTATCGGCGCCAGTTCGAAAGGAGAACCCGGATCTCTATTATATATGGAGCTTATCAAAACCCCATTTTCACTCCACCAAAGCATCACTTGAACCATGGTTAGCACCACATTGCCCACGCTGCGAATATAAGAACATGACCACTCACTGTCACCTGGCGACCTACTCATCCATCAGGGGTTCCGAGTGAACGTACTGTTCTACGTAATTTGAAAGGTAGATCAGAGGCTATTATCACACTTCAATTTGATAGTATGGAAAGGTGTCGCTACTTTTACGAATCTCAGACTAATGCACTCCTCAGCAGCAAAGCCCAAGTCTCCAAAGACTCAAGACACGGCCCAGGGGGCTAAAGCGGGTCATTTCCACAGTCGCTCGGGGTGTGTACGCTCAATGCTCGTTCTTACTTCGGCCATATCAATTCGGACCTTCTGGCGGCCCGGCCCTCCCAAAAGTCATCAATCTCGAGACTTACAATATGAATGATGATATTTCTGATCATTTTGACAGACATCACTCTTTTTTTCAGGAGCGAATCCACGATGCCTGAAAAGGCGAAGTCTCAAGACCGGCTTTTGGCAAGCGATGATTTACCCCACACGGACGGCGCAGTTCTCCACAAACAAAAGTTACTTTCGTCACGACTTGAGATATAGTGTCGGCCCCCTCCACATGACATAGTCAACATCAACAGGGATCAGTCCGACTGAACGCCGAGGGCCAGTCATCGTCAAGGCTGAGGCTTTCTTCCATGAGCTAGAAAAAGTCAAATGACCTTCATTCGGCATCAACGAAAGTATCAGGGCAGGGACGAGTTCTCAAGAAACCTCGTCTGCGGGCAATTACCGGAAATTTCGCGATGCTGAGTGATCCGGTGCTCTTGAACAGCGGCGCGAGCGCAGGGGCATCGATAGCCGATGGTGGAGACGGTGCTTTGACTGCGGAGCCAACTCGAGGTGTTCTCAAGACGTATAAAAAGGGTTGAGATCGGCAGCCTCGAAGCGGAAACATTCCTACATCGACGCATCTAGACGTCTTCTCTTCTTCATAAACGACAGTCACTGTGGTCGTTTCTTCGATTCTTGCATCTCAGGTCAAAGATGCGTTTCACTACCTTTTCAGGCGTAGCTAGCGTCCTCTGTGCTGGCCAACTGACGACGGCCCATCCTGATTCTAAGGGTGGAAATTTGACGCCATTCATTCATCAACAGGGCGAACGGTCGCTGCAGGGCATCCTCGACAACCTCGGTGGGCGAGGAAAGAAAACAACTGGGACCGCCGCAGGACTTTTCATCGCCAGTCCTAATACGGAAAACCCGGACTGTGAGTGAAAGGTGAATCGTAGTCTCAGCTCCGATAGCGCTAATGTAATCGCTCAGACTACTATACATGGACTCGTGATTCTGCATTGACAATCAAATGCTTGATTGACCTGTTTGAAGGGTCCCACGCAAACTTTCCAGTCGACCGCAAATTCTTGGAAACGGGAATTCAAGACTACGTGTCGTCCCAGGCAGTTTTGCAGAATGTCTCCAATCCCTCCGGAACCCTAAAGGATGGTTCTGGGCTGGGCGAGCCCAAATTCGAGATCAACCTGAACCCCTTTTCGGGTGCATGGGGTCGGCCTCAGCGGGACGGTCCGGCTTTGCGAGCGACCGCGATGATCACATACGCCAATTATTTGATCGCACATGGTCAAGAATCGGATGTGTCACAGATCATGTGGCCAATTATTGCCAATGATCTGGCATATGTTGGCCAATACTGGAACAACACAGGCTTTGATCTCTGGGAGGAGGTTGACGGGTCTAGTTTCTTCACGGTCGCTGTCCAACATCGTGCCCTTGTCCAGGGCTCGCAACTGGCCAAGAAACTCGGGGCAACGTGCGATGCTTGCGAGTCTCAGGCTCCTCAAATTCTGTGCTTCCTGCAAACCTTCTGGAACGGGAAATACATCACCTCCAACATCAACACGCAGACAAGTCGCTCGGGCATCGATTTGGACTCTGTTCTGGGAAGCATTCACACCTTCGATCCTGAAGCGGCCTGCGATGATGCGACGTTCCAGCCTTGCTCGGCGCGGGCGCTCGCAAATCACAAGGTTTACGTCGACTCTTTCCGCTCCATCTACAAGATCAATGCCGGTCTTGTTGAGGGATCAGCCGCCAATGTCGGCCGCTACCCGGAGGATGTCTATCAAGGTGGCAATCCATGGTCAGTTCGGAAATGGTGTTGGGATCTCCGTCGCTTCTATAAATGTACTAACCTAGAGTGAAACGACAGGTACCTTGCCACCCTGGGTGCATCCGAACTACTTTATGATGCCCTCTATCAATGGCACCGGCTTGGCAAACTCGAGGTTTCTGAGATCTCACATTCCTTCTTCAAAGACTTCGATGCGACCGTGAAGCCCGGCTCGTACCCCAAGAATAGCAAGACCTACAAGAGCCTCACACGGTCCATCAAATCTTACGCAGACAACTTCATCCAATTGGTGCAACGCTATACTCCCTCCAACGGGTCCTTGGCTGAGCAGTACGATCGCAACACGGGTATTCCGCTCTCCGCCAATGATTTGACCTGGTCTTTTGCATCTTTTGTGACGGCCAGTCAACGTCGTGATTCTGCGGTGCCTCCTTCCTGGGGTGCCAAGTCTGCCAACAACGTCCCAACGACATGTTCGGCCTCCCCTGTTGTGGGAACCTACAAAGCACCCACAGCAACCTTCTCATCTCAGACCGAATGCGTGCCGGCAACGGACATCGTCCCCATTACTTTCTATCTGATTGAAAACACCTACTACGGAGAGAACGTGTTCATGAGTGGTAATATTACCGCGCTGGGTAATTGGGATACGAAGAAAGGCTTCCCACTCACGGCCAACCTTTACACGCAAGATCAGAACCTGTGGTTCGCCAGTGTGGAGTTTATCCCGGCGGGTACACCATTCGAGTACAAGTACTACAAGGTTGAGCCAAATGGCGACATTACCTGGGAGAAGGGACCCAAGAGGGTATTTGTCGCTCCCACAGGATGCCCAGTTCAGCCCCACCGGAACGATGTGTGGCAGTCTTAATCGCGTGGATTGCTGATTCAACGAGCATTTCTCGTGATTGACTGCTATAGCATTAGCTCGATGGGACTTTGATTATACTGCATTGAAATTGCTGAGATTGAGCTTCTAAATAATAGCTGAATGTTCCTTTCGTGATTCACACATGAGTACGATTTCGTGAAAATCGGTGTAGTGCCACAAAGACTAATATTATACGTACTAGCTTTGACCAGGCATCTCAATTGCCATCGGAAGATCACCAAGGTATCAACCATGTCATACTCGGATCGAAGGTGTAATAAACGCCTCAATGGCACGATTTACATCTCCTTCGTTGGCTCGGAGTAGATCCGTAGCCTTACTCTTGTTCAACTCAAGCTGTTCGACCTATTTTCAGGTGGGAGTTTTGTCAACACAATAGTCCAGAAACCCAGGAATGGATGAGTGGGCGAAGACGTCTTTTAAAATTCGAGCAAAAAACATAAACATACCAATAAAGTCACATCAGCCGGGTTGACCTTGACCACCTTTCTCGGCGCTTCAGGCTCCTTCTTCTGTGCTCCGGTCACTTTCTTCTTATCATCTGGAGTTTGCCCAGCAGCGACTTCCAGCCGGCTCATCGCCTTGTTCAAAGCTTCCTGCTGGGCATTGGTGGGCCCTGGGGGAGCAGTCGAGTCGCTGGAGACTTCCTCCGGGTTCAGCGAGTCGAGGGCAGCAGCGGCTTTCCGATCTTCGGCATTGGAAGGCACATGCTGGGCTGAAGCATCAGGATTTGCTGTCGCGGAGGGAATAGGGTCTGACATTGTGATCGATGTACTCCTGTTCAGATCACTGTCCCAAACTTGAAGTTGATAAGAGTCAGCACAGTAGTCAATACAGAGAACACTTGGACAGGATCAGCTCTGAATAGTGGATGTGGATAGCTCCACACTTCCTTGGGGTGAGGGGCGCTGAAGAAGAGCTGTGGAGACTCGGGAGACACCACGTCACTGATGATAATCCGATAACCTCAGCCTTCTTCCACCTTTTGCGGGCCAACAGTCTCCTGACGTAAGCAGCATCGATGCTCTGTGCTGCCAGACTTCCAAGGCAGCCAAATGAGTCATGCGCACTGTCCGCGAATAAGCGACCGCAATGGAAATTTTGTTTGTCTGGCTTTCTGCTTGGGCTGAGAAATCCAGACCGATTTGATGACTGTACATTACAGTGCAGGCAATCATTGTTGACCCTGAACTCAAATATAACAAGTTTCATATACCCCGAGTGGCTAGTGCTGACTAGAGACCGTCCATTCGTCTGTGGTCATCTGCGACGCTCTTTCGAGTCTTGTCCTCTTTGACAAGCCGTCCCACTCTACCATCCGTAGGGTACAAATGGAGCCAACGATGGCCAACTGGAGTCCATCGTGTGCGTGTCTTTGAGAAATTTGTTGAATACTGTTTGGATAGTCCATGGAAATGGCATCTTGCTGACTAGATCCCTTGTAGCGTGGACAACCAAGCCCATCAAGCAAGATGTGGTGTATGAAGACGTGCAGGGTGTCAAAGATGCCCTCTCACAATTGCAGCGTCTGCCGCCTTTGGTTACTGCTCGGGAGGTGAGTCCCTTTCAACGTGCATCTTCTTTGTCATGTGGGATGTCGCTCACATGGACAACAGATCAACAACCTCAAGAGCAATTTGAAAAAAGTCGCTCTGGGCGAAGCTTTTGTCCTGCAGGGTGGTACGTCCTCATGCTGGAAGACGCATATGACGACCCATGACTGACAATTTTCCCCAGGCGATTGTGCTGAGCTGTTCGACTACTGCAATCAGGAGATGATCGAGGCAAAACTCAAGCTCCTGCTACAGATGAGTTTGATTTTAATCTGGGGTGCGTGTGGAACACTTGCATACTCTCGTCAATAAACCCCTTCTAAGCTTACCCACACAGGTGCAAACAAGCCTGTCATTCGAATTGCTCGCATTGCTGGACAGTTTGCCAAGTAAGTCTTTTGTCTGCAATTATTCAACGCGGTTCCAACTGACAACAATCTGCAGGCCCCGATCAAGTCCCACTGAAACCGTGAACGGAGTCGAGATGCCCTCCTTCCGAGGAGACAACATCAATGGCTTCGAGGCCACTCCTGAATCTCGCAAGCCAGACCCTGCACGTCTAGTCTCGGCTTACTTCCACTCTGCTGCAACGCTGAACTACATGCGTGCCTCTCTCTCCTCCGGTCTCGCAGACTTGCACTCCCCCATGGACTGGGGTCTTGGTCATGTCATCGAACCCTCAATCAAGGATCAGTACTCCCGGATCGTCAATTCCGTCCAAGACGCCCTGCGATTCATGCGTACGGTGGGAATTGACAAGGACCGCGGCGTAGAGACCGCCGACATTTACACCAGTCACGAAGGTCTCTCATTAGAATACGAGTCCACCATGACTCAAATGCTCAAGCAGCCCGTCAAATCCGAACACGGTACAGTGACTCAGTCCAACCCTGCCTGGTACGCCACATCAGGCCATTTCCTCTGGATCGGTGACCGAACGCGGCAGCTCGACGGAGCTCACGTCGAATTCTTCCGGGGCATTTCCAACCCCGTCGGAATCAAGATCGGTCCTACCATGGCCGCTGATGAGCTTGTTCGATTGTTGGACGTCGTGAACCCCAATAAGGAGATTGGCAAAGTCACATTGATCTCTCGCTATGGCGCATCTAAGATCGCCCAATACCTCCCCGGTCACATTGCCGCGGTCCAAGCATCCGGCCACATCCCCGTCTGGCAATGCGACCCCATGCACGGCAACGGCAAGGCTACACCCTCCGGAGTGAAGACCAGACACTTCACCGATATTCTGTCGGAGCTCAAGCAAGCTCTGGAAATCCATCGCCAGGCCGGTTCTTTCCTCGGTGGAATGCATCTTGAGTTGACTGGCGAGGCTGTCACGGAGTGCGTGGGAGGTGCTGCTGGTTTGACTGAAGACGGTCTTGGAGAGCGCTACACTACATTCTGCGATCCACGACTGAATGAGAAACAAGCTCTCGAGCTTGCCTTCCTGGTCGCAGGGTTCTATCGCGAAGAATCCCAGGTTTGATGAAATTCACGTCGAATGGATCGAGCCACGGAACATTCCTCATTCATATAAAAAGTCTTTTGTGGGGCTAGCATGGGTACACAACAGGCAAAGGAAACAAAATACGCTGGGGTATATAGTGCACTTGCACTGGACCTTCAAACTTGAAAAATAATCTTTTCGATCTATAAGCTTTCTGCTTGCTTTCAGAAGAGAGACCCCAAAGCGCCGGGAGCGGATGCTGTCAAGTAATAAAACGAATAAAGAAAAAAAAAAAAGCAATGTAACGCCTTGACCTTCGTCCACGCCAATGTTATATGCACAAACACAAAAATGAGAAGCAAAGAACAGCTATCGCAACAGAGTTCTTGTTTTCTCCAATTACTCCCGTAGTGGACTTTGTATGGCGGGTTGATAGAAGTGACTTTTACGCCGGGCCGCCTCCATTCGGGCCCTCTGCTGACGTCTAGTCTCTGCTTCATCATCTGCTTCAAGACTGAAAGTGGGTCTATCCACTGAGTCAAACAGACCGCGGTTGCTCTGCTTCGGGGGGCAAGATTGCTGAACCAGCTTGGCCCGGTTGGAGAGGAAGTATGGTGTGGCTGGTGACATGCCGATGGCGTCAAGATTTTCAAAATTATAGCCTGGAGTGGCGGGCACGGTATAGCGCTCGCTTTTCTGCGTAGGTGTCGAAGGAACTCCAGCCAAGGGCGTTGGCGGAGTGATCTTTCGGAAACCGTCCACCGCGCCTTGGTCGGCACCGCAACGACGTCCACTGGCAGAGGGCGTCGACGGTTCAGCGATCCTCACAAGAGTGCCGTTGACGTTACTTAGAGCGCGTGGCTCCATACTCTTGCGACGTTTGGCACCACCCCGAGGCACAATCGAGCTGTCGACCATGTATGGCGCCTCATCTAGCCACTTGTTCTCCCTCTCACAGCTGAAAAAAAATTAGCAATGTTTTTTTCCATGAGAACGTAGTGACTATTGAACTTACTCGAGAACCCAGCCAACACCGACACACTTGACCAAGCCGCCTGCATACTTGACTTTTTCGAGTGTACGCAGGCCACCGTCCTTGTAAACGACGTGGGTGATACCGACCTTGGATTCTTTGGGCTCCTCGCCATCCACGGGCGATAAGCTGCTGCGAGGATTCCAAGACCATGATCGGAAGCATCGAGCACCCATTTGCTGCAGAAGCTCCACAAATATTCCTGACGCATCTTCTCCTTCAGTCGTGTGTACATCGACGTACACCACGGCACCTTGTAGTGCTTGTCCCCCAGGAATACTCTTTCTGCGGGGAGTCCTTCCGGCAGTGGAAGCGACGGAAGGAGACTGAGGTACTTGAATCACCGACTCAGCTCCATCGGAGCGCCGCGGGACGCTGCATCGGCGCTTGGGACTCGGGCTTAGCGGTACGCGAGCTTCCTTGCGAGGGGAAAACATAGATACTGGATCATTGCTGAAGAGTTTCACCGGCTTGCGGAGACGAGGCGAGGATCGGACTGGAGATCTGCTTTCGAGCGAATGACCACGCTTTCGGGGCAGCTTCAAGGGCGAAACCTCGCCTTCCCCCTTCAACGGGACCTTGCACACTGTGTGGACAGTTCGTAGCTGATCGATCCCTCGGTGAAGTGGGGTCGCAGGGAGATTGAGGGGCGAGGCGAAGTTTTCTTTATCGTCATCATCGCCAAATGAGCTGTGCTGAGAAGCTTCGGCGATGCCACCGTGCTTTGAGATGTCTCCCAAATGCTCGTGGTCCATGTTAGGGCAGTCGGCATCCGATACTTCACTATCCTCAAATATGTCCAGTCGAATAGGTGAGTACATGATAGATTGACTCCGTTGGGTGGTAGCGGAGGGAGGTGTTCGGGGTGAATTGGGAATCGGGGACTTGTCGTTGACATCAGTTTGATGGGTTGAGTGCGGAAGCAAAGGTGACGCAGTCTCCGCGGCCGCTTTTGAAATGTCAGGATATGAGATGTCTTCGACCGGAGGAGATCCCTCGATAGTCTTTCCTGAGTATCCAGCGAGAGAGAAGATTCCACGTCGACGAGACTTGATGGGCTTGATAGCTGATGAAGCGCTGGACTCCCAGTTGTCAAGCTTCCGAGCTAACGGCGTGAACCCAACACCAAGATTGTCAAGTGACTGGCGTTTTCCATTGAAACAGGGACTCTGACAGCCTCCAGAAGGCACGGGTGAATCACTTTCGGTCTCTGTGATATTCACGGTGCTGTCATCAAGGTTGATCCCTGATTCGGCAAACCCATCAAGAATGGGACTCTCTGGCTGCGCGACCGCATCCTCGCATGGTGAACCACACCCCATGCTGTGGGTCCCGGACACTGAGCCCGGTGTTCCACTAATCCTCGAAGATAACGAAGAAGAGTGGCTCGCGACGGCCTCGCCGGCTATCATGGCAGTGGCTCCGGAAGGTGAAAGACACGATTCAGTTTCGGTAGACTGTGGTCTGGCTTGATCCAGATCTTCATCTGCACCCTCCGCCATCATGTCGCGGTTGACTTCCTCTTTTACCTTCGATTGGGGAGTGGGAACAACCGATTCTTCTGCCCCATTCGTAAAAGGAATACCAATATCTTTGCTGGGTATATCCTCGGAATCTTGTAATACGAGAACTGACTCCTCTGGATAATCTTCGTGGGCGAACACCGCCTGGTCCTCTTCGATGACTCTCTCGGCTGCTATCGATGATTCTCTCACTTCTCCATATTCCTCGTCCGAAAGAATCTCCTCGACTGCGTCAAAGTCTTGTTCCGTTTCCGAATGCCCTCCCAACCCTTGATCGTCGGGGAGATTCTCGAAGGCAACGTGGAGATCTTCCATGGTATTGAGGCACACAGTCCCAAAATCATCAGGCTCGCGCTGAATCTCGTCACGGAGCTCTTGGATCTGGTCTTCAACATCAACTGCATCGGTGTCGCGCTCCACTTCTTCGTCCCCTTCCACAGGCACCTCTATTGCGGTAGGTTCCAGGGCTTCTTCCAACGCGAACAGTCTCCGGGGTAGCGGTGAGAACGAAGAACTTCTGCCGTAACAACGCAGCTCTATGCCAAAGATGTCACGGGCGACATCCTCAACGATCTGGACGTCATCAGTAGCTGATCGCCGACCAAACTCGCCATTCTCGGAAGTAGCTGTATTTGTTTCTGGTCGAGGGCTAGGAAGGTGAATGATGTCGTCGTCCACCTCAGTAGAGCTAGTTCTTTCTACCGCCCGTAAAGATTGGACAGAAATCTTGAATGGGGAGGGGATTCGCTTTGGCGGACTTTGAATTAGAGATTTTTTAGCTGATGACAACACTGAATCACGTGCGGTCATTTCCGAGAAAGACGCGCCCAAGTTCGCCTTTCTAGGTGATCTTTTCAACGGAGACGCTTCCCGTTCGCGTGCGGGTGATTCCGCATTAGATTGCGATTCTTGTCGGAAAAGCAAGCCACGATTGGGAGTATCTCGAAGGGAGAATTGGAAAGGTGATGCTTCCGGCCGCTTTGCGGGACTCGACATAAAGACCGAGTCACTGAAGTCAACAGGTTTGCCGAGGGTCGATGATTGAAAGTCGCTGTCGAACACAGCAGGACGAGCTGTGCTGGGAGTAAAATTGATTCTTCTCACAGGGGAACTTAAACCGGTGCCCGAATTCTTCGGCGTCGAACATTTGGGCTCTCCGTTCTCATCGAATGCGCTCGACGGCTTTTGAGGCGTGAAGTTGACTCTTCGCACAGGGGAGCTCAGTCCCACGACCCCCGGCCCTTCCTTGGATGGCGAATCAACAACCAATTTAAGAGGACTGCTCGGATTGTACTTGCTCGACAGCAGCTCGTCTTCCTCCCCATCTGAGCTGACATACGATGCAAGCGATTTGGTGATTTGATTGTCTTTCTTCGGTGACAAAGGCTTTCCTGCGCGTTTTTTGGCAGTGGAACCTTTCCGCCCACGTGTCGTAGTTGCAGCTGATTTGCGCATAGGTGTTGCCCTCAGTCCAGTGTAATGCGGGCTCTGACTTGATGATTCCGAATCAGAGGGAGATGACAGATTGTCTTCCTCAAGTTGATCCTCCTCTGCCCCGTTGGGCTCCCGGAAAGTGACCGTCTTCTTCTTTGCAGGACCGCGAAGAAGATTCGATCTCATTGTTGTGGATTTCGTGTTGACGCGAATCTGTTTGGCCGAAGGATTGGCAACTGATTCAGTCTCGGCTGCCGCCCGATCATTTCGGCGAGTAGCGACCGGCGCTTTTGCCGTTGTTGACCCTTTGGGCCGTCCACGGGGTTTCGGTGGTATTGCGGGTGTAGCAGCTGTCGTGCTGGTCGTGGTCGTGGTGGTGGAGGTGCTTTTCTTTGGTCTTCCAACCCGTTTCTTGATAGGTTCTGTTGGTTGTGTCGCTCCGCTGGTTCTGACAGTGCGAGCAGATGTTGCCGTCGCAGTGGGCGCCGGCGTTGCTTTGTTCGGTCTGGTGATGGTCTTCGCTGCCGAGGACGCGGTGGCTGCGGTTCTGCTTGAGGGACGCGCTGGCGGGCGTCCACGTGGTCGAGCTGATTTCATCTCTGGTCCTTGCATCATCATGCCAAGCTCATCCTCTGTATCATCTGAGTCTGATTCCTGAGTCGCCCGTGTGTTTTTTCGCGCTGTCGTGGTCTTGGTCACGCGCTTAGGAGCTGATACTGCTTTGGCCTGAGAGCTCGCTGTGGTCTTGGTCAAAGTTGACCGAGGCGCTGTACGTGTTCCCCGCTTGGCGGGGGAGGGTGGAAGCACGGCTGCGCGTGCCATTGCGGTGACGAGACTGCTTGTGATGTGATGTTGATGGAAGAGATATCGTTCTCACTATGTCATGTGTCGAAGGATCGAAAGGGCGTGAAGTCGTCTTACTATGGTTGGCGGTAGGTCGATATCACCGGTCTGGGCGCTTGGCGGTGTTGGTTGACAGACGGTCGCCGGTTCGTGTAGCGGAGATTCCAGTCGATTGCAGGTTGAAACAATCATGTGTGTGGACTGTGGAGTGATGTGATTGTGTTTGGTTAGGTTTGACCGGATCCGCTTAGTTACCACAGCAACTACACGTGACTGCACCCTGGCGAGTGACGACCAAGATGCTGCTCCACGTACGCATGTGGTAGTATTTCCCAGCATGACGATAAAAACAAGAACCCAAAAGTGTCATCGGATAAACCTTCGGATTATAATTAGAATGTCAAGGTCATTTATTCCTTTGTAATTACAACGGTCTTCAGGTACATTCTAGGGCTCGCACGCCACCTCAGCTGGAGGCAGTTGGACTGCTCTTGCCCGGTGCCAGTCGGAGGCACCGGCAGGTAGATATAGATATGCAATGAACCCCCATAGACTAGGGTGGAATTTGCGCCCACCGTGGGTTTGTTCCGACTCTGCGTTAGATCGATGGGCTCAACTTGATTGCCCGTATGGATGATACCTAGCTCAGCTTAGTACTTGACTAATTTAGTGTTGTCAGCTACCAGCTCGCGGTCGTACAGTAACCCTGGAAAACTTTTCCAAAGTTCGGAGAGGTTTAAAACTGTTCATTCAAACCTAAGGTTATTCCAAGTCGAGCGGGCTATCTTTAGTGAATAGTGACCAGCGTCCACGGTGACTATAGGCGCTGTAGCTACCACACGGCTTTTACTAGGTGCTAGTTGTAGCTACTAAGCTAGTACCTACCATCCCATTACTGCCCAGAGGGTGCAGACTACCTAGGACTAGCTCCGAATAACGTCGTAATTGCCTTAAATATTGGGCGCAATAGATGGAGGATATTATCTGAGGAGGGCTGAGATGCGATCCTCCTGACCAGATCACATGCCCAGTTTCAACTTATGCCACGACACCTATTTCAAGCCACTTGGAGAAAAACCCGGAACTGCCCGAATAGGTAATTTGCTGAGAATCGGCTGTATAAGCTCGAATGATCTGCCACCGGCTGTTGCGACAGACTCTGCTGATCATGTACAGTAGACGATGTGCGCTTATCATTCAATGGTATTTCGAAGATTGAGTATACTCAGGATCATTAGAGCGTTTAGGACGCGATGGCCCAACAGGCTCTATGATTGGCTAGTATTTCAGCTTCATTTCTCAGAATTGTGACCTACTTCATCCAAAATGCTCTTCAATCTCTGGATCTAACATTCGTCCAGAAAAAACATCGAGGTTAATGGCGATGGTTCCCACACCTTGTTGCACCAGATATAGCAGCTCTGCGATAGGTTCTAGGGGTGAACTGCTGACTCGATCACGTGGTTCATTGCATTGGGACATACCAGGTCAAGACATTGCTAGTAACTTCTAGGATTATGGCCTGTTCTTAGATAGGCTCATTCTTGGAGCTGAGCCTTCAAAAAGACCACTTGTGTGCTTTCTCAAGCCAGTCAATCTCTACAGTCAGTAGAAGAACGCGCCACAAAGAATAGACAAAATGGTGATAGTCGAGACAATTAATTAGCCGGGTATGGTCACATGAACATTGCGAGTGGGCACTGAGCACAAGAAAGCGGGGAACGGTGCTCTGAAGACACTCAATCGGCTTGCCCAAAGCGGGCATCCGCAGCTTTGAATCCGCCACTAGCACCCCCCCTCCTCCCCCCAACCTGGGGTTTTCCCCACAAACGATCATAGATCTGCTGTGTCCACAACTCTATGTTTCTCATGCATGGAAGCAATCCTTGCGGTATGGACGACTCCTTGTCGCTGACGCTTTTCACAAGTCATGTAGACATCATCAGTGCAAGTGAGCTTGCGGTTAACCCAGTCTCAAGGCAGGGCAGTCGACATGGTACCTCGATCAGTGTTGGATGTGACAAGCTGCCATCCCGCGAGTTCGATAGATTTGGTTGACGGCATCGATCCGCAAATAGAACTCCCGTTGTTGCTGCATTCGAAAGGTGGCCAAGCCACTACGGCAATTCTACTGGCGGGCCTAGATCCCCCAGGCTTGCAGGGTCCCACGCAGAGGCTCCCTTCTAGACCAACTGCCCAGTTGGAGCATGCTCACGAGGCCATCTCTGCTGGGCAATGCAGTATAGTACAGTTGCTTCGAAAAATATACCCGCTCTCCCCACTCCAGTCGTACCCTCATTCTCCCTTTTTGCAATGTCCCATGTCCCACTGGGGAGATGACCATGGCTTCGGGGATGCCGCACGGGAATCCGAACCAAGAGAACTCTCTCTGTCCAAGCCTATATAAGGAGACGAGGTACTACCCCGGGCATTCAAACCGAGTCAAACTTTTCAACGACAAGGTCATCAAGAGCTTCGCACCTTGCAACAAAATCGCTTGAGTCACCCATTTGTAGTATCCAAATACCTCCAAAAATTGCCAACATGCCTCCCGCCGCCAACGTGACCGAAGCACCGTCAGCTCCGAATTCCTCGGAGCCTGTCTTGCTGGGCCAAAGAGCTCGCATGCCCGAGTTCAGTCTTGCTGGCAAAGTGGTTTGCGTCTCTGGTGCTGGTCGAGGACTCGGCCTGACTCAGGCAGAGGCTCTATTGGAGGCTGGAGCCAAGGTCTATGCCCTTGACCGTCTCGAGGAACCGGTAAGGCATCTGTGTGACTCAAAACAAGACCCCCCCCCCCCCCCCCCAATGAAGTTGAGGTACTGAGTGCTGACACTATGTAACCCCTCTTCATAGGCAGCGGAATTTGCCCAAATCCAAAAACGAGCGAAAGAGCTCGGGACAGAGTTACACTACCGTCGTATCGATGTGCGCGACACAGATTTGCTGAACAGCACCATTGAGGCCATCGGTGACACCGAGGGCCGTCTCGACGGCCTTATCGCAGCTGCGGGAATCCAGCAAGAGACCCCGGCCTTGGAGTACTCCTCCAAAGACTGCAATACCATGTTGGAAGTCAATGTCACGGGTGTCTTCATGACTTCTCAAGCCGTTGCTAAACAGATGGTTCGGTTCGGCAACGGAGGCAGTATTGCCATGATTGCTAGCATGAGTGGGACAATCGCAAACCGGGTAAGTGTTTTTCCTGTTCTTATACATCACTCCTCAAGGTCACATCTGTAGCACTGAGCTTCAGTCCCGCTGCGTTTACTTTCGTTTGAGTAAAGAATACCACTAACATGTTTCTCTTGAACAGGGGTTGATCTGTCCTGCCTATAACGCCAGCAAAGCCGCCGTTATTCAGCTCGCTCGCAACTTGGCTGCCGAATGGGGCCAATACAATATCCGCGTCAACACCATCTCGCCGGGTTACATCGTGACTCAGATGGTCGAGAATCTTTTCCAGCAGTTCCCGGAGCGTCGAGAGCAGTGGCCCAAAGAGAACATGCTAGGTCGACTGTCACGTCCCGAAGAGTATCGTGGCGCTGCTATCTTTCTGCTGAGTGATGCTAGCAGCTTCATGACCGGAAGTGATCTTCGCATGGATGGTGGTCATGCCGCATGGTAGATCGCAGAGGAAGGTTGACGGTACTGACTGAACTGTTTATACTGAAAGTCAGCGTCATGGATCAGGGGCCGATTTCTTGTTATGCATGGCGTTAAGCGACGAAAATTTTTGTTCAATTAGCTTCTAACCACCTCACTGGAGGTGAAAACATCGATGAAATGGAATGATCCTTGAACCGAGTGTGGTCATCAAATTCAGAGTCACAGGTTGTTCGAGGGCTCCCGAATTTTTCAAATATGCCAAACTTTCTTGAGTTGTTCGCGATACACCTCCATCCGTTGCAACAGAAAGAATTGCTCGGGGATAGAGAGTCTCCGTGCCACTGAAAGTTCTAAGTATCAGCAACAGGTAAATGCCACTAGGGGCACAAAGGAATTCGAATGCGAGAAAATATTGTGTCAACCCTTCTCGCCTATTCTTGTTGTCACCGATGATCCATGATTAAATTAGTTGAATCGAATACCTGTGAAACCCGTCGCGAACGTGGCTTTCGAGATCCTGAATTTGGGTCCTTTTGCTACCATTTGACTTTATGGCGACGCTCTGCGTCAACGTACCTTGTACGTAAGTTCAAAGCAATGTAACCAAGGCCACCATGGCCAACAGTTGCGAACATGTGCTTGGACAGACAACAATACCTGACATCCCGCCCACCAGGCGAACCCATCGACTTGTTCTCCGCATGAAGAATTCAAAGTTTGACGAGGCGTCCAGAGTTGACAGCAAGAAACTGTCCTGATTGGGATCAAAGCACGTTGGAAACAGGCACAAGATCCCGGCTCACACCTGGAGTTATGGATCTCCACTCGTCTTCCCCGCGTTTTTGACAGTGTCTATCCGAAAAGCCGCATGTGACTTGCCAATGAGACTTCAGTTGTCATGGGTGGAGTCAAAGCGACAAGTTTCTTGCCCACCATCTCCAGGTTTGAGCGGACTCAGATGGGATCGGAGGGAGACCAGGGTCCGGCAATACACGTGGTGCTGTGGGTCGAGGGCATACTTGTTCGGTACTGGGTTTCCGTCAAGATCCCTCGTGGTTCATGAAATGCTATTTTCTTCCAAGTACATTGACGTGAGTTTCAAAAATATCTAGAAAAGCCAACTGGACCGAGGAGCTGCACATGGCATAGTACTTCATTCCTCTCTCGGCTCGTGATTTAAGTTTCACACTCAAACCTGGCGCGGCTAGGTGCGGCGAAACGCCTATCCGGCTGGAAAAAGAAAGTACAATTCCAACAGGCTTTCTCTCAAATCCAACGTGGTGAATCACGAAGACTCGAGGCCCCTGTCCTCGCAGCCTCCAGTTTGAGAACTGAACGAAAACAGCGTGATAGCGCGGCTGAAAAATCCTGCTTAGAACCATAGTGAGGTTATCTTGATCGACTTTGGTACGATCCGTATCGACGAGGACCGGGCTCAGGCAGAGCTAGCAAGATAGCAAGATGCTGATTTAGAACGACAGGGCCACACGCGCTGATTCAATGCTTGGCTGTGTCTACTTTGCCAAACCCTTCGACCCTGTCGAGGAAGAGTGGTGCCATTTCATTATCATGTACAGAGGTTCAAGTGGTTGAGGGCGGATAATTTTCATGAACGGGGCGGCCAGGTGGATGACATCAGTCTTCCACGTGGGAGATTCTCTCCCGAGATAACGTGCTCCTAGGCAGTGGGCAGTTTTTTCCTCGTATTCTTGGTTTCGGGTCTAAAGTGGAGGAGGCTCGTTGCGCGGTCGAGATGCAGCTGCGGTAGGACCGGGCAAAGGTCGTGCACGTCTGATAGATGGATCCTTCCCGATTCGTGCGAGATAGGCCGTGGCTGATAAGACTTTCCGAATGGGTACGGATCCTACGTTCTGAATGCTTGATTTTGCTTGATTCAGGATTTCCGCTCCGCAGTGTCTTCCTCTCTGATTCTACGTCGGAGAAATTATCTGCAATCTACTCGCTATCCATTCAATCACGGTATCTCTGTAGAAAAAGGACTCGGTGGCAAGTGATAGCTGAACCATCGGGAGGGGATTTTTCAGTCTACTCGATGTTTGAGGTCTCTGACCTCTGCTATCTCGATCGCCACTGACTTTGACAACGCGACGACCGTCTCTAAGCATCTTCTCTATCTGTGGTGTTTCACCAGCAATGCGCAGTCCCCCTCAAGCGACCGACTCCCCATAATTCTAGCACCGCATAATCCACTGAATATGGACCTGCGGTCACGCGAGATCCAGCTCAGGGCCTATCAACTCATTTCTCTGACTAACGAGATCCCTCCCCTCTGGGGGAGGGGGGGGCTCGAGGGACCAGTAGATCCTGGTTAGGGCGCCCCATCTTCGTGGTGAGCGCATGAGGTTCCGGAATCGGGCGAGCCTCATCGGAAATAATCAATTGCATAAGCTACAACTGGTGAGCAAATTGTAGTCCGAGAATCCCATTTTGGAAATTTAGGACGATGGTCGGATCCGTCAGATTGATGAGGAGGATCGGGTATTTCGACGAAGGGGGTGCTTTGGGAGCGGGCCTCCGCGTCTTGGCATCGAGAATGGCCGGAATCATGTGCAAAGGCCTAGATGGGGTGTGTTTCCGCCGCTGACTTGCGATCGGCTGAGCTCGTTTACTGCCGGGTGGCGGTAGGAGAGTTTGACTGAGAAAGTGTACACTGTAGTACTGTACAGTGTACAGTACTTGAGGTGCCGGAAGGGAAGTGACAGTCGCCACCACAAGTTCGGCAAATCGTCTAGGTGATTCTCGAAGGGGTTTTCAGATAAAGCGGGAGAATTGATGCAGAACATTCGAATCGGTTCATCTCACCCGAGGACAAGGGGAAAGCGTCGCCGCAAGCCTCAAAGTTTGTGGACAAGGAACCAAGCCCAAACCAGGCTAGTGGGAACAATGGTCTTGCACAATCTTCTACCTCAGGGTTCTGGACTCGGCTAACCCAATCATCAAGGTTTCTCATCGGACATTGGCTCAAGCCCCTGATCAGGAAGGTCAAACAAGCCCGAGTCGCCCTCGGCCCCTAGTCAAGACAACGGGCTTGAGTGGAAAAGCTACACCATGGCTTGGAACCATGGTAGTAGAGACCTTGGGCGGCCACGCGAGTTTTGACAGCCGGCAAGGATCTCAAGCCATGGAAAAGTTTCTTCGGTCAGATGTTGTGTTCGCGTGCGAGGGTCGTCCTTGTCGCATTTCCCTCCAAAGCGTAAACAGGGAAGAAGTGCCTGATGCGTGTTGCGCGGATCGATAACAAGCATCCAGGACCGGGTCTCAACCCACCTCAGGGCGATATCTGCGCGTGGGGGAGAGAGAGAGAGTTCGCGATTACATCTCGGCAGCTGCCGCTAAGAGCGCCCCGGTCAGCTTGTGCGCTAAGAGGGTCCAATCCGTTGGGTCGAGCAAATAACAAGCCACGCCAAGCCTCGAGTTAAGCTCCCTTTCCAAGGCTCAACGAGCCATTTGGTGTGGTTGGTGGTGGTCTTGGGTCTTGGCAGCCGGCCCCAGTCGGTGTATTCCGTCGGACGTCCAGCTGGTTCACTTTTCGCGGGTCTTGCTTGATCTCAACCTTTCTGGAACGCCCCAATCACTGTGCCTCTTCTCAGAGAAGCATGCATGGTTTGGTAGCGCCACATGCCACTGGAGATAGGCCTGAGCCGTCGAGGCCTCCTATTCCTGACTCGGGGATCAAGTACACCTGAGCGCGCCGTGGAATCAGGACAGTGTACTTGTGTAGTGTGTACTGTGTAGTAGTGTGTACATCTGGCAGGCCAAGGTTCAGAGACGGTGTGCAATTTTGATTGCGCATGGTCCGCTCAAGCTCTTTATCGCTGCATTTTAACCCCATCGTCAACTATTTTCCTTGTAGATACTGGACCATGGTGACCTGATCTCCTCCGACTACCTTTGATGGCACGCTTGAGGGCAGTCTTGAGGAACCTCGGGGGCTGGTTCCTTGTCATCCAACGTCGCGATCGCGACGTTTGTGGTGGTGGTGAACCATCATTGATCCCAAGTTGTACCGTAGAATCAGACCATACAATCTATCAGCGTACAGTGCCTCTTGGCGATCACGACTTGCAAGACGAAGCTCTCCGAGGATTTTCGCGCTCGGTCCTCTACTCGTCGTACAAAGCGTTACATGGCGCGGGACAGGTTGCATCCACCTGATGCCAAGCAAAAGGTCAAGGGCACTAGCGCCACCGTCTGGTGGTCCGTGAGAAGCCTAAAACGTGTTAAGGCCCACTCAATCACATGCTGATTCGTCGTGTGTTCGTCCTTATCTGCCAGCGACCACGGGGGTCTTGCCATTTTGGCTGGAACCCCCCCCATCCCCTGTGGTGGCGGATGGTGTGATAAGTCTGGGGTAGAGAGAAACCCACAGGAAAGTTCAGAGCACATGTTATCGACTACAGAGTACAGAGTACATGTAGTACAGGAGGACTGTCCCGCACACACATTTCCCTTTTGGGCCGGTCGATACCACCTTCAAATTTAAGCAATAATCAAGAATGGGGGGTTTCCCACACCCGAGTCCTGATTCGCCATCGGAATCTCGTGAATTTTCCTATATCTGAATTCTTCCACTTTGGTCTCGACCGGATTTCTCTTACTTTCTCTGATTTGTGATCGGCGCTCGATATGGCGAGTTCTGTACCATTGCGAACACGTAAATTGGCGTGAAAGACACCAGGAGGCCACTGTAGACTCGGCTGAACGCTCCGAACACGCCAGCGGATCCGAAACTGGCAGTACATCGGATGAACCATCGACAAGTATAAGAGTGTTCTGCCTCCTCCGCTATAACATTCGCCCTTCTTTTCTTCTTCTCTCCACGGTCCTTTCACTTTCCCATCAACGTCTCTTCCCCCCCCCCTCCGCGTGGTCCACTCCCCGTCTCCAGTGCTTTTTCAACAGGCTCTTTGGGATCATGGCGACCACTGCCTTGTCTCGCACAAACTCCTCGGATATCCACCAGTCGAACCCTCCCGTCAAGATGGCCGACGAGAAGGTGGCCGACCCCCATCGTCCTGAGAAGTCCCTCGTCTCGGACACATACCATCTCCAGATGGGTGACGAGGACCCCACCGAGGATGAGCTTTCAGGTCCCAGCGCATTGCGACGAGTGTCTGCCCCAATCCCCTGGGCTGTCTACACTGTGGCCTTTGTCGAACTGTGTGAACGTTTCTCCTACTACGGAACCCAAGTCTTGTGTAAGTCTTTTCTTCTCCATAAAACGATCTGGATGAAAATAAGAATAGAGCTCTAACAGCGGTGGCCTTCTTCTGTATCTAGACTCTAACTTTGTGAACCACTCCCTGCCCCAGATCAACGGCCCTCCCGGCTCCAACCATTACACCGGAGCTGGTGGTGGTAGCAGTCAGGGTGTCTCTGGTGCTCTCGGTCGTGGTGTCCAGACCGCCAACGGTATCAACACCTTCAACACCTTCTGGTGCTACATCATTCCTCTCTTCAGTGCCTACATGGCCGACGAGCACTGGGGCCGATACAAGACTATTTGCATCTCCATCGGCGTTGCCATTCTCGGACACATCATTCTCGTCCTCTCCGCCATTCCTCCTATCATCACCAATGACACCGCGTGCTTTGCCGTGTTCATTCTGGGTGTCATTATCATGGGTCTGGGTACTGGTGGTTTCAAGCCCAACATCTCTGCACTGGTTGTCGAGCAGATTCCCGTGGTGAACCTCAAGGTGCGCACCTTGCCTTCTGGTGAGCGTGTCGTCGTCGACCCTACCATCACTCAGAGCCGTATCTACCACTACTTCTACCTCTTCATCAACATCGGTGCTCTTATCGGTCAGATCGGTATGGCCTATGCCGAAAAGTACGTCGGTTTCTGGCTGGCGTATCTGCTGCCCACCATCATGTTCCTGACGACTCCATTCATCATGATCTGGGGTCGCAAGCGTTACCGCCAATCCCCTCCCCAGGGATCCGTCGTCTCCAAGGCTTGCCGTGTCTTCGCCTTTGCGCTCAAGGACCGCTGGCACTGGAACCCCATCAAGTTCTGGAAGCGCACCCATGATGGCACCCTCTGGGAGGCGGCCAAGCCCTCCAACATCGCTCCCGGCTCCCGCCCCGCCTGGATGACCTTTGACGACGCCTGGGTCGATGAGGTCCGCCGTGGTTTTGCTGCCTGCGCCGTCTTCGGCTACTACCCTCTGTACTGGCTCGCGTACAACCAATTGACCAACAACCTGACGGCCCAGGCCAGTACCATGACCCTCAACGGTGTGCCCAACGATGTCATCAACAACTTGGATCCTTTTGCGTTGATCATCTTCATTCCTATTTGCGACAGCTTCTTGTACCCCGGTCTGCGCAAGATGGGCATTCAATTCACTGCCATCAAGAAGATCACTGTGGGTTTCTTGCTTGCCGCTCTGGCCATGGTCTGGTCCGCCGTTATTCAGTACTACATCTACAGGGACTCCCCTTGCGGTTACAATGCCAACACCTGTGCCTCTGCCGACGGTGCTGTTATCCCGGCCCCTATCAACGTTTGGGCTCAGACCGGTGCCTACGTTCTCATTGCCTTGTCTGAGATCTTTGCCTCCATCACATCCCTCGAGTATGCCTACTCCAAGGCTCCTCGTAACATGCGTTCGCTGATTCAGGCTATCTCCCTGTTCACCAATGCCATTTCCGCCGCCATTGCGGAGGCCCTGAACCCTCTCTCCAGCGATCCTCTCCTTATCTGGAACTACGGCGTGTTCGCTGTCATTGCCGCTGTTGGTGGTATTCTCTTCATCCTGCAGTTCCGTGGACTGGACAAGGAAGAAGATGCTCTCAACAACCTGCCTGAGGGTCGCGTTGTGGCTGACGAGAAGCCCAACCCAGGTGCCCTGGTCGCCGCCGAGGTTGGCCCCGTCCGGGGTTGATCGGGGAACTCCAGGCATATTTAAAAAAATCTCGAGCCCATTGAACAAGTCAAGATGCTTGTTTCAACTATTTGCTTTTTAATACCTCTTTTTGTTCCCTGGTTGTTAATTGAGTCCCGGGGCGATATGCCAGAGTCCCACACAGAGGATCTCTCGACTCACGATATTCACGTCGACATCCCGATATTATGGGAATGCATTTAATGAATTGTTCACATATGAGCCGTGCGAATGAACACTTTTCACACAAACCTACAACTCTTTTGTAAAACATCGTATGTCACAGTCAAGTACAACAATTCTCTTAAAGAATCAGTAATGGATCGCGCGGTCTCATGATCCACGTCTCTGAAGAAGCACTTTTTGCACCACTGAACACTTGGAAGAGCCGTTTCGCTTAGCTTCTGTCCAGAGAGTTTGGCATCAAGGGAGACCGATGCGCTCTTTGTCAGGGAAATGCCGTCCACAAAGCGAAGAAATGCGAGCTTGCATGGTATGAACGTGCCGCGCGGCCGGGAGAACAGCCTGCACTCTGATATCTGAGCTTATCCGAGTCTATTGTTTCGTCGAAAATGCAGGATCAACTATTGCTCAAGAAATTTTTGCTAGTCTGCGACATTGTCGAGCTTTAAAGACTGCTGACCTACAGCTAGAATCTATCCTCGAGGTTTGTCGATCTCGCTGGCCCCTTTGATAGCATACCTTGAAGAAGGCGATTGAACCCCACACGTGACAGGTACATCACACCCAGAGACTTGGGAGCACTGGCCATCTTCGAATCTTGAAGAAGACGAAATTGCATGTGAGAATCCACGCGATGCGAAAAGCTCCCCCACTTTTACTCGATGACGGTCACTGAATATTCTGAAAGGACCGACACTGCGGATGACTTGGACGGACATGTCGTACAGTCACAGATATTTACTCCATGCCTCGGTGCTCTTGCTCGCAGAACAGTCGATCAAACTTGTTGAAGTGAAATTCATGTTCGTGAGCCTACTAAGCATGTCCGTGTCGGGGTATACACTGCAAATGTGGCCCCCTGGAACGGAAACCCCGGCGTCGATGGGATAGCTACTGTGCGATCCCCGCCAACGTTCTGTCTGGGCTTGAAGCCGTGAATGATTCTCACGGTCATGTCATGTTGACCCTGACATTTTGTTGTTGACTTACCTCGACCGAGCCCAGAAAAGCTCTTCCACACGCGACTCATGTCCTCGTGATCTGTCTTGAACGGGCACAGTTGCGCTGGGCTCTTCCTGAGACAACTTCACACCTGACAGGCTTATAATTGTTTTCGCTGTATGCCGCCACCGACGAGGTCATGGATCTGAATCAGTGTCCAATATCAGACCTGTGACGAGAGAAAAAGAAGACTCCACGTTGAGATCTTCAATTTAAGGAACGAAGATTATAGACATGCCATTGACTTTATGCACTAGTCACTGGAGTATCAGAACAGAAACCACAAAACAACATTCAATCTCATCATTTGGAATGATTCACAGCCATGGAAACGTCTCGCGGACATCATTTACGACAACTGAGCACGCTGGACCAAACCGAGGAATCTGGACTGCTTGCGCCCGTGCTCGTGCCCGTGTTATTGCCTCTGTTCGAGCACCAACTTAGAGATCGCGCACCGGGAGACTCTTATCATGGAAGCCTGTCAGGGTTGATAGTGCGTCGAGTTACTTCGTGTTTAAAGGACAACAGATGGATCCTCGTTCGAATCTCAAGTGGACAATTGCGCTCGATTTCGGCTATCGAGCCTTGGCTGGAGACATTTGTTGACTACAGCGAATCAGAATACACCACAAGAGATGGAATACGGTCGACCGGATTATATTGCCAAAAAGTCGTCAATTTCGCTGCCTGGTCGGAGATGCCAATGACGCAAGAGAAAGACTACAGATTCATCACGAGACTCTCGTCACATGATGGGGACAATCAGATCTATCCACGCATCTGCAGCCATCTCCTGGATTGTAGACAGACCGTCTCTTGTCGTTCGAAGCCGTCCCCTCGAGCGGTAACCTTGTCGGGTGTCCAGTTAATTTGCTACTCTACCATTTCTGTCAGGCATTCGAAGAATCTCCCCGTGAACACAGGCATCAAGAATGTTGCATGCTGTTAGTCACGCCAGAGAGTTTGGGCCGGGTGACGAAGGGTTGCTCCGAACACCCAGCACGCGAACAGAGTTGGTGAAAGATTTCCACAGGATCCGCTCGGTGGCTTACGGTGGCTTACTGGAAATCACCGAAGACTAGTTGTAGGCTTGGGCAGTTCAGCCCTGAGCCTAGTCATTTGATCGATGATGACGGCGCATGACGGTGCATGGCACGAGCGGAGCTGGAGGACACACAATTTTGAGGCAACCAGACTTTAAAAGGAAAAAAAGGAAAGAGAAGTCGCCGGTACTACTGGTTCGTCAATCCTTGCACAAAACCAGGAACCAAGAGTTTGTAAGTCGACACTCGAAATCAAGAATCTTGCTGACATGACCCGACTGATCGTACACTACTTTCTGATCCACTCAGCGATGCAATCAACTCGTGCGAAATGATCTGATATGGTCGGCAGTCGGCACAGCCGGAAGTGTTCTCAGCAACGAGAGATTGATTGATTTCTTCTAAAGCAGGTACCACAGGATATCATTAGATCGAGCAAGGTTCTCCAACGAGTCCAAGCGTCGCGCTCTTAAACAAGCGCATAATTTCTACATCCTTGTATTTGCTATGCAGTATGTACTATGCAGTATGTACTATGCACTAAATGTGTAGAGCAAAGGCTGTAGTGGTATATACTCACTATACAGTATACACTAGACACTATGAAATTCTAGTGTATAGTGTATAGTGTATAGTGTATGCCCTACCATATTCGAATGAAGCAGCCTGAAATTCGCCTTCCAAGACTAGGTACATACATACCTCCCTACTTACGGGAAAAAACGCAGGAGCCTGGCGGATCGGACCGGATCTCACCGAGGACTCCGGGAATCCCAAGTGGAAAAGGGACCAATGCTTCGATCGCAAAGATCGGCATTCGGTCGTATTGGGCAGACACTCGAATGTTTATCACACTTTCTCCCTGACTCTGTGGGTAATGAGCAGGGCGTCGAGCGGAGGTGTGCAGATGGTCATTGTGGTGGATATCATGTCTGGGCCACAGACTATGAAGGGTGTCAGGGGCACCCTACCTCGTAACATGACACCTGCCTCTATCGCTTCCCAATTAGGCAAGGTCTCGTGACTTGCCATCCTCATCTTGTATCTCCCAACCGTAGCTCTATTCAGAATGAACCATGTTTCATCCTTCCAACGCTTTTCCGTAGCAAAGGGTCCATGATCATGATGGCTAAAAGACGAGATCGAGGGGTCGAGTCGCGATCGGACGTTGTTACAAGCTTCAGAGGTAGAGATTGTCCAAGATAACCTTACATTATTCATGATCAGAGTGAACTGCATTCGCTGCGTTATCGAAAGATACCTACATCTTATTGTGGTACTGCCTAGTCCTACTACTAGTAGGATATCTCATATACGAATACGCGACAAGGTCTCTCCATTGGTATGTAGAATGGTCGGTTCCAGTGGAGATGGTGGCGCAGTCTGACTACAGTCAAAGGCCAGCCCAGCGAGCTATCATGCTTTCAGCCCTGCAGCTGAAGGAGAATCGGTCACAAGAGTCAAATATGTACATGGATGATAAATGAACCGGTGTAGTATCACAATCAAAAAAAATAAAAAATCAGCTCGAGTCGCGCTATCTTACAGAAGGAAGAAATCAATCTCAGGTATTTTACAGCCTGAGGTACCGGACTACCGGTGCTGCCTGTTAGGCTGTCACATTTGAAAGACAACAAGCGGGCGGAAATTAGCAGTTTCATTGACATCACCACCTCCGCCGCCGCCAAGGACTTGGAGGCTGGGGTTGCTTACAGCCCCCGAGTCTCACTGCCACACAAGTTGGATAGATCATATTCGTATTGTAACTTGTAGAGTACACCCCATAGCAATGTTTCTGTCTGGAAAGCTCAAGAATCTCCTACGTATATGTACAGAAAAAGGGAAGGACTAGAATCAGATGATTAAACAACACATGTGAGCTAGGCGACAGGTGACAGCCGCCAGCAAGTGATCAACAACACTAGCATGCGTCCTTGCGGATCTGTTTTTATCTCTCTCACCTCACCTTTCCACATCTGGTCGGTTGGAGCGCACCCACCTCTGCTGTCCATGGACCACTCTCCTGCGTCTCCATACTTTAATCATCTCGTTGTCTAGACTCTCAGCTTCCGGTCTGTCCGCCCTGCATATAATCCACAATCACCATAATCTCTACCTTCTTTTACGAAAGCAGCCCGACCCCATCAGCGCGGCTTTCTCCTTCCTCCTCCACCCTCACTTTCCTGCGATCATCTCACTCTTCTATCTCGACGCTGGCTGGAACATCCATACTAGTGACTTGACAGAATGAAGGTCAACGGCTGGCTCGTCAATGTGGTTCTGGCCTTCCGAGGTATGTCATACTGTCTCCTTCCCTTACCATGACGACCGCTGGGTCACGTCATTGGAGTGTGGTGATATCAGATCATTATTGTTATGATCCCCTCACTCCTGGCGGCTCGGACACTCAGACCCCTTGCACCATTCCCGCTATTCTGCAAGGTCCCCGCTGTGGCACTCTCCTCACCAATTTCCCCATACTCTTCTTTCAACATCATGATATACTGACGGGCCTTGACCACACAGGTGCCTTGGCCGCGCCTAGCTTCCTCACCACGGAAGAAACCGCGGTCGCTTTGATTTCTCGTGCCTTGCCCAACGCGCCTGATGGATATGCCCCCAAGAACGTAAGCTGCCCAGCAGTGCGCCCTACGGTGCGTACTGCGGAGACGCTTTCTTCCAATGAGACGTCCTGGTTGCAGACCCGTCGCAAGAAGACCCTGTCGGCAATGAAGGACTTCTTTGGTCACGTCAAAGTCGGTGATCTTGACGTGGTTGGCTACTTGGATAAGCATGCCAACAACGTGTCCAGTCTGCCCAACGTGGGTATCGCGGTGTCGGGAGGTGGTTACCGCGCCTTGATGAACGGCGCGGGTGCTATCAAGGCTTTCGACAGCCGAACCGACAATGCCTCCACCAGTGGTCACCTGGGTGGTCTGTTGCAGTCTGCCACCTATGTTGCTGGTCTGAGCGGTGGAAGTTGGTTGCTGGGTTCAATCTATATAAACAACTTCACCACCGTCTCCTCGCTGCAGACTACTGAGCCGGGATCGGTTTGGCAGTTTGGAAACTCGATCCTCAAGGGCCCAGACACTGGAGGGATCCAGCTTCTCGATTCTGCCAGCTACTACAAGGATCTCGCGGATGCTGTGCAGAGCAAGGTCGATGCCCAGTACAACACTTCTCTCACCGACGTCTGGTAGGTTCAGAAGCCCTTTGATTTCAAAATCGACTGGAAGAGCAGCTTCTTCTATCAGCGGATCGCCTTGATGCTAACTCCAAGATAATAGGGGCCGCGCGCTGTCATACCAGATGTTCAACGCCAGCAACGGAGGCATTGATTACACTTGGTCGTCAATTGCTCACACCAAGGAGTTCATCGATGGTGATTATCCCATGCCGCTCGTCGTCGCGGACGGTCGTAAACCCGGCCAAAAGGTGATTGGCAGCAACTCCACTGTCTTTGAATTCAACCCATGGGAATTCGGAACCTGGGACCCTAGCATCTTTGGCTTTGCGCCCCTGGAGTACCTCGGTTCGTCATTTGAAGGGGGTTCCCTTCCCAGCAACGTCTCATGTGTCCGTGGCTTCGACAATGCCGGTTTCATCATTGGTACCTCGTCGAGTTTGTTTAACCAGTTCATCCTTCAACTGAACACGACCTCGCTTCCCAACGTTTTGAAGGAGGTCTTCGCCAAGATCCTTGGGCACTTGGAACAGGCCGACGATGACATTGCCATCTACGACCCCAACCCCTTCTACCAATATCACAAGGAGACCTCTCCTTACGCCTTGGAGCCTGTTCTTGATGTGGTCGATGGTGGTGAGGATGGCCAGAACATCCCCTTACACCCTCTGATTCAACCCAATCGCCATGTCGATGTGATCTTTGCCGTGGACTCTTCCGCCGACACCAACAACTGGCCCAACGGCACTTCACTGGTCGCTACTTACGAGCGTAGCTTGAACACCACCGGTATTGGCAACGGCACTGCTTTCCCCGCAATCCCCGACCAGAACACTTTTGTCAACCTGGGTCTCAACACTCGTCCTACCTTTTTCGGTTGCAATAGCTCCAACACTACCGGCCACACCCCACTGATCGTCTACATCCCTAACGCCCCCTACTCGGCCTTGTCCAACGTGAGCACCTTCGACCTGTCATATAACGACACCCAGCGTGACGAGATCATTCTAAACGGCTATGAAGTTGCCACCATGGCCAACAGCACCCGCGACATGAACTGGACTGCCTGTGTCGGCTGTGCCATCCTCTCCCGTTCCTTTGAGCGAACCAACACCGCGCTCCCTAGCATCTGCACCCAGTGTTTCTCAAACTACTGCTGGAACGGCACCACCAACTCCACCGAGCCAAACAGCTACTACCCTGACAGCTTCATGAACGTGAAGATCGCCGATAACGCCGGTGCCACTTTGCTCATGCCTGCCGTTTTGCCAGTTGTGATGGCCGTAAGCGTCATATTCTTTGGCTTGATCTAGTGTGAATATTTTTTTTCCAACGCAAAGGTGACAGTTGGAGCAAGAAGATGGAGCATTTTTAAAATGGACTTAGCATAGTTTCGGGTTGTACTTTTTTCTCCCCATCAGTGTCTTTTGTCAAGGCGTACCTGCCACCACTCTCTCATTATGCTTTTTCGAGATGATTATGGCCTGCTGTTTGTTCGTGGATGTGTTTGGGAAATTTCTTGGGATCTTTCAAAAACAACACAGGGATCTAATTCTTGCAATTTTTGAATGATTTACAACACTTCGAGGTTTCATCATGATTCTATTTCCTCAATGACTTTTCGTACAGATTGAACTCGCTGTAGCCAGTCGTATCGGCAGATTGATAGATGTCTTGAGCAGAATGAATCCATTCCTTGTTACTTTGCAAAGGGCTGGAAGCTCAATAACGTGTGGGACATGCAGCATGGAAAATTGAAGTCTTCAAAGTCCTGGTAGTCGAGTCTATTCCACGTCCAAATTCACCGTATTGCTAGATCTATCGCGACGACGACTCCCGCCAAAGCTAAATGCTTGGAAAGCAAAACATTGAAAAATCACCCAGAATAGGAGCTGGGCCAGAACAGAAATGCAAAAAGAACCTTTGAAGGAACATGGTCAGGGAATGCCTGGAGATGGGCATTGTCAATGGCCCAATATGCAGCGTCATATCTTCATAAAATAATACATAGTGTTGAGAAGAAAAGAAGCCAAGATGAAAGGCAGTGCTTGTATTGGAGAATGGGGGACGGAATGAGAGCCCGGCTAGAAAGAGGGAGCCAGCGATAGAAAAACGCACGCAGCGGAGAACTGATCAAGGCGGCACAGCTCGTGCCAGCACACGGATGTTATCCACGAAGCCCTTGACAAGGTCCTCGTACTGATTTGAGGGATCACCTGCCATGGCTAAGTTCCCTTGGCGTCGAATCTCTGCGGCAGAAACCTCTACCTCGAGCTCGTGCTCAAAGTCGTTCTTGGTAGGCGCCTGATGGGTGAGGGTCATATCAGTATCATGATTGATGAAAAAAAAATTGGTAGCAGAATTGTATGCAATCAACTCACCTCTGCCGTTGCTACTTGAGTGAGATCAATCTGATAAGCCAAGTGCTTGTAGCTCATCCGGTCCTTATTGCGCTCTCCGCGACCTCCCTTGGACGTGTCAACCATAGTAAGATGGCTAACGTCCCCGTCGTACTCCATCTCCAGATTGACAGAGACACGCCAATCCACCGACGTCCGAGGACTGTAAACGTCAATGTCCGCGACGCGACATTTAACGATCTTGGCGATAATCTCGCCCGTCTTGACATCAGTCGTCACCCGCACCTTAGGTTTGTGTCGAGGGTTCAGGTTCTGTCGGATGACGGGTGGGAGTTCTTGAGGTGAGATCTCGTAAAAGGTGTCACGCTCCTTCTTGTGAGTATAGGAGATCGGAATGCGTGATTGAGTGTTGGCTATGGATGCTTTGACTTGTTCGTTCAGGAAATTGTTCATGGCTCGGTGTTGCTCCTGTGGGCGGGAAAAACACGTCCTAGTTAGCCCGCCTGTTGGTGATTGGAAATAGTTCCAGATTGTGCTTCGGTGTGTGGGCATGTTTACTTACCACTGTCATATTGCTCTCAAATGCAGTGCGCACTCTGGAGTCTCGATTGATGACACTCTCAGTGAGAACTGGCAGAACAAGCCGCTCACGGCGGTCTTGGTCCACGACGTGACCAAGCTTGGCTTCAATTTCAACGATCGTCCCAGCGCCAGCCGCAGCCGACCCGGTCGCGTCCACGGCCACGTCAGTTCGCATGACCACATGCTGAAACAAAAAATCGCAGAGCTGCTTTGTAAGCTCCTCGTAGGGAATGAAGCCGGTAATGGACGGTTCCCAAGGTCCCAGCGAGCCCGTGTGCTGTGGACGCGGTGTGCTGGTAGTACCAGCGGTCGGCATCGAAGGGGACGCAGCTGTTGGGCCATTTCCGACCGGCAGAGGTGCCACCGGCGCAGGAGCTCGAGCACTGCGAGCCACCGAAGCAGCTGCCTGGACGGCGGGGGTCACACCTGCTGCCACCAGTTGTTTTCTCGATTGCCAAGGATCTCGGTCTGAGCCTCGAACGTGCTTGGGAATTGGGGGCTGTGGATGAGGAATCACGGGACAGCGGCCCTTGGTTCGCACAGATCTCTGAGCAAAGATTGGAGGCTCATTGTACCGTCTTCTTTTAGCCTTCGGTGGCTGGTGGTCGGCCCCCGGTCCATTGAGTCGTTGTCAATCTCCATTTTCAGGGCTTGTGAGTTGCTTCGAGATTCGGAGGGAGATCTGGCAAAACGAGGTTGCATGGTGGACATCGGCGAGCGTTGAGCATTAGATGTTAAGCCAGACGAAGCTAGCGCAGTGGGACTTTCAGTGTATGTGGGATCAGCAAGGGGACGGGAAGCAGTGCCACCTGCAGCGTCGAGCGCGGTCGCTGTGCTATTCTGGCGCGAGGTAGCTCTGGAGCTTGAAGATTCTGGGGACTCGTGCTTATACCCGCCGGTGAATGGATGTGATGCGGATTCAGAATGGCGGGAGGACGGGGAGGCTCTGTGTGACGTCGGTGGTGATTGGGTATGCAACGAGCTCCGTCGTTGGGCTTCCGGCACGGTACGGGGGCTCGGTGGATTGTTTCGTGGAGAGACACGACCCGACGAGAGAGGTCGCGCCGAATGAGTGGATTGACTAGAGGTGATGATGGGTGGAGGACCCAGCGGTGTGCCGGAGATGGAGCGATGCGTGGATGGAGAAAATTGTTGTTGGGGGAAGGGCGGCTGGGAGGCGGACAGCGGACTTCCGCGAGGAGGCACGGATTCGCCCGCACCAGGCGGGTTGGTCATCACTGACTGAAGCGAATTGGACCGTTGCTGCGCGAAATAGGATGATTGATCCACCTGCTGCAGTCCTGCACTCATCGGCTGCTGGGGTGTGTATGGGGATGCCCCGGGGCCGACGGACCCGTGAGAGTGAGCGTTATTGTAGGCCGAGGAGCTGTATGAGTCTCGCGGACCGGAACTGTACGGTGTCGAGGTTGGCGGCGAACTGAGACTTGGATTCGACTGGACTGCAGTGTTCAGAGGTGGCGGTGCTGGTGGATATTGTTGATATTGCGCCTGAGTCGGCTCGAAGGATGAATGTCGGGTTGGCGTTACCTGTTGGATGGCTTGCAAGGACTGTGATGAGCGGCGACGGGGATAATCGGTCTGCTGCTGCTGCTGCTGTTGATGAGCAAGGTCTGATGATACCGTGGACGAGACACTAGCTTGCGACGCCTTGGAGGCGGCGCCGCCCTCATTGTTCATGATTGTGCGCAAATCCATTGCGACAGCTAGTTGACGACTTTCTTTTTTTTTCTTGAATCCGGAATCGACTGCACTTTCTCTCCCCTCGGGATGCGACGACCGTATCCTCCCGGCGCAAGCAGCTAGACAGTCACCGAGAGGTGCGAGGCGACTAGCGATGGACTGTTGTCGCGCATGCGTAATTCACGAGGGGGGTGGAGCAATGGAGGGTCGGCGGACGGACAAAGGAAGAAGGGAAAGGTGCTCGGGATGGGCGCAAACGAGCGTTTTTGGAGGAGGGGAGTGGGAAGGGATTGTCGCCGGTTCGGGGAAGGGGCAATAGGTGAGCGAACAAAAAGGCCACGATTGACGGAACGGCTACACTAGACTGGAGGCGCAAGGCTGGGCCGGGGAAGGTTGAAGGAGGAGTGTGACTGGAATGCCTCGTCGGATCTGATAATTTTTAGGGGGGGGGGGGGGGTTCGAAGGAATGATGGAGAGAGTTGAGCGACCGACTCCTACTGACTTGGGACTCATCTAAAGTCGAGAGCATCCATGCCCAGGAATTCCGTGAGAAGCCTATCAGATCCGCCTGGAAAAGGTACCGCACTCGGTACTTGCAAGTTACGTAGTGCTGGAAGCTCCAGACAGCTTCTGCTTGAGGCTCATCACATCAACAGACTCCGCGCCTCGGACTCGAAGCATGTCCACGACAGCTCCAGAGGTAGCTGTGATGTATTCGTCTACTTGTACATACATAGGTACCTACAGTAGTAACAGTACTAGTATGACGATGGACATGGACCCTTCTGCAAGATGACAACAGCTCCTTATCTTCCTACTTGATCTCGTCTGCAACTATGAGATCTCTGACTGTGAGGAATATCAATCTGACTTGTCTGAGTCTCCCACAATTTCATCCCAATCCTGGATTAATGAGAAACTGAACTTGATCTTGAAAGACGCGTGGCACAGAGAGACAGTCGACCCTCTCGTCGAGGTAACCTATGAATCCGCCTTTATTCTGAGGCAGCCGGCAAAAGAAAACGCCTGTGGGGAAAAGCTACCCAGGTCACGTGAGCTGAGGCTGTGCGTCACGACTGGACTCACTCACGTGATATTACGGGCAGAGCGATTGGCGACACTCCACTACTCCAGTAGTACTACTGTACTGTACTTTACGACTTGGTACTTACCTACACTTACAGTGTTACTCAATCCTACTACGTATGTACACTCATGCTATACAGTATTTAGTGGCCACTGGCTGCTACTGAGTAGCAGGTGATTGATGAATCTCTAGAGTGGCTCATTACATGCACCCAATCAATGCAGTCTGAATCGGACACCTGTGCTTCAAGCTTGGTAGAAAGTCTCCAACTATAAATCACTAATCAGCTAACTATTCGAGGGCTACATAAACAAAGACCTCATACAAGGCCGGCTGTTGAGCGGGTTCATTCGACTCGGCTGATCGTCTGAAATGCTGGGTTTAGCTTCAGTCTATCAAAGAGTACATGTCAGGAGATCTAGTCGCCCGAGTGAGATCCAACATAAGTGGCAAGTTAACCGAACAACATTGGATTTGACAGAACACTCAACCACTATCCCCTCGTATAATGTTATGCTAGTTCGGAGATCTATCGTCGCCGTGGTTCCATCCGGTCGACTGCACATAGCTCAGTAAGGACTTACAGTCGGTCGTTGATCGACTGAAGCCTACTTAAATACCTTGTGCTGCAACATGGCATGGTCCGGCTAAACTGCCGTCAGTTTTGTCACAGCTTCGGTGGAGTTTCTCCGCTGCACTCGCAAATGAAGGGCCGCACGGGTCCGGAATACAACCGCTGCCCCTGATGCCACGTCCCTGGCGACTCACCTGCCTTCCTTCAATTCTCGTCATTGACGACGACTGCGATCGATGGCCCATTGATTCAGCACTTGAACCACCACACGCTTTCAGTGCAATTACCCAAGTCCGAAACAAAAAAAAACGAACAGTCTCCTGTGACTGCATCGGATGTCCATCTCGATTCCCCAGTGACACTGTGTCGATCCCCACCAAACGGACCGGATTCCGCTTTCGAGCCTTACCACATCATCGTCATCATCTCCTCCAGCCTCGTTACTGGTTCACGGGTTAATTGCCAGAATCGACAACTCTTCCAGTCGGTTCATTAGTGAAAGGCACCGCTTCTCACTTGAAGCGCTCAGTGGAGAGACTTTAATGGGCATTGGCTTTCTCGACGCCGTTTATCAATGTGCGACTTCAATTGAACCGCCGCCACGTGTTCGGCTGCGTCGCACAGTGCCTCTTGAATGCCTTACACTAGTTCACCATCATGGCACCACTGGCACAGCACACCTCCTCTCCGGCAGATTCTGATATCCCGCTCGCGGACCTGGAAATTGGGACTTCCGCGGTCGCCTACTCCAATGGCAACTCTCGCTGGAATGATTTCACCCAGACCCATCCGTCCAACCTCCTCTCAAACACCACCGGATGGAGGTGGAAGATGTCGCAAGAAGGTTGGTTGGCATATCTTGAAGATATGAGCCACCGGTTGACGATCGCCTCGACGCCATCCTTCCTGCAACCATATATGGGGGCCGCGGCAGCTCCGCCGGCCAAACTCCATGCGATCGCGGCGTTGGATGGACTGCGCGGCTGGGCATGTTTACTGGTCTTTAATTTCCATTTCCTCTTCACCTACACCTGGAAGGTGGCGGTGGGCTGGGGATTCGCAGGGTCTAATTTCGGCATCCACCAATTGCCCTTTTTTCACATGCTGATCTCGGGACACATCATGGTGGCCATCTTTTTCGTCATCTCTGGCTATGTGCTATCTTACAAGCCATTGAAGACCATCCGTCAACAATCTTATGCTGACGCGTTCTCCGTTTTGGCCTCTTCTACCTTTCGGCGGGCTTTGCGACTGTATATACCTTCGATTGTCGGCCTAATTTGCGTCTTCATCGCCGTCAGGCTGGGCCTGTACAACTACTCGTGGGGCGTCATCAGAGAAGGGCACACCATCCTCGGTACCAATGAGCAACATCCACCCGTCTTCGTTTCGGCAGTGAAGCAGTTCTGGGATTTCTACTACACCATCACTCATCTCATGAACCCCTTCGACTGGGGCTTGTTCTACAACAACTACAATCCCCATCTTTGGACGATTCCGGTAGAGTTTCGATGCTCGATCGTTCTGTTCATCACAATTTTGGCGACGTCTCGCCTCGTCTCAGCCGTTCGCATGCTCTTCGTTGCTAGCCTCATCTGGTTCTGCATGCGCTACGGTCGATGGGACATTGTTCTTTTCCTGTGTGGCATGATAATGGCGGAATTGGACCTGATCCACGGAACGTGGGACAACCCTCCGGGCCTGACTGCCAACCGCCCAGATAGAATGTTGCATGTTCGCCTCCTCTCGGGGAGTAAAGTGCTTGCCAGCGTATCTCGACAAAAGTTCTGGATCGGTGTCTTCATTCTAGGCCTCTATCTTGGATCAAGTCCCAATCTCGGATTCAAGTGGACCCCCGGCTACATGTGGCTTTGGAAAATCACTCCTTCCACATACCCAGAGCCGAACCGATTCCCCCAGACCATCGGCGCGACTTTGATCGTATTCAGCATTAATCGTTCCCCGGAAATCCAAAAACTCTTCACCAATCGTCTTTCTCAATATCTGGGCAGAATCTCTTACGCTTTTTATATTGTCCACGGGCCGATTCTGCACTCTCTTGGCTACTCCATCATGCCGACCATCTGGGCTTTGACGGGCAAAGACTCCGATTTGCAGTACTGTCTCGGGTTTTTCATCGGCTGGTGTATCTGTTTGCCTATTGCTATCTGGGCGGGCGATGTCTTCTGGCGGGCGGTCGATGTACCGAGTGTGAAATTTGCTCGCTGGCTCGAAGCACAAGTCATTGCAAAGCCTCTTCCGGTGACACGATCCTCGGTGGACTGAGGAAATGAGATTTGACCTGAAAAGCTGTTTTGACAAGCGTATGGAGGTCCATCTACAAAGGTGCCCTTCTGTCCATTAGGTGTCTGTGTTTTGTTCCCCCTTGTTTGAGAGATTCAGATTCCAAGGTGCGGGCTTGCTGGAAAAGCTCATGCATCTTTTACTTCCGTGAAATGACTGCAGTGACCTTGCTCGTTTCTTCCAATGTATCGAGTGTCGATAGTCGTAGCGAGCAACCGCTGGTTATGACCAAATGATTTCTCGACTGCCGTGAGCCTAGATACTTCTATACAAGGACCTTCTTCAGCCGTGACTCCACTGGATGTACACGGTTGATCTTCACACATCCATGAAATAGCGAATTCGAAAAGCTGCCTCCAGGGCAAGAATGTTATACGTGTCAGAAGCATGTGTACCAGTGCCATTGGGTGATCAGGGCTAGAAGCTGATGCAATCGCCGCTCCTCCTCCTCCTCCATCTATAGTCATGTTCATCCACCGACAAGTCATTCCCATCTGGAGAAATGAGATCCCGGGCCGCACCTGTTTGAAGAGAAATGAACCACAGTAGAATACGACACTGGAAACCAGCACTGGACAGAGACTTCAAGATAATGTATGCAATCGCTGCTTATTCAACATGAGGCGAAACACATGTCATCGTCGCTCGTGGGTCAAAACAAGGCTAATAATGTCCAGAATCAATGAAACGACCGCATGCACATGACAATAAGAGAGAAGACCAAGAGAGCCGATGCTCGGAGTATCATCACGTAAGCTCAAAACCGTGGATGTGCGGGGATATTTTTTTGTACCGTCCTTTCTCTGTGTCCCCATCCGACTAGTGCTTTTTGATCGTCGCTTCTTCTTTATTCTATAAGATTGGCGTCCATGATGGTTGGTGCACTCAAAGAGCGACACCCCAGATACCTCGTCCACCACAAACACCGAGCCATTCGCGTGGTTGGCCCGTATGGCTTGGTCCACCTTGAGGAGACCAGCTGATGTTGGAGACTTCGTAATCGCACTGCCAGGCAGCGGCAGGACCTCGCTCTGATGTTGTACCCTGTGCAGGAGTGGCAGAGGCTGGATTTGAAGACAAGGGCACGGCATTTTGCTGATTGATGAGATCCCAAATCAGGACGAGGCTGTCGTCGCCTCCCGACGCAAGGACGCCTCGTCGATTGGGGGACCATTCCACGCAGTTCAACGACGCGGAGTGGCCCTTGAGCTCGAGGAGAGCTTGTCCAGGTTGTCGGACATCAAGCACCCGGACAACGTTGGAGTCTGAAGAAAAAGTGGCAAGAAGGTGCGCGTCATGAGGGGATGCTGATAACAGGAAAATGTCAGCTATTGAGGGAAATTAAGGGCCATGAGGCTGGGTCGCGTCAGGGCTGTTCCTTACCGGCGATTCTCAGTAGAGGCGGTGGCCACATGCCCGATTGAGATGGATTGGATGGGCTAGATGACCCGGGGCTCATCACGGCTGGGGGGCGATGAGTTAGCTTTGTCGAGGATCACCAGCCACGTGATGGTGCAGGAGACTTACGCTTCTCGGTCTTTTCCGAAGGTTCATAAATGATAGTACTGTGTTCCAAGCTTCGCAGATCAAACATGCGCACGCTTCCATCCGCGCCGCAGCTGACAAAGACGTCCACACTATTTGCGCAAAACCGAACGTCATACACTTCCTTGTCATGTGCAATCAGCTGCGTCTTGGCTGTCAAAGTTGGAATGTCCCAGATGGTACAGGTGGTATCGATGCTGGATGTGATGATCAGACTCGGGGAAATGGTATTCCAGTCTAGTGAGGTAATTGGGGCCGTATGTTCGGGTGATTTCGAATTTGACAGGAGTGCCAGTGGAGACAGCTTCGCCGGTGGCGCATCCCGGGCATTTGTTGGACGGGTAATCGAATTGGAGCTCGGTACGGTCTGAGCGTTTGGAAGCGACCAGAGCCGCAGATGATCGCCCGATGTCGCCAACAGATCTGTGGACTGCTTCTGGGATGAGGGTGGTTCCCAAAGAATTCGTGTGACAGGGTAAGAATGGGTGGCCTCGGCGGTCTTGACGTATTCCAATTTGATCTCTCCCGCAGCAGCGTCTGGCGTGTCTGGATCGGGTTGCGTCCAATGTGTGTCGATGATTTGAATCTAAACCAGAGGGTCAGCGATGTGTCAAGATACGCGCTTGGGATGAAGAGACAGACATAGTTATGATTGTCCTCCAGATAGCTTCCCACGGCCAGCTTGCCCCCGAACGAGCTGGAGCTTCCTGAGATGGGCCACTTGCACCAATCGACGGCATAAATGGGCCATGGCGCCACGTAGTTGCTATTCGTCGGGACCTGGGTATCACCATTGTACGGCAGCGATCCGGGACTCATGAGCGAGTCCCCCAGCAGGTGATCCCCCGGTGGTCGAATGTCTGCCAGCCCCAATGGCGAGTATTTCGAGCCCTGCGGGGTCTGAGGCGGGAAGCCCGCGCCGGGGGAGGTTGGGTATTTTGCAGAATCCGCGGGTCCATGTTGTCGGTGCATGGGCGATTGATCGAAGCCCGCGGGACTGGAGCGTGAGTGGGCATGCGAATTGGCCATGCCTGTGCGATGACTGTGGCTGGTCTGCTGTGGTGTGGTCTGTGGTAAGGTGGGATTGTTCGAGGGAGCTGTGTTGGGCGAGACCGGCGGCGGGCGGTGCTGACCTCCGGGGGCCAGCGAGCCAGGGAGGGTCGCGCTACTGTGTCCACTGCCCGGGCCACTACCCGGATGCTGCTGCATCGAGGATGTGTTCGAATGGACGTTGATTGCGGGCACTTGGGTGGTAGCGCCCGTGTCTGGCGTCGTGGGGTAATCGTGGGTGGATGTCTGACGAGAAGAGGGGGTGGAGTTGATTTGACCGGTGGATGGGATATGCAGCTCGTCTGGTTGACGTCCAAAGGCATTCGACCGCCGTGGAGAGTCGAATGATTGCAGTGGATTCGCCATGGCCGAATGCTGCAGGTCGAGAGGACGAAAGGACAAGCGGGAAACGAAGGGGGAAGGCGTGGTCGAATCGTCCTTTGGGGGGGGGGGGGGTCTCGTTCCGGAGCTCTTTTCCCCTATGGCTGCATGGAGCAGTAAACGATGCGAAGGGAGTCTATTCTAGTCCGGAGATGGGGAAAATAAATTGTGGCGGGCTCAAGCATTCACATGCGCAGTGGTTTCTGGACAATAGGGATAAGAGTCACGACAACAGTAGTAGTGGTGGATAAACAAAATACAGACTGAGAGTCGCGACCTGTGGAAGGCGCAAATTCACCAGTCGAAGAGGATCGCTGAGCCACCTCGGGCGGCTGGGCGGGCTGGACGACTCGACTGCACCACTCCGCGCGGGAGGGTCCAGTGCAGTGCAGTGAGCTCAATCTGCCACCTGCGGGACTTAATTCCTGGTTACTACCTTAGTAATGTTAGTAGGAACCGTCACGTAGGACTCGTTAAGGGAGGAGATGCAGAGTTCGTAGTCGAGACCTTCTACCTACTTAGAGTAGTACTAAGGTACTTAGGTAGTGTGACCGTCCACATCGACCTAGCGTGCTGAGTCAGCATCGTGCTGCGCGTCCATCCATCATCCCGCTTGGCAGTTCTGGCATGTCGACCTCGCCAACGAGGTTTTGAAGGTCAACTTACCTCTTATCGACGGACTACCACCAGAGCCTGACCCCTAGACTTCAATGGCGCCTTGCGGCTGCTCAGAGTGTGACTGGTTTCGTTCTAAGTTGGAGCTAATGTTAGATATCACTAATCGAGGTACCCTTCTTGAACGTTCCAGCTGGTCATCCCGATGGTGTAAACCTTTGTCGAGCACGATATGCAAGCCTTTGAAGATAATTTGCTAAGATAGAATCATGCTACGAGTCAGAGTCCTCCAACTACAACCTGAACATCATTCTCAGTATTCTCATTGGAGGAGATGCTAAACTGCGTATACTCGTTGTCGTAGAAGGTCTCGAGGCTGGAGGCATCCTTGAATCCCGGGAATCCCGGGGTGATAACAATGTCTGCTCCGCGTAGGCGTTTTGCGTGCCTCGGAAGTCAGGCAACACGGCATCCGTCTCTGTATTTGGAGAACGTCTCAAGGCGGGGCACAGGCAATGCGGGATTGAGTGCAGCAGTGGTACCTCACGCAATGCCGCACTCACTACGAGCAGACAGGTACCTCACGAGTCTCGTCCACATCCAGTGCCTTTCGATCACTTCACTTCATCCTTCTACACGGTCTCTGCAAGTCCGAGCCCTAAACAATATTTTGCCACTGCCGCGGACTCTATCCATCTCCTTATCCTATTATGACTTTTGCCTCTTAATTCAATATTTGATTATCCCGTGTTCCGATCACTTCTGTGACATCTTCTATTTACAAGTCTCACGATGGCACCGGGTACCTCGGCGCCAGCGGCCTTGCTGTTACTCCCTCCACCCCCGTCATTTTCTTTGCATCCCCTGAAGAAGGTCTTTGAAGAACCTCTCGCAGAGGCCATCTGCAAAATAGTCAAATCGCTCAATGACCCTCAGCAAACTGCAACCCTCGATGTGGTACTGCAGGTGCCGGGTCTGCTTTCCGCTTCATCGAGACCTCGGGCATCGGTCTTTGCTCCTCTACAGCATTATCTCTCGAGCATCTACACGTTGATCGGAGCAGCTGCAGCTGCTCGTCAGGTCGAATTGGATGCTCCAGGCGGCCTCGATGCGCGAGTCTTGTTCACCAGCGGGCCCGACTCGTGTTCGTCTCCATCTGGGTTGGGTTTCGGGCCCATCGTCGACCTGAAGTCCCTGGTAACCTCGGCCCGCCAGTGGAATCAGGTGTTCTATCTTGGGGTCGAATCTGGCAGGCAACTCTACCAGGACTTTCTGCGCGTGAACGACCACAACAGGTCCTGTACCAACCTTCAGGATCATGAGTTGTCCAACATGAACAGCCAGTGGTCCGTTCCCTCCACTCTGCTGCAGGCGTCTCCCCCGGGTGCAACTGACCTTCGGCCTCACTACTCTGTGTGCGTCGGCGGTACATTTGACCATCTGCACCTGGGCCACAAACTACTCCTCACGGCGCTAGCCTTGACGGTGGAATCACCCACCGATGCCGATCAACATCAGGAAAGACTTTTGACCATTGGTGTCACGGGCGATGCACTTTTGAAGAATAAAAAGTACGCTGAGTTCCTCGAGAGCTGGAGGGCCCGCTTCGAAAGCACCGCGGCCTTTCTTCGTACTATCATGGACTTCACTCCCCACAACAAGCCTCGAGTCGAGGAAACTCACCTCCCGGGGCCGAACGGCCACTCGATTATCATGCACGTGTTGCCTCATTTGACCTTCAAATTTGTAGAGATCTGGGACCCCTTCGGGCCAACTATCACCGTGGAAAGTCTCACAGCGCTGGTTGTCTCCAAGGAGACGGCTTCAGGAGGCGTCGCCGTAAATGAAGAGCGATCGAAGAAGGGATGGAAGAATCTGACCATCTTCGAAGTGGACGTTCTACAGACGGGCGAGGTCGCAGACGTGACGGACGTGAATAATTTTGAATCTAAAATCAGTAGCACAGATATTCGCCGCCGTCGCATGAATCTGGCCAAGGTGTGAGCAAGAAGAACGCGATGTTCCAGATCGTGCTGCTTTTCTGAACAAAAATGATGTACAGTTTCTTTTTCGATTTCAGCGAGCAGTCTCCTTCGCATATGTAGACTAACCTCTCCAATCTCCATGGGATAGGCCTCGAAGGAGCAGGCAACGTGACCTTCGCCCCCCACTGTGTTGTCCCAGTCTGCCCTTTCTTTCCGTCTTTCTCTTCTTCTTTTTCTTTCACTGCCTTCTCCATCTTCATCCCAGCCACTATGTCTCTCGGTCAACAGTGATGAAGCCTCCGTCTTGACGAGCTAATTTCCGTTTCATCTATGATGGCGAGCCGGAAAGAGGCAGATTAGCGCTCACACGACTTCGATCCTGTCCATGCCGTGTGATCAGCCCGTAGACGTTCGTCTCACTGGACTGGCACTATCACCAACAACAAGCTTCTTCGATGGACCAACACCCTCATGACCAACACTCACTCTAACAGATCTTCCATTTGGAACCCAACAATGTTTCAATGCAGATTTTAGCGATGTGACTCTTGGACAGGGTCTCTCAGTCCGATGACCGGGACGCGCGCACGCTCATGCAGAGGATGTGACAGCCAGAAGCGGGGGCCCTGCATTGGGTCCTTTTCTTCAACGAGCGCTTCCCACCACTCAAGGCCCGTTCAAGTGTCCACGGTTTTGCATCTGCCCCGGCACTTGCCTTCTTCTCTCCACTCCCTCACCCGCACGCCTAACCGGGGAAAGGGAAGACATCTATTATTCTTCTCCCCAGTTTGTCAGTCGTCGCACTAGCCCCACAAGTTTGACAAGTTTGGCGATGGATTCCCTCTCGCATCAGCAAAAGCAGCAAACCGTCGTCATCATATTTTCAATCTTGCATGCAGCATGGGTCTGCTCTGACAATGTGATCCAACCACCGCCCGTGCTGAGCGGCAGTTTGTGTCGCCTGTTGGACTCCCGGCTTGAGTCTCATCAGCCCGCCCTCATGGCGCCTGCTCTGTTTTCCCGTGGCCACTGCCTACTCCCCTCTCCACCCAAATCTCTCGAATCCTCGTCCAACCAACATCCTGCGATGGATTCTTCTGCTGCAGGTTCGTGCTGCTTGCACTGGCTGGCCGCAGCCTCGTACAGTCATGTGATTCTCTAAGAGCTCCTCGTCGCCAATGAATCTGTCGAAAGTCATCATGACAAGGGCCCCGACCGAAAAAAGAGTCCAAGCGCACTAACCCGGGGTTGTGGATGATCATCCCGGACCCGGTGAGGTATTCGAAGGCCGAGAATCGTGGCCGCTATGGTCATGGGCAGGGTAAGACAGAGCCGGAATTGCGACGAGTCGATTTCGATCAGTTGAGCGTCGTTGCGAGGTTTCCCCACTAAGTCTCCCTATCTTTTGATGCCTTATGAACCTCTAATTTTCTTCATGCCATCGATGTTCGTCTCACAGTCAAGGTTTCCAAATTGCGCATGCATAACATGTGATTGGACTGGAAGCTGTTCGTTTAAGTCTCGGACGTCCTAGCTTGATCGATTTGGTTGAAATCTGAATTTCGCAGGTCTATGTAATGGAGTGCTTCATCCCCTGCGTCGACCATTTAATAGAGTGCTCATCCCAGCTGTGGTCTGCCTTTCTTCGGCCCGCTTAGCTTCTCTTCCTCTCCCATTTATTCTCTTTTGAAGCGTCCCGTACGGCGGGCGTGCCAGAGCTGACCCGGGCACGGAACGCCTTCACCGATCGAAGGCTTTCCTGGGACAAGCATTCCATGTGGCTATTGTTCGAACGAGCAACCGAGCTATCGGTTGCTGCGCGTATCGACGATGCCACGACCAAGTCGAATTCATGACCTGGCGGATGAGCTAGTTGGCGAAATTCTGCTCCAACTATTGGAGACCCATGGGCAGCGAGCCCTCCATGGCAACCGAGCAGGACACAGACCTCAAGACTGTCAATCGGGCGAACGTGATCCAGTTCGAAACAGGAATCGTGGAGAGGCTTCTGATCTGGATCGATTCCGGCTTGTCTGTAAACGTTTTATGCGAATTGGTACTCCGCAAACATTTGCTAAATTTACTCTCCGATTCTCCAAAGATGGGTTTCGCCGCCTCCGCGAGTTGATGGATATGCAACGAGCTTATTACGTGAGGACTGTGACCTATTTGGCAAGACCTTTCTATCAGGGCAGCGGTACACACACCCAGTGCTCTCACCCCAGGCTCCTGAATCCTCTTCCGCCTAACGAATGATAGACAGTCTGTCTCTAACTTGATTCCAACCCCCAGATTGGCCGCAAGTGCTGCGTATTCTTGCCAAAGACGCCCCCGAAATCGCCCGATTACATAGCCGCCGTGTGCGCGAACAAAAGACATTACTACAGGCCAGTTTTGACCAAGTGCAGCTGCGCGCGGCGATTGCGGCATTTACATCATTACGGGAGATAAAATTACTTCGACTTCAAGATGAAGCCGACGAGCAACTACTGGATTTGTTCCACGAGCATGATATTGCGAACCTTGCGCCGGACGTCTTCCTCGACTGGGAGTCCGCGTGCTCACGTGCAATCACCAGCCTAGGAGTGGCCTTGCTTGATAGCCAACGTACTTCGATCCGTTTTACTGGGCCACAAATCAGCCCCGAGGCAACCCTGCGCTTGCTTGAAGCACCGTCAACCACGCTCGCCGCAATGGGCAGTCGCCTTACAAGCTTGGACATCAACTTCCACGCCCTTGGTGATATCACCGAGACCATGTCTGTTCTCTCGCCGGTATTCTATCGCTTTTTCTCCGAGGCTCGAAACTTGATTGCTATTCACATTGGATTTCCCTCAAAGTGGCCACTGAATCTGGATCTGGAGGCGGTCTTCCACCACATCCGATGGAAGAATCTTCGCAAACTCAGTCTCCAGGGATGGCGCCTGACAGCGGACGAAATTGGAACATTGGCACGTCGACATCGCCACCAGCTGCGAGAATTTCGCCTCCACGCCGTCTATCTTCAAGAGGGGAGCCGATGGTCCGATGTTCTCAATGATTTGCGCACGGAAATGGAGCATCTCGCCAGACTGGAGCTGCGCGAGATCGACTACGCCGCGAATTTCGATGCGTTGGCTATCGACAGTGGCGTCGAGATTTTCCAACCTTACACTGTTCATTCGCTGGCATCCTCGCTGTCCTTGGCGACGGGCACAGCATCGCCCGAAGGTGCCGTTCCTCCATCGTTTGACTCTGATGTCTGTAGCCTGATTGACTCCAGTCCAAGTCCTCATAGCCGCGAAATGCTAGAGAGATTCCGCGCACTCGACGTGAAAGAATTGGGCGACGACGGCGCTCGAGTACACCGCGATCAAGTACCACTTTGGGAAACGTGGGTTTTGTCTGGAATCGGCGCGAGAGGTTTGAGGATCTAGGACCGAGTTGAATTTGAAAGGACGAGGCAGACTTCGCGGAAAGCTTTTTGCCGCGCCGATCTTCTTTTGCTATTGTACGGGGAAAAATCTGTAGATACGGCGAGTTCAGCGCGGCATTGGTGTTGGGATTCGCATGTACATTTCTCTGCGGTCAAACGAAGACTGCCTAGTGTTATCGAGTTGCCGGGGAGTGAAGCTTCGTCAGCGATCCGCGCAATGAAATGGGCTCTGCGACGAGAGTTGGGTGGTTTTTTTGGGGTGAGAGAGCATTTGGCGGCTGTCTGAAACTAGTCTTGAATTTGGCAAATTTTATTACCATCGTTTGGGGAGAGTCTTAGGCTCAGATTATCATTTGAGGCGTCCTCGGTAGAACCGTACACACGGATTGAGCTGGCCGTCTGATAACTGGTCTCAATTTGACAATGCCACTAGAGCGAGGATGGACCATCAAGCGAGACGATATGATTATATCTGGGTCAAACCAAGGGTTATGGGATCTCCCATCCATATTGGCGTGCGTATATCGCAAGCTAACCAAGAAAATGCAACAAAAAGAAAGAAAGCATGCGGGCCTCTATGTCAAAAAATGGAGGAACATCGACAGTAAAATAAGGACAATCTCAAGTCCTTGAACCTGCCCGGCATCAATAGACAGTTGATTCCTAGTTTTTTTTCTCCCCCTTTCTCTCGCTTCACGAACCGTCCCTCGTTCTCAATTTGAAGTCACGGCACAGCTTGACCATTCTCCCCCATCACGAGCAAAGCTCAACGCATTCACAAAGTCATCCCTCCTACACCGTCCCAATCGATCAACCTGGCACCCTTTCAATGGCGCCACGCGATCATTCACCAAGACCCGCACCAGCGGCTCCGTCTCCCGTCCACAAAGCATCATCTCGACATACGCGCGCGCCGCAAAGGGCACCGCCCAAGACGCAGAATACCCATCTGCCTCGGCCGCAGACACGATTCGGTCCAAAGGCAACGGCACCGAGCCGTTATACAGGCCCATGGCGAAGAAGATGGGGATCATGCCGTTGTCATGGGTGAAGTCTGCGTAGATGGCGCGGTCGACGGGGAATGTGTCTGCGCCGGGGGCGTCCAGGGTGCGGTTGATGGTGGTATGGTCGTTGACGGGGGTCTGGGTCATGCGGGCGATGAGTTCGTTGATGAAGCCGACGCCTTGGGTGGGACCGAGCGGGTTGCCGGCGCCGTAGCCGTAGTATTTACCCAGGGATTGGAGGTAATTGTACTGGGACCATTCGGCTTCGGTGAAGAGGGAGCAGAATGGGGAGAGGTGGGTTGCGTCCTTGGTGGATGCGATTGTGTCATATGGGCACATGTCCATGAGGCTGATCACGTCGTTGTCGCTGAGGCGGACTCCGGGAAGAGAGTGTTGGAGGCGTTTGGCGATGGGGGGAGCAATGAGCGCGGCATATTGGCTTGAAGCTTGGTCTCCACGTTTGTTGGCTTCAAAGGCTGCGCACGTGTTGTGGTTGAGGGTGTTGTTAGCGCCGGGCTCCTCGGAGATCAGCACGCTGATAGCGGCAGTGGCTTGATCGTGGTCTGCGGCTGAGTCTTGCAATTTGGAGTCTTCGTATCCTCGAATGAACAGTTCCCCTGACGCGACGACCCGCGAAGAGTCGGACGATCGAATGAAAGGGACATGGTTTCGGGTCAAGCTAGCGTAGCGCTGATAGAATTTGATGCCCGAATTGACCATCTCATCCTGGCCAAAGCTCGTGAGGTCATCGCTCCCCAGAGTGTAGTTATACGAGTGCAAGAATCCAGTTTGGCCGCGATAAGCCGTCGCATTGGCCTGGATGGCCTGGATGAGCGATGTATACTTTTTGCCCTTCGATGCCGTTGGGTATCGCGCACCATGGCGAGACAAGACTTGGACAAATGTGAGCTTGCACTCTTGGGGCACTTCGTTCGACACGCCTTCGTGGGCGAGCGAATAAAAGGGGGAATATTGACCCCAGCGATGTGGCAGCTCAGAGAAGCATTGGTAGCCGCCATTGACAGTGTCACACGGGTGCGTGGCCCGATTGGCATGACCCGGCGATTCGTCTGATGCGAAGAACGCTGTGGAGTCCTCATCTTTCATGGCGGCCCCGTAGGAGTCTTCAAGACACCCGATGAGAGCATACCCGGCCGCAAGCAGGACTAGAGTCAGGAGCAGCGCCAAGCGCCGGATGACGCGAAGACGCATTTTCCCTTGAAGAAATTGCACGTCGTGGTACTCTGGCTCTAGCGAGTCACCGAGGAGACTTTGCTCTTCATCTTTCTTGCGCTTCTCGTCAAGGCTAGCCATCTCTGACTCTGTGGGCGGATCAAGACACTTCGGCGCCGTCTGAGGATAAATAGCTTGAAGCGGGGACACGAAGCACTTTGCACAAGCCAAAGGTGATACAGACACTATCCATGATCAAAGGAAAGTGAAAGGTTCCTCGAGCAGATTGATGAATGTGTGTGGTGTCATATCGACAAGGGTGCTCATCCCCTCTGTTTGTCTTTCTCTCTTTCTCTCTCTCCACCGATTCGGAACGATCTTGGAGTAGAATCACTCTGTCCATTCCACTCGTGTTCTCCGTACCTGTTGAGCAGTCGCCTGAGACTTGAGGCCCACAAAGAGACCGTGATGGATTAGGTAATCGCCAGTAGTGCCGTGGCCCGTGACCTCGTGGACTGTCTGCGATTACTGATTGGGTCTCTTAGTCCCCAGTCTCCAGTCTGGCTGGGCACGTGGGCCAATACGCTCTTGGAGTGACAAGACCCAGCGATCGACAAAGTGTCAGCATTCCAGACAGGACGATCCTCGTATGATGTCGAGCATACTGGAGACGCAGTCCTATGTACGAGACGAAGGAGACTTCACTATTGATGAAGTGGTGTATATTTCGACCTTTTGCCCGATCCCTCCATATTGCCAAGTGCCCGCAACATATCCGACCGCAGACGTGTTATTTTGCAAGGTTCTCAATGACGATCAAACATACGTACGGCCGGGCATGTACAATCTTGATCCATCACCATCCGGATCTGCGATGACACGGCAAGACCCTTCTCGTCAGACCTGGCATCCAGACTGAAAATCACAATAGCCCGGTCAAACCTAATACCCAGGTTTACTCCCCCGACTCAGATCAAAGACCAGCCAGCAGAAATTAGCCTGCAAACAGCCCGTCCCAGCAACACGGGAACCACCGGACGGATCGGAGTCCAACTTTGGTCCGGCAGAGCTCGAGAGATTAGGTTCCGACTTTGGATAGCCTCATCCGTGATCCAGAAGCTATCGATTCAGTCGATCTTAATCAGGTCCGTTCCGAAAGCGACGGACGGGACGAGAGTCGATCGGTCACTTCCTTGACGGATGGAGGTCGACTTCATACATTCACACATCATACATCCCGTCCGACAAGGATTCCGTCGGACCCGAAACGGAGACCCGCTCGCGTGGATGTTGTTTGGGGACAAAGGTACATCATTGGGTCGTATCTAAGCCAGCTGGAGGCTTGTGGACTAAACTGACCTTTTTCCATGAGATCAGTCAGAACCAGTACAATTGATACGGGCATCTTCTACTTAAACTTGATACCTACTTGCACTCGCACCGGTTCATTTTATCATCTCTATAGGTAGGAATGCATGTAGTACGCGAAAACCACCTGCAATAATGGAGTTGCCAGTTACTTGTATGGCTTGGCAATCGATTCAATGAAGGGATAATTTCAATCAAGCCCGTGAATTGATAGATAATAAATACAACAATGGAAAATCAGAATACCTCCTACCGAAGCTTCTCCATACCATGAGACCCACGGGCATCCATATATGGAAAGAGCAAGAAAAGAATCTAGTTCCAGTTGATTCCACGCCGAATTGACATTGGATGTTTCAGCACCCTCACTCTCATCTAACTGCATGACGTTGCATCGGCAAGGAGGTATCTCACCACAACTTACGTACTTTACTTGCGTACTATACATGCGTTCAAGATCCAAGGGTCCATGCATATAAGCAAGTGGAGGTCGTCAGGATAGATCAGGCCCCGACTGAACCACTCTCGGAAGTTCAACATGGAATTCCTGGTGTTTGTCCGGTGGATAAGGTATGTGTATTGGGATATGTATATGGGGACAAAGTGCAGATGGATCCATCGAGATTAGGTTAGGTTAGGTAGGCAAGGCGTGAAAGTCGTGGACAAGACGGGAGGTACGGTGAGGCTGAGTCATTAGGCCTCCATGCGCCGGAGGATCTATCTCACGTCGATTATTTGATATGCTCTACACTGATGAGTGTAGGTAAGCACCGACCTACAGGAGCCTAGACAAGTGTCTCGGTGGTCTCGAATGTGAGTTGAGTGGATATACTGCATATTCAGTACATCCATACTACATACGACATGCAGTAGAGACCGTGGAATCGTGGATGTACTGTACTCGACAGACATGTGTTATCGGTATGACGATGCATGTCGACGTAACCTACCCAAGATCACTTCCAGAGTTATTAGGCTGCGCCGCTGCTGCATCTCAGATCGCAACCGGGAAAATACATCACCTGCATTTACACATGGGGGCAATGGCTTACGACACGCCTAGATCGATGTGAATATTTCAAACTATGAAGGGGGTACGGTACGTCTGGGGAGTATTTAGGTGGACGCAAAGAGGCTTTCGCAAGGGAGCGGTGTGTTCGGGATCATTGTCATGTATGTGAGACTGAGTCATGGCTTGATCTGTTGTAGAAGGAGATGGACTAGGGGAAGACAGTTTCCAGGTCACTCCTGCGGTAGGGTATAACATTTGATAAAAGCGTAAAGCAAAAGATGGGAAGATATGGCAGCAGATGCTATGTAGGTGGCTGGTTTGGAACGACCTTTGACATTCCCTGGTGACATCCTCCAGCTTTGAACCAACCCTATTTTTTATCACGTCTATAGCGACTTGTCTTGGACCAAAACCTAGAGCTAGAATCATTGAGGATGAGATCGGCTCATACCGTCAATCCGATCTTGTGGCTTCCTACTCGACTCTCGTAGTCGATCACACCAGATTCCATGGTCCATGGAGATGCTCGGTGTTTATTTGTAAGCTAAAGATTAATGAAAGCATTTAAGGATTGACAAACAATCAAGAATCATTGCAAAAATGCTTGCAAATAAACATCTAGGATAGGTATCTTCGCGGTGGAATGGGCACGATCTATATACTCGAGTCACAGGGTCAGCTCTCGACAAGCACCTATGCCTCCGAAGATAATTTTAGAATGTTGGGAATAGCTTTCTGTAAGAAATGAGGCCCGTCGTTGTGCTTTGTGCCGTATCGCAGCGACGCTCATATCCATATCCACCGGCAAGAGGGTGCAAAATAACCGGCACCTTCAAAACAAAAACGCACTGGAGACCACTGTGCGTCGAACAGCGAACAAGAATCACAAGAAGCCACGGGCAGATTAAGTTGCACGGGGTCTGGTGTCACAATTTGAATAATGACACGAATCAAAACGCCAGAATATGTTCTATGAAGCAAGGTACAGTTTGGCTGAAAAACAACAACAATTAATATGAATATCAAAAAGTGTCTCCTCGAAGCCTTCCCCCCACACATAAACTGACGGCCAAGAGCACGTGCATCAAGAAAATATAGAAGCGTGACCGGCTGAGAGTCAGGTGCAAGAAAAGCCTGCTGGAAAGCGAAATCTACTCAAGCCGTCGACCGTGAGATCAAGATCTCGACCAAGGTTTCTGCAGTGGTGCCAAAGACACGCCAGCCATCGATGCTGGATTCGTTCGCGGCGAGATATCACCGGTAGAAGATTGAGATGGGTAGTGAAGAGGTGGTGGATGATGAGGGTCAGATGAACCAGTGATAGGCCCAGCAGGGGAAGAGAACGTGGACGAAGCATCGGAGGCTGCCCACTCACTTTGAGATCGAACCGATTCCAACAGTCGCATGGGTGCAGGTTCCCTCTTCACTGACGTCGGACTCGAAGCTGTTCCCGATTTGGGTGTGTCCATTCCCGATACCATGTTTAGATGTATTGGTCGTGGTGATGATGGTCTCTGTAACGAGTACTTTGCGCCATCCAACCGCTCAGAGGCCTCCCTGAAGAAATTTCTTTCCGCCCGGTAGTGATCTCTCTGGCTCACAAGGAACCGAATCTCTTCAGCCTGGTGCCGGATTGTCTCCGCTTGACGTTGAATCTCCTCCTGTTGGGTATTAAGTCGCTGTTCCAGTTGCATTTCGTTGCGCTTGCGATTACGGAATCTCCGGGAAGCGTCGCTGTTGGCTTTCCGTTTTTCGGCTTGGGTAGAAGAACCCGATTTCAGGTCTAGTAAGCATGGAATCATTGCTTGAGTTCCAGGTTTTTCATCCGGCAAGTTGCTATGAGTTACCACTGTTGAGGGCATTTCTCGATCGATCAGATTAGGTCTTGGGTAGTTCGAGGGTGCTGGTGTAGAGCTTGTCGCTGTAGAAGAAGATATTGGAACACCTGCGACTAGGGGGAAGCGTGTCCGATATGGCTGAAGATCGATTGTGGCGTCGATGGACTCGCTTCGAGAGAATGAGGATGGGCCCGTGGAGTGGGACCGGTGCTCATGTGTCTGGAAAGAACGTTTGATGGTGAATTGAGTGAGTTTCTCGTCAAGGGTTGCAGGACTGGTGATGAGGCGATAGGTCGCAATGCTGTATCGTGAGATATTGGCGAGCCGACGAGGGATGGCAAGGGGACCTGCTGCTGCTGCTGACCAAAGTTTACTGGGGGTTCCTGAGAGAGAAATGGAGATTGGGCTGTCTTTGAGCGAGCGGAGGCCGTCATCCCCACTGGGGTAGAGTAGTAAGAAGACGGTGACTCGGGAATTCTTCCGGATCGTTGTAATGACCTGGGCGATAAGGGCTGAGATGCTAGCGACATAGATGACAGAGGCGCGGGAGACGAGCCTTGTCTGGGTCTGATGGCGGACCTGGCGGAGGTGGAAGACATGCTAGCTCGAGATGTTCGCTCGCGGCGAATGGGCTTCTCCAGAGGGGTCATGCCTCGCACCGGCGGGTTGAGAATCGCATGCACGCCAATGGACCGTGAGGATGAGATATCCACTGGAGGTTCAACTGGCACATAAGGATGCCATGTTTGAGGTCGTGCCCGGAGAGGTGGTCGATGAGCCGAATGACGAGGGCTTGAAAGGACCTTTTCTGTTGGGCTCCGGTCATCGATGCGTGAGCGAGCTTCGAACTCGGATAATCGGTCGTTGCGCAACATTTTCTGCGACGGTGAATGTGAGGTGGGTGTTTGAGTGAACACAGAAGAAGAGCATGACCGACTTGGTTCCCGTCCAGAAAGACCAGAGTCCCCGTGGGGAGTGGGTAAGAAGAAGCCTCGCGAATAGTCCAAATCTGTCTGCAGAAGGCTCGGCAATCGTGGCAGGGGTTGAGGCCCAAAATGGGGAGACGTTTGGATATTCAAGCCGAGCTGCAGGGTCGCCAGGATGCCGAGACAGTCTCCAGTATGAAGAGACGATTCGTAGCTGTGAGACGTGAAGGGCGAGTCTTCAATCGAGCAATATCACTGATAAGAACGTCGCAGAGCGTACTGCGCAATACGTGATGTTTTAATTCTCCTCCAGTCCGTCAACTGATATTTTCGTTTTTCTTTTCTTTTTCAATTCGGGTAGCCAGATGGACGAGAAGCGTTTGTCTTGGGCCCTGTTGGCGGTGGTATGTCTGTCGAGCGTGAAGATGCTTTTTTTTGAAATGTAAGATTGTTCTGCACCCAGCAGAGATGACGCGAGTCCTTGAGACCTTTGAGCTCGCAGCTGTCACCGGTTTGGTCGAGCCAATCAAGAATGGAGCGGAGCTGAAATGCGCAACACTGGTAGTTTGAGTTGAGATCAGATCTCGCAATGCCAGTGCAGGGCACCGGTGTTATTTGGGCCGCCGTTCAACACGAGTGGACCGGAATGCGAGAGCAACGGGACCCGTGTTGTTGATGAGGCAAGAGATAGATCGAGGAGAAAAGTACGACTGAATGGCAATCGGCATGCGCATAAACACCCACACGGATGTTCAATTGGACTCGAGATGATGTATGATTCTGGAGGCCCAAGTGGCAAAGAGATACCTCAATCAATGTACAAGGTCCAGGGGAAGGTAGTCGGAAGTGATAGTTGTGTCGACGTTCCACCCGAGAGAAGAAGACTCAAGGTGAGTGAATGATGAAATGCGGTTAATCATCGACCGTGACGCGAATCGCTCACATCGAACGAGGATCAACGGCCGTCAGGGTGGACCAGAACCAGAAAGAAGGCAGCGGTGTGAAGCCACCACCGCTCCAGACTGGATGCTGCCAGTGGAATCCGTCAGTTGAGGTGAGGTACGTCTCCAGTTAGATCAGGAACCGCATTACACGCTTGTCGCAACTGCGCTTGGTCTAGACTCCACACGAGGAATTGATGGATTGATGAACTGGTGGATGGTTTTTGAAGCTGCCTCGTCTTGAACGCTGTCTGATCATTTCTCATTTCTATCCTGGGGTCTCCGCCAGAATCACAGAATATAGCCACTGATCCTTAAGAAACAAGGTTTCTCATATTGAGGCAAGAGAATAGCTCCCATCACCTGATGCGATTCATTAATCTGAACGGCTGTGTTTTTCCGTGAGTCTTTTTTTTTTCCTTTTCTTTTTTTCCTATTGCAGTAAGTTCATTCGCAACTTTTTTTTCAATTCCGATTTTTCACGTGTCTCGATCGAGCGTGTCGGGTTTGTTTGATTCCTTATTTTTCCGTCCGATACAGTGGAGTTATACAGTCGATCAGTATACAGTAGTTATACACTGCTTGGGTCATTCTTTCTCTACTTCTCTCATTGAACCCAGAAACTTAGTCAACGAGCTTGATGGAATGTACAGCGTGTTGACTGCTCATCTCGAACCTGGCAGTCTAGTCTGGACGGGTGCCCGATAGGATCGATGTGATCATGATTCGTGCTTTCATCATTTCTCTGCCCTCTCTTCCTCTCCCTCTCTCTCTCTCTCTCTCTCTCTCTCTCTCTCTCTATTGCTAATGATTATACCCGACCCAATAATCGCGCGGTTCTTCCCGTTGGGCATTGACGGCATTGAAACGGGCCTCACCTCTTAGTCCAACCTGGTTCCCCATCCACCTTTTCCACTCCTCTGATGTACGCCCTTTGCCTCGTACCTTTTTCCCCAAGCTCTGACCACACTTCAATCTGGCACTTTGGATGCACCGCATCTCAGACTCGGGAGAAAAACGGGGATCGGGAACCCGGGGGCTAGACTGTTGACGAGGTCTCTTTTGATCGTGACTGATCTCAAGGACCGTGTGTGAGAGTCCAGCGTGAAATGAGAAAGAGAGGTCATGATTTGCCCTCACCGGCTGTCACCTTGGTAGAATGCCACGGTGCCTCGAGCACAATATACAGCCAATCACTTGTCCTCAGCTATGAGAAATTGTTATTCAGACCAGGTCTGTGATTTTGCAGCATGTCATCTCCCCAATGGACAAGCGGCACCATCCGTCATTTTTTATTCTTGCTATTCGGTGGGGACTCTGGGGAGAAGGAGAGATAGAGAGAGAGAGAGAAAAGATCGGGGATTGAGGCATGAGTGGAGGAGACGGAAAAAAAAGGGGATACCAAAAAGGCGGCAAGAATTAAGAGACAGGGGCCCCAGTCCAAGTTGAGACTCAAACCAGGGTCAGGGCCCAACTGCCGTCTCCCTGTTCCTGTGGGTAATCGTACATGACTCCATGTAGGCGAAATGCGCCTTCAGCCTCGATGGGGCGGCTAATGCTAACGCAAGTGAATATTTTTGCTTTGGCGGATTTTTTTTTTATTTTGATTTTTTTTGGGGAAATTTTTCTGATCCTTTTTTCGCTTCTTTCCACCTTTTTCTCTCATGATGAGGTTAGTCCATTCTGGACCAATTGCCTTCTCTGCGACTTATTTCCCCTGCGGCTGGGAAATCCAGTCATTTCTAGGTTTAGCTTTGACTTTACTCCAGCTGCCCGACCTCGTGGCCAAATGCAGACCAGACCGGAATCAGGCGTAGCTCGGGGGCGTCGGGGCTCCGGGAAAGCTCGATGGAGGCGAAGATGGGCGGTCTCGAACAATTGCTATGGAGGGCCCGGAGGCACCACTTATTCCCTGGCTAAGAGTCACATATATCGCAAAACTAAGAGTAAGTAGCAAAGTACTACTAGTAACTAGTATGTACGAAGTACAGTATGGATTATGGAGTGGTAGGCAATTAATACTGGACAATAGGTACTTGCCAGCAACTATAGAAATCTCGAGTGTAGACGGGCCAAACTCACTAATAGTCAGACACAGGTAGTAGATAAAACAAAACACCTTCCGCATCTTGGGGCCAGTCAAGACTCCGAAAGAGCTCCTGCAAGCCGTTCCAAGATTTACACATTTCCATGGCCTGTAGGTGTGCCGTGACGTCCGGTCGGTCCTAGAACCACTGCGAACACGGTCAATGAACGGCTTTTGGGATGTTTCGCTGAGCCTAAGAGGAGAGGACTGCATATGTTGACTTCCAGTCTTGGTGGACCTAGAGTAGGAAGCGCTTCACGCGACAACCTCCATACAGGCAGACACAGTTTCTCCTTTCCACCACCCGAGTAACAAGCCGACTTTGAAGTCTCTTACGACATCACAAGTTCATCCCCACGGGCCTGAATGAGTGGTTCTCTTCCACCCCTCTCCCTCTGCATCACGATGGCGACATGCTTATTGCTTTTTGATCTCCATCGGCTTCGTTGGCAGATTTGCTTTTGTTGCGAGGATTTCTTCCCGACAATCTCAATGTTATGGCTCGGCACGCGGGTTCAGCGGGAGATTGGAAAATCCGCAAACTCCTCACGCACACTCGGGTCAGAGTCTGACGAAGACGAACTCCAAAAGCGTGGAGAGCAATTCCGGTCTCCGAGTCACCGCTGGACCGATGTCAAGATGACGCTTGCCTAGCGCTAAGGGAGACGGCAAATCAGAAACCCCGCCAATGTTCACTAGTCACTTTGGTGTCGACAGTGCAGTAGCTCAAACACCACATGGTTTGTGATGATCAGAATCATTTATCCACAATGTTTCAAAAGACCTCTAATTTATTGTCTCGACCATGCTTTCACGGTTAATATTGGCGAGTACGTACCAAGCACAGTAGTGACTCGGGGAGTCGGGACTATAAGACGCAACGTACACAGGGTTCAGCAAAAGCTTGATCAAAAAGCTAAGGGTAAGCTTGCATTGGAGGTTCTCATTTCTGACGGCGGCTCCGACAGGATCAAAGTCATAGGGGTACTGCTATCCGTGGATTGAGTATTGAGTGTTCACTGTTGAGTATTGGTCCCCAAAGCCTACGCTGAACAATTTCCCGGCAAATCTCTGAATCGTGGAGAAAGTTAATTAAAAGCGAGTGGTGGGTGGCGGTCTAGCACGTGGCAGGGGTCCTTCTCTCCTTGAGCGCTGCGCCAGAGTCGTGCTAACAAACAATTTGGTGGAGCCAATGGATATCGAGGCTGTATCCGCTTGGAAGCGTTAGCCGTCCCAGGAAAAGATTCAACTCGTGGCGTGAGGCTAGTGATTAGTGATTCACCTGGGTCAGCATAGGGTGGAGTGTATAGTAGGCTAGTCCGTAGTTGAAAGACTAGTTTCTCAGGGCCAAGCGAGCTGGCTGTCGTCTTCTACGCGGGTTACGCGCTTCGCGGAGGTGGAAAGGAACTAGTCAAGTCAATGCCGGAGTTCATAATCAACTGGACAGACGAGCCAATTGCACTTTGAATGGCATACTTGCCGCGGGTAATTGAGCTATTGTGCAGGCGGCCTCTTTGTGATCAAACAATATCGGAGATCACCATCTACAATAGGTAGCATAGGAAATGAAACCGATCAAAGACCCTTGCCAGCAGTCATCCGTGGTAGTTCTCAAAGCGCTACCTATGCTGCTCACGTAGCCACAAGGCGGTAGGTACTAGACAGACGAGCTACGGTTGATTGCCCGTATAACCGAGCTCTTTCTCTTTCAGAGCTAGTACTTTGACCGCCAAACACGCATGGTGGAGAGGAAAGTACCATATCACCCCGAATCGGTATATGGATTGTGGTCATCACTGATCGTGGATATAGGAAACACTTGATATTTAGTACAAATCCTCGTTAATTACCTTAGTGGTGAGTCGTGACTAGTGACTACTACCGTTCTTGGCCTTGACGGCCGTCATAATGTCATGTGCACG